ATTGATGTTTTTTTTTTTTTTTTTTTTTTTGATGATGCGTGCCGACGTGGACGCTTTACTAACGCTGGCCGGCGCAGAACTTTTGCAAGCGCGACCTTCCCGAGTTCACGCGCATCATCAAGCCCGGCTCGGTCATCACCAAGGACTTGAGGGAAGATCGTCTCAATGTTCACGTTGAAGAGGATGGCGTTGTCACGCACGTCTACCACGGATAGATCGCCGGGGTCGCCTAGTGTCGCGTGGGCAGCTCGGCGGCCGAATGCGTAACAGCGACGGTTACCGCTGCGACGAGTACCATCTCAGAAAGAAATGCAAAGAAAATCCAATAAATACAGAATATTATTCAATAAGTGTCTTTTGATTTTTCAAATTTATTCGAAATTTGCTTTTCATCGTAATCGTCGCCGTCATTCTGCCGTGATGCGACCCCGCGGCGGGGCATTGGACTTTTCGTGCCCCTCCAAAAGTTAACCCCGCCATCCCAGCTTCCTCCATACACAACATCACAACAAGCCGCCACCATGTTTAAGAAAGAGTACGTCTTCTCTTACTACCGTCTCAACCTTGCCCAGAACCTCAAGCTATTCACCCCCGCCAACTCCCATCTTCCTGTGCTAACCTCTCTCCCCCCCCACGCAGTCTCCAAGCCGCGCCGAAGCAAAAGCTCAAGTCGTCCGTGCAGCGCTCGCTGCGCCAGTCGCTGCTGACCACGTACCCGCTCCTGACGCCCTACATCGACGAGGTGATGCCCAAGAAGGCGTCTCTGTCCTCCGTCAAGCTGCCCGACCGCAACACGTTGTACGTCGTCGGCGACGCTGCCACGCCCGTCTTCTACCAGCAGGACTCGGGCGACATCCTGCCGCACCTGCGGCTCCTGCACCGCTTCCCGCGCGCGTTCCCCTCGGTGCGCGTGGACCGCGGCGCCGTGCGCTTCGTGCTCTCCGGCGCGACGCTGATGGCGCCGGGGCTGACGTCGGCCGGGGGCAGGCTGCCGGCGGATGGCAGCCCGGCGACGCTGGAGGAGGGCAGGGAGATGGAGCAGGGCGTGGATGGGGAGGGGAGGTGGAGCAGGGAGCTGGCGAAGGGCGAGCCGGTGGTGATCATGGCAGAGGGAAAGGAGGAGGCGTGCGCGGTGGGACTCCTGGTGGCGGGCACGGCGGAGGTCAAGGAAAAGGGTAAGGGGCCCGTGGTCGAGGAGGCTCACTACCTGGGCGACGGCCTGTGGAACTTGGTCTTGGATTGAAGGAGTACGCTTGGGGTTGTTGGGTGATGAGGGTCATTGTATATACTTGTGGCGTGAGACGGTGTTGAGGAGTTGAGCATACTGCATCGGCGAGGTAAAATGAGTTGATTGGAACGGGGTAGGGAAATCAAGCTATGCGTGCGACTGAAGTGACAAAGTAGCCAGGTAACATATTGAAGCGATGAGGCTATGCAATGCATACTGAAAGCAATCTCAAGCACCTTGGAGCGTATACCAACCATTCAGCAATTAAGAGCAGGGAGCTGCGTCGAAGCGAGTTCCAGCAAACCAAGCAAGTCATCAATCGTGTCCTTCATACAGGATGCAAACATTCATATCTCATGAGCCACATGTCAACAGTTTCAAAAGCCATCTCTTAGCAAACCATCACACTTTTACTCCGTCGCCTCGGCTGCGGCCTGAGCCCCCGTCGGCATTTCCGGACGGTCTCGCGCGGACTCCTCCTGACCGCGGTAGAACATGCCGAGCAGGTCCGGCACGTCTGCCATCCAGTCAAAGTCGAGGCATCCGGCGCGACGAAAGAAGCGCAGCCACCAGTCATGGTAGTCCACCTCCCCCGGGACCACGCGCAGCCTCGCCGAGAGGTCGATCAGCGCCGCGAACTCGTCCGGGAACTCCGCCGTCAGCGCCGGCCACAGGTCGCGCGGCACCGCCAGCGCGTACAGGCAGACCATCTCGGCGGGCGGCAGGCAACGCTGCAGCTCCGGCGGGCTGCGGGTCAGCACGCGCCAGGCGCGGAAGATGTCCTCGGAGCGGTGCACGAAGTAGTTGTGGTCCATGACGCCGCGGGCGTCGGGCGCGTGCGGGTCGCGGTAGAAGACGCGGCGGGCGACGAGCCGCCGCGCGCTGGCGACGAGCTTGGCGACCTCGGCGTGCATGCCCCAGTCGAGGGCCTGGCGCGCGGCGAGCGCGAGGAGGACGAGGCTGAGGCCGCGCTCGGTGCCGTCGAAGCCGGCGGGGGAGACGAGCGCCTCGAGGATGAGCGCGAAGACGGCGGGGTCGACGACGGAGGGGGAGAGGGCCCAGCAGCCGGAGGGGGGACGCTCGAGGCTGAGGAGGAGGCGCCAGTGGGGGTATCGGAGGAGGAGGTGCACGGGGCAGAAGAAGGTGCGGTCGCCGACGGTGAAGGGCTCGAAGCGCCTGGGGAGAGAGGTGGTTAGTGAGAGGTGGAAAGGGCGCAAGATTGTGTGGAGGGGGTGGCTTACCCGCCGAGCCAGGATCCGTTGACGACGCGGGAGTCGGGTGGGTGAGGAAAGCGGTCCTGCGTGCGTGTTAGTCGAGAGGTCTGAGAGTAGTGATGAGAGGGGGGGAGGAAAGGACACACGTCACCGGGAAGCTCGTGCTCAACTTGCTCGCTCCGCGCCAGCATGGCATTGCGATGGAAGGGTGTAAAGGGGAGCTGCGGAAACGTCTCGGCCGGTGGCGCGTGCGGCTGGTAGAGCGGAGGCGCACCGGGCGTCGCCGGCGGGTTCCCGGACGGCGCGGCAGGCACGGCGAAGAGGCCGTTGAACTCGTACGGGGGCGAGTCGGTGGACGGGACGTGGCCGCTGAGGTGTGGCGCGAAGACGGTCGGCGGCGCGCGGAGGTCGTCGCTGGCGATGGGGATGCCGGCTTCTAGGTACGCGGTGGCCTGCCGTTGCTGCGAGGCGTCAGGCGCATGGGCCTGGCGCTCTGGAGAGTGAGAGCTTTGCGAGCGGGCAGCATCAAAAATCTCATCATTGGTGTTGTGGTCGTTGCTGGCGGATACGGAGGCGGCAGGCGAGCGGAAGGCTTCGTTTGCGGTGACGGCGCGGAGGCTCGTCTGGCTCGACGGTGGAGGGGAACCTGGGAGGCCGACAGGCGCAGAAAAGGACAGGGCTAGGGGAGGGGATTGAGGTTCGGTCGGCGCGGAGGAGGATGCGGGCGGCGATGTTTCTGCTTGGAGACTGGGCGCAGGCGACGGCGAAGGACGCCGGCGGGCGAGCAAACTCCGGACAGTGCGCCGGTTGAGGTACGGCATAGTAGCAGCGGCGGCGGTAAGAAGCGATGAGAGTTTGGGATATTCGCAAAGATGGTTAGAAAGAGGCAATTGAAGCGCAAAGATGGCTCGAAATGGAGAGAAGAAGCGAACATGGGACGTTTTATATCAGCGAGATGAAAGGGGCGAAGCGAGTGATCAATAGTACAGAATTCATTGTGTATTGTATTGAATGCAGAAGCGTGATTTCTGGTATTGTAGTAGCCATTGATGGAGCCGGAAAGGCGAGTTGTGAATCGGGCATTGTTCAATGCGGAAGGGAGGCTGGACGTTTGCAAAAGTGAAGCTCAAGACCGACGACCAACGCAGCAACTCCGGTTGAGAATAGACTACTCAAGGACTGGCCCGCACCACAAATAGATTTCTCACATTCCCCTCAGACATGCCATTCCCCAAAACACCACCACCTTGTTATTTGGCCGTCCCCATCAGGCTGCCATACTTGAGCGAGTTGAGCGTGGCCAGGTACTGCTCCTCCGCAGGCGACACGGTCACCACCATGGAAGCACTGCATTCACGGCGACGCACACGCACATCGTCATCTGCAAACGCCTCGCGCAGCACCATGGTCAGCGGCGACGAGCGGTACGGCACGTACGGCTGGCGCGTCGCCCAGGCCCGCATCACCTCTTTGAGGGCCAGCAAGTCCGTGTTGATCTGCCTCGCCTCCCTGCGCTCCGCCGGCGTCTGCGCCAGCCCTGCCAGGATCCGCTTGTTCTCCTGCTGGTACTCCGCGCCGGCCAGGTCCACGAAGACCATCTTGCCGCCCACGCAGGGCCGGCCGTCGCCGCCGTCGTACCGGGCGTACGCCTCGTCGACCGCGGCCTCGGCGGCGGCCACGCGCGCCTCGAACGCGGCCTTTTCGGCGCCGACCGCGTCGAGCAGCGCCTGGTCAGCAACGTAGCCTGGGACCGGCTGGTAGACGCCGTCCTCGTCCTTGAACACGCCCCGGGCCTGCTCGGCAATGGTCACGTCGGCGGCGCGCTTGCCGACGGGGACGAGCTCGGACTGGCGGTCGATGAGGGCGGCGCGGGCGGAGGTGAGCGCGGCGTTGACGACTTCCAGCTCGATGACGGCGTGCGTGCGCGAGCTCTGGTCGTGCACGGAGGAGGTGCCGACGGCGCGGCGGCTGAGAGCCTGGCGGAGCGCGGCGCGGAGGTCGTCCACGGTCGAGCAGGCGAGGCGGGAGAGGGGTTGCACGCGCACGCGGCCGTCCGGGAGCGTCTCGGTGGCGCCGCGGACGTGCACGCGGCCGTCCGGGCCCTCGCGGATGTGGCACTGCGTGCCGTCGTTGAGGAGGTCGAACGCGTCCTTGTGGCGAAGCTCGAACACGCTGAGCGCGACGGCGAGCGGTGGCTCCTCCATCCCGCCGCGGGCGTTGTTGATGGCGTCGATGTTGTGGAAGAGTTGCTCGGCGGCTGTCAGGCACAGTCCTGGGCCGGAATCGTCCTGTTCCTGGTCGTCATCCTCGTAGCCGATGACGGTATGCGTCTTGCCGCTGCCGGAGTGGCCGTAGGCGAAGAAGCTGGCGCGCGCACCAGCGGTGACGACGGCGTGCGGCACCGCGGGCTGCACGATAGCGGAGTAGGCCGAGGCATTGGAGGTCGCGCCGAAAAGGACGCCGGAGAAGGCAAAGGTGCTTTTCCACGGTTTGTCTAAATGCGTGCGTTGCACGGTGACGGCATCAAGGGTTGATAGCGGGGAGGCGACGGTTTCGTGGCCGACGCCGTCGCCGGAGGACTCGGCGCCGACAAGGGGTCGCCAGCGGACAAAAACATCCATGATGGGTAGTGTAGAAGATGTATACTGGCTTGGAGAGAAATTATTGTGTTGAGGTAGGTAGGATGGTGGTTTATATGTGTTTGTTGGTGGAGATATTAGTTCGGCAGATGATTTATTCGGCTGCCTGATCGTGGCCAGGCAACTGTGATAATCAGGCAGACATTCCAGATCCTAGTAATTGATCTGAATTCACGAGGATGCAGTGAAGCTCTTTAATTTATTTTGATTCCTCATTTTTATCGTTTCTGCCGCCCTACTGGGTGGTGGCGGAGGTAAACTTGGCAAGAGCAAGGGGTTCTTAGAAACATTGACCTTACAATCAGTCGCCTGATTAGTCCTTTAGTTCTTTTGATAACCCTGTGCATTATTTTTGGATAGTCCGAAAATTTATCTCATTCTATTTGTTGTATGTATCTTGACAGTAGCTAAACTATTACATCAGTGTCACTGTTGCATGATGTCCTGCTCAGCCTGGTCCTCTGCTGATCTCAAGACTTGACCAAGACGATGCATAGATACCATATTTCGTCTTGAGTAACCATCCCCGGTAATTTAAATGGGTCGATCTCAGTCCTTAAGTAATCTTTTTTTTTTAATTTTCCCAAAAAAACGCATTGATGGAATGAACGCATCTTGTAGCCCATCTATCTTACACATTGCCAGCTTTTCACCATGCATCGTCCACCTACACTTCAACCTCCAGAATCGTCTCCAGCCCGTCCTCCTCATCCCACTGCTCTCCCACCTCCTTGAACCCAAACGGCCGCACCACGCCCATCGACGCCTCGTTGCCCGGCCCGATCGACGCGCGCACAACCTTGACCCGCTCGTCCGCCGCCGCCACGTCGAGCATGACGCGCAGCGCCGCCCGCGCGTGGCCCCGCCGCCGACACGCCGGGTCGATCGAGTAGCCGACCTCGACCATGCCGCGCTCGTCCGGCGGCCCGTGGAAGCCTGCGCGCCCGACCACCGCACCGCCGTCTACGACCAGCCGCGTCACCCACGGCGCGGCGGCGGAGGAAGTGTACGGCGTGAGGTTGGGGATCCCGGACAGGGTCCGGGCGGAGGGCAGGTCGTTGGCGGCGAGGGCCTCGAGCGCGGCGAGGGGAATCTGGACGAGCTGGATGTGGGCTGCCTCGGGAGCGGTTGACGTCCACGGCTCCTCGGAGACTGTCATCGTATATATGCGGAGTTACTTTTGTATCTTGGAAGATACAAGTATTGATGAGAAAGAAGTATAGAAGTGTGTTTGAGAAGAAATGGCTGATCGATCTACCTCTGCCCCCGCCGCGATATGAGTGAGTCACATAGCAATCAATGGACTAGTTAGCATGGCGTCTCGCTCAGCATTTACAGCATTTGGTTAAATTTCAGAAAATAGTAATATTCCATACAAGGACATAATAAGCAACTAGTTTATAAGACCGAGTCAATGAAACAGTCAAGTCACAAAATCTCCCCCCCCACACTGCACTCCAGACCCAACTCTTCCTCATCCCTCATCCCTCATCCCTCGTCCCTCATCCATCTCCAGCTGAAGAATTGTGACTTTGAATTGCACCCTGACCAAGTCAATTGATACTAGCCTGCTAGTACCATTTTCTAGTTAGGTTAATTGGTCAACTCCTCTTCTCCCGGGTAGTCCGACGTAACTTCCATCTCTCGACTTGCGAAAGTGTTCACTCAGGGGCATCGCATGGTCAGGGTGCGTTCTTAAAACGAGCTCAGAGTGTTGCGTCTCTACCAGCCGCCTCCTTTTGAGATCAGTTTGCTCGTCGTCGCACCCTTCGTCGATTTCGAGACTACGCCGTACACCGCGCTTCTCCGAGGGCTCGTCATTGCTCGGCATTTGAAGCCCGTGCAGCGAGACCGGAATCATCTCAGTGTCGACATTTGACGCATCATTGGCGGTTGACACGGTACACCCAAGGTTGGCGGCAGGGGCGCCGGGTGTGTTTGGTGCGGGAGGAATCTCTTGCTCGCGCTTCTCCGAGGGCTCGTCGCAACACAAAATGTCGGAAAGCGATTTGCCCCCTATGTAAATCTTGGGCCCCTGGCCCTCAACCCAAGTATTGGGTGGTCCGGGGGGAGTCTTTCGCTTATGCTTCGGAAGGAGGCGCTCTGGTTTATCCGAATCATGGGATGTATCCGGATCATGGGATGCATCCGGATCATCCAATTCATCCAATTCATCCGGATCATGAGATGCATCCGGATCATCCAATGCACCTAAAGCCTTGAATACATCCAATGCAGTCAAAGCCTTGAGTGCACCCAAAGCATGGAGATCATCCAAAGCATCGAGTAAGTTCTGCATGCCGAGACCGAACCGGGTCAACCGCCCCCACCCCGGATAGTACTGCCTGAACTGCTCAAACCCAGTCGCCACGGGACGACGATTGTCGTGATTCGACCGGTCCTTCGCAATGTCTTTAGACTCCCTGTACACTTCAACTTGCTGGAGGTGGGCACGTCGAGGATAAGTCAGAGTTGCACGTTTATGATCGGATACCACCCATATATAATCGAAATTGGATACCACCCCAAGAGCCCCAATGAGGCAAGAAACCACCTCAGCATACTGAAAGTACGGAGATACTTCTTCGATGAAGAGATTTGAATCCTCGGGGTTTTCTTCAGAGGAGTCTGAATCCTCACAGTCCGTATCAGAGGAGTATGAATCCTTACCATCCGTCTCATAGTCCTCGTCATTGAGGTCGTTCTCGTCCTCTTCTTCTTCTTCTTCTTCTTCCTCCCCTCCTTCTTCCTCTTCCTGACTAGAAAAGTCTGAGCCTACTGACTCCATCTCATCGTCGTTTTCTCCCCCTTTTCCTCCTTCTCCCCCTTCCTGCTCTGATGAATCAGAAAGGTCTGAGCCAACTGACTCCACATCAGCCTCGTATTGCCCTCCCTCTCCTCCTTCCTCCTCTAATGAATTGGAAAGGTCTGAGCCCACAGACTTCATCTCAGAGTCTTTTTCTTCTCCTGCTTTTCTTCCTTCTCCTTGTTCTCCTCCTTCTTGGTCTTCTTCCGCTTCTTCACTAGCAGAGTTCGAACCCAACTCCATATCATAGTCGCATTCGTCTAGCCCTTCTTCTCCTCCTTCTATCTCTCCCTCTTCTCCCTTCACTCCCTCTTCTCCCTTCACTCCCTCTTCTCTTTCTTCATCTTCCTCCTTCTCTTTTGCTTCTTGAATAGAGAGTTTCGAAGCCGCCAAGTCCATGTCATGGTCGTCTTGCTCCCCGTGTTCTTCTATTTTGCCGTGTTGTCCTTGTTGTCCTCCTTCTTGCTCTCGTTGGTCAGAGGGGTCGGAAGCCCCCAATTCCATATCGTTTTCTTTCATGTCTGACTCACTTGGTTCTGTGGCTTTGGGTTCCGGCTCGTATATGGGATCAACTAACCATGTTAGCGCCGCGCCTGACCTTGCTGGAAGTGCTGGGAATACCGTCGCGTAGATGAAGTCTGAGAACTGTGGCAAGACGTTCAAGTACATCACATGCCATCCTCGCCATACTCGAGTCCTTCCGAAATTCATTGTCGAGTGTGGACATGGCGACGTCAGAAAACGGCAAATACCAGTCATTGAAATCCGCTTGCGCACCCGTCCACCACTTCTTCTTCTTGTCGCTGTCCGGCGCCATCGCGATGCACCTTTCTAGCAGCTCGCGACATTTCACCGAGTTTTCAAAGACTGTTAATGATAGATTCGCCATAGTGTTGTTCCAGAAGCAGACTTTAGCTTATGGAAGAGCAAGGATGGGCAAGGAGAGATCGCGTAGATGTAAATGAGAGGATGTAGAGCAAAGCGGCCCTGGAAGGCAGAAATTGAATACACACTTTGTGGCGGCTGTATAGCCGCCGACCTTTGCTACTGTTAAACAAAGATCCATGTCATTGTATTCTTCGTTTCAAGTAAAAGTGCCTGTACGTCGGACAAGGGCAAGGCGATACTTGCCTAGTGTGTAGCCGCCCGCACTTGACATGCCACAGAGGTACATAAAGGACTGTGCGAGAAAGAAGAAACAATATTCAGAGTGCCTCTTGTATGGTTTATTATTTGTGGTATCTATTTTTAATTTACAAAGAAAAGTTGGTTTCGGAATTTGCGCTTCGCCAATGAATGGAAGGTATCACGAGCGGCAAAATGCGGGTAAATGACAGTGAGCGCTTCCAGCAAAATACCCCAACCCCCAGCTTAGCAGTTATCCTCTGCAGGCTGCACCGACTTATCCAAAGTACTCTCACGAAAACGGCCCTCGCCGCGATGGCGCAGCTCCTTGTTGAGCGGTCCGCGGCGAAGGAGTCCGAGGATGTACGAACCATGGAGGATCTCGTGGTCGCCGTTTTTCAAGATCCACACGTTGCCCAAGCACAGCGCCAGCAGCACGCACGCCCACATGAAGGGGATCATGGAGATGAAGGCCCAGGTGATGCCCTCCTTGGCGTCGAGGTGGTCGACGCCGCTCTTGTTGTTGAAGACGGTGGTCATGATGGTCAGGCCGACGAGGCCGCCAAAGGGGATGGCGAAGGCGGACAGGCAGGTGATCTGCGAGGTGCGGTCCGGGAAGTAGCCGAGGTAGTGCAGCGAGGCCGGGTTCATGCGCAGCATGACGCCCTGGCCGATGAGCGCGAGCATGCCGTAGATGACGCTCGTGTTGCGCGCGTGCACGGCCCAGGCGAGCACGCTGATGCCGACGGCGGTCGTCAGCGCTCCAAAGGCCAGCGGCGGCAGCGTCTGGCGCGGCCAGACCTTGGCCGCGAAGATGGCCATGTAGACGCCGACGGCCAAGCCGGGCATGTAGTAGAGCAGGCCGATGCCGGCGTCGCTGGGGCTCTTGCCCTCGACAAAGGTGAAGTAGAGGTCCATGAAGTACATGGCGGCGAACATGGCCATGCCGCCGCCAAAACCGACGAGGAAGACGATGAGCGTGTCGCGCTGCGAGAGCAGGTCCCACGGCATCATGGCGCGCTGCCGGCCAAAGACGCGCGCCATGGCCCGGCCGTGCGCCATGGAGCGCTCAAAGACGAGCCAGGCGACGGTGAGCGCGACGCCGAGCACGAGCGGCGCGACCACGGCGGCGGAGCCCCACGGGTAGGTGCTGCCGCCCCAGGTAAAGGCCAGCAGCAGCAGGCCCATGCCGAGGAGGAAGAGCAGCTGGCCGACGGCGTCGACGGTGGAGATGCGCGCGAGGAAGCGGTGCCCGCGGGAGCCGCCCTCCGCGTTGCTGCCGGCGAGCTCCGGCAGCGGCTGCGGGCCGATGAGCTCCTTGCGGAGGAGCGCGGCGACGAGCACGACGGAGACGACGCCGATGGGCAGGTTGATGGCGAAGCACCAGCGCCACGAGGCCTGGGTGAGGTAGCCGCCGATGAGCGGGCCGAGGCCGAAGCTGACGCCGTTGATGAGCACGAATATGGTCCAGTTGGTGGCGTACTCGGAGAGCGAGACGCGGTCGGCGAGGATGGTGCGCACGGAGATGTTGACGCCGGAGCAGCCGACGCCCTGGATGGCGCGGCCGACGAGGAGCGCCGCGAAGGAGGAGGTCGGCGCGGCGGTGCAGATGGCGGAGCCGATGAGCATGGTCAGGATGGAGGCCTGCACGGTGACGTGCCGGCCGAAGACGTCGGTCATCTGCGCCCAGAAGAAGAGGAAGGCGGCCGAGGTGAGGTTGAAGGCGGAGATGATCCAGTTGAGCTGCTTGACTTGGTCTGGGGAATTGTTAGTGAGGCTGTGTGCGGTAGGTATGGGAAGGGAGAGTGAGGAACGTACGGAACTCGGTGGCGATATCAGACAGCGCGGAGGCAATGATGGTGGTGTCGAGGGCTTGTAGTGCAAAGGGACCAAAGAGGCCCGCGATGAGCTTCCAGCGGTAGATGGTGCGACGCTTCTTGTCGGCGGCTTCCTCGGGGGAGAGCTGCTTCTTGATCTTGGACTTTTTGAAAGTATCATTGGTGGTTGGTTGCTGATCGCTGGCGCCGGGCTGTTGGTCGTTGGTGACCGGCTGTTGTTGGTCGGGTGTGGTGGTTTTCTGGGTGCTTGTGTTGGTGTCTTGAGCCGTCTCTTGGGCGAGGGGCTTTTGGCGACGGTGCTCCTTGATCTTTTTGTACGCGTAATACATGATGAACTTATGAATGGATGAGCAATGGTGTCGAGGACAACAGCAGGGAGATGGAGGCGGAGGTGAGGAAGCTATATAGAAGCTCGACCTCGAATCAAAGTCCCGAAGCGGCTTACGGCCGGTGGATCGGGCGACGATGGGTGACACGCGCGGTCAGGCGTAAACTTGGTCCGACAGCCTGCAAAAGTTCAGGGACCTCGGGGAAAGTAGCCGAAGAGGGCAAGATGCACATGAAAAGCTGTGATAGGGCTGAGGGGACAACGCGTAACTCGCAACGTTGATTGGTGATGATACAGGGAGGAGTAGTTGCGTGGTCGCAGGAGCTGCGCCTCTGTTGCGTGAGACCTTTCAAAAGGAGTCATCCTTCGAGAAACTTGGTGCAACGTCTATTTCATCGTCTTTTTAGTATTCTTGTTCAGCTCTCAATCTTATTCCCAGCTTTCCGTTCGCATTCTTCGTACTCGACAGCCCTGGAGTTTGCATGGCACACCGGCCGGAAGCCAGGTGCCGGCGCCTGCTGCTCAGCTGGATGACGCTAAACCGTAAAGGGATACTTCTGGCGAGGTGACTGCTGGTTTAGTGAAGCTTCAGGGCTTGCCGGCGGGTCCTGGCGGGATTTAGCGGGTTTTATAGCGGCTCCACGGTGGATGTAGTGGCGCAGCCTTGGGGAAGTTACGGGCAGCTACCCTGAAAAGGACATGGCATGCATTGCTGGTGTTGCTATGCTTTGGGCTGACTGTGCAGAGAAATCTCGTGATAATTGGGAATAATATGTGACGCAAAGCCCAGTGTAGTGGAACTTTGGCCTATTTTTGAAATCATGAAAAATTCCTATGCGTTGGTGGACCAAATGGTAACTATGTACACACTTCAAAGCGATCTTGCAACACGACCAGCATTAAAGACACCAATTCCGCGTCGAAACCTCAGAAATAAATGTAAAAAATGCTTCGTTATAGCACTCTGTAAGTCAAGGAATATTTTTGTAAAATTTGCCCCTTCAGGCTCTTCTACAGCCACCACCAGAGCCCAAGGATTCACATATACACTCGGCAAGGCCCGAGTCTTGGCGATGGCAACATGCTTGTACCCTTCAGCTTTTATCCTCCATCACTCTTTGACAGGTGGCACAACAGACCTGTCTGACCTGACTGGGTACTACTTGACAGCTTCACTCTGCTTGTGCAGTATGCAGAATAAAAAAATTACGAGATAAATACTTTCACAGTCTCCAGAAATTACCATGATTCTCAAATTTGTAGCCCTCATTCTGTGTGTGGCGTGTATCACACAAACGCAGCCCATCAAACATCTCTCGAAATATTCCCTCCTACAAGCCTGCGCCATGCATTACGCAATTCAACCAAGCAATCCGAGTCCGATGCGAAACTAGACGACATAAACCCTAATCATCATCGTCATCATCATTCATCCATCCACATTGATCCTCCATCCATCTTCCACCCTCCCATCAGCCCTGCGATGCGCCCTGTGGAGTCGCGATGCCGCCCGCTGACGTTGCCACTCAGCCTCATCACCACGGCCTTTCCGACCTCGCGCAAACATTCCTCATCCATCCACGCCATCAGCTAAAAGAATCGCGATGCCCACCCGCCGAGCGGAACCACCGCGAATAACCCCTCCAATCGTCCGCTGAAGCCCCGCGCCGTCGTTCGTCATGGTCGGCGTCCCTGGCCGCTCAAAGGCCTGCAACACCTGCCTCAAGCGCAAGATTAGGGTAATGAGCTTCCCCGAGATCCGCCAAGCGCCGTTCTTCGCATCCGACTCACATCATCGCAGTGCGACCTCGCCAAGCCGTACTGCGGCAACTGCTCCAAGTCGAAACGCGTATGCGGGGGGTACGCCCGCAAGACGGCCTACGTCTTCTCCGACAACGTCGTCCTGCCCGCAAACGCCGCCCACGACACCGACGGCACCCTGACCTACCAGGGCCGATGGAAGGGCAGAACCACAAAGAAATCAACCAAACCATCACCGCCACGCACAGCAGACCACAATCTACTCATTGCAGAAGTCCGCCCGCGTCTACAATGGCTCACCGATGACACCTCCTCCGACACCTCCTCCCCCGGCACGACCACCCCGCCACCGCCGCTGGCCGTTCCCAACTTCCTCGACGTCCAGCGCATCCCCATGATGCCGTCGCTGTGGCAGCAGCTGCACCACGTCTTCCTACACGCCTACATGCCACGCGAGGGCCTCGGCGCCGCCGAGAACGCCGGCGTCGTGACCGGCAACTGGCTGCTGCAGCTGCGCGGGCGGCCCTCCTCGCTGCCCGCCCTGCAGACCGCCGTCGCCGCGCTCGCCACCGCGCAGCTCGGCCGCGATCACGCTGACGCCGCCCTCCGCGCCCAGAGCGCCCACCTCTACCTCCGCAGCCTCGAGCACCTGCGCGCCGCCATCGCCGCGCCCGTCACCCGCCTGAGCGACGACGCGCTGGCCGCCTGCCTGGCCCTCGGCGTCTACGAGCTGACGGAGAAGCCCATCACCTCCTCCTCCTCCAGAAGACGCCCACGGGAGGAGGAGGGCGGGGGCGCCGCGTACGCCAAGCACGTGGCCGGCGCAATGATGCTGCTCGAGCTCCGCGGGCCGGACGCGCACGACACCCCGCTCGCGCACAGCCTGTTCCTCGGCCTCCGCCGGCACAGCGTCATCACCACGCTCATCCGGCGCGCCGACAGCTTCCTCTCCGACGACGCATGGCGCGCGCGGCCCTGGCGCGTCTACCCGAAGAACATCCTCGACCGGTGCCTCGACTGCGTGCTGGACCTGCCGCCGCTGCAGCGCCTCGCCGACGACATGCCACGCGGCGGCGGCGGCGGCGGGGTGGCAGACGAACTCGTGGAAAAGTGCACCGCGGTGTTGGCGAGGCTGGAGGAGTGGCACGGCGCGTTTGAGGCGCAGTTGGTCGGCCCGCCGTACTGGTCGCGCTTCAGCACGCTGGGCGACGACGGTGGCGAGACGCCGTTCCCGGTGTCGTTTGCGTTCCCGACGTTTGGCACGGCGTACCTGCTGATGACGTACTGGTCGGGCGTCATGGTCAGCCACTGGCTGCTGTTCGTCGCCTACCGCAGCCTCGCCGATGATGAGGATGATGCGCGGCTACGCGCACGACGGCAGGAGCACAGGGAGGCCTGGGTCGCCATGGCGCGGAACCTGTGCCAGATGACCGAGTACCTGCTCGGCGACGGCATGGGCAAGGTGAGCCTCACGGTTGCACTGGCGGTGCTGGAGGGCGCCATGGCTATGTTCCGCGACGGCACGCCAGACTGGGAGAGGGAGAAGGCCTGGGTTGCGGAGATGATTGACCGGACGGTTGGGAAGCTCGGTGAAGGCGAGCATTGTGGTGGCGGGGTGGTGGCCGCAGGCGGCGTGCTCGCAATATAGTAGGATCATGTTAATGAAAAGACTTCAAAATCAACGCTGGTTTAAGCTAGGCATTATTGCCTTGGTATCTAATGATAGCTAGTACGCTTCGCTCGTCCTAAATGCTGTTTACCCGAGTGGCAGAAATATTCAGAAAAGCAAGTCTGTGGGAGGCGGCAACATCCTGTGGCAGCAGCCATCCTATGCTGCCAGTTCTGTGTGTATCGCCCCTCTATCTTCCTCTCCATCTTCTTTTTTCCGTTTTTCCTCTTCTTCTTGCTTTCCCTTTTCTCGTCTTCCTTTTCCTCTGCTTCCTTTCGCTCCTTGGATATCTAATCCTCTGACTTCTGCCCCTCTGACTTCTGCTCCTCTGACTTCTGCTCCTCTGCCTGTTGTTCCTGCTTCCCCGCCTCCACCTCCGCCTTCTGCTCCTCTGAATTGGATTGCTTCTGTTCATTCAACTTTCTTTCCTTCGAAGCTATGAACAGTGCGTGATGCTTTGCTATAGCTGCCACCTGCACCGCCTCCTTGTGCTGCTCAATGAACCTCTTCACCTCGTCCTCCTTGTAGAGACCGTCTGCGTCGAGCATGGATTCGTCAAACTGTACCCCGTAGCTTTCATCGCGCTCCAGTATAATCTTCTTGAGGCCCTTTTCCAGGCATCCGCGCGTGGTCATGGCCATGTGAGCCGTACAGTCCGGCGTCAGTAGCGGGGCAACGCCCTTGATGAGGTCGTCCCGGATACGGGAACGCTGGCTCTCACGCCGGAACTCGCGCTGGCGGTTCTCGAACAGGTTTCGCACGCCAAATACCTCCAGCGCGTCCGCAGTGACTTCTTCCCGCGACATCTGCTCGACTGCGAAGCGCCCCTCGAGCCGACACCGCTGGCAGAAGCCCTCCCTCCAGGCCTTGAAGACGGGTCGGGTCTTGAGGCGGTGCCGATCGCTGTACTTGAGGTTTTCCAAATCCTCTTGGAGACCTTTGATACCTAGATCAGGTTTGACATACATCATGCGGCAGAGCGCGACGTACTCGAACATGGCGTCCGGTGTGGCAAAGGGCTCGTCGATCCAGATGCACTCATACTCGGCACCGGTGTGCGGCAGCCCGAGGAAGTCGAGCACACGATTCGGGTCCGAAGTGAGGTGCACCTTGGCTAGTTTCTTATTCTTTTTCTCAATCTCGGGGATGCGGAGGTACATGCCCGTGTCGTCGATTGTGAGTCCGTACGGTCGGACGAGGCATCCGATGATGTTCCAGATGTCGCCGTGTGCGTGTTTGAAGAGCATCCAATTGTGCTCCTCAAGACTGGGGGAGATGCGGACGTCGACTTGGATGTACTTTTGCTCTTTGTCGGGGGAAGAGCCAGGGGAAGAGGGGGCCGCCGCGGAGGCATCATCAGCGGCATCGGGTGTGACCTGGTCATCAGCGTCGGTCGGCCATGGTATGGCGAGGTTAGAGGATGACTTTTCGGCGAACTGGGTGCGTTTTGAGCCGAGAAGAGTAGCCAGCTCGTGGATGAGCTCATACCCGGGCTCTGTATCGCTGAGAGGCTGAGGGGGCGGCGGGGCTTCTGGACGGCGTTGGAAGACGAGAATGTCAATGTCACCAAAGTCCTTCTTTCCCGGACCGTCGATGGGTGAGTCGACGTGGACGTAGAGTTTGCGGAGGAGAGCCTGGCAACGCTGCTTCTGCGCATGGTAGATGCTGGGCAGCATGCGCGGAGTGCGCAGCGGAGCTCTGCCGCAGGAAAAGGCAGAGCCACCCATGGCAAAGGGTGAGATGAGATTGCGCGAGAATATTGAATATCAAAGGCTGCTTGAGGGGATAGAAGATGGGGATGGATGGTGGTAGATAATATTATCTGTTGGGCGAGCGTGATGTTGTACGGCTAAGTTAGTTGTGAGTCAGTCAGTGAGTAAGGCGGGCGTGATGCTCAAGTTGGGCGTGCTCCGTTTCCCGCTTGAGAGGGAACGCTGTGGTGGGGGAGTTGTTGAGAAGGATCAATGGGAATTTATTCATTCACAGTTTTTTGAGATGGGAACTTTTTGGGTCCGTTGTTGATTTGATGAGAAAGCTTTTACCCATTCACTGCGGTTCGCAGTTTCTTTAGCGGTGAATTTGCAAGACAATATCTAGTTCGTGGTGCAGGTAATTCTGTGCTCTTTTTGTTTTTAATATTTTATTAGAACCCTCCGTTTGTAATATTTGTGAACCAGAACGTCTTTCATATAAACGCTCGTATTTCCCTTCGAAACGTACGTAATCCGTATTTCGCCGTGAGACAAATTGTGCGACTGAGCTGGGCATGACAGCGAGATGACACCAATTAATGCCGCGCGTCAATGTCGTGCAGAACAGCATCATTTACCCAATCCGTTACAGTCAAGGCCTCAAAAATGAACCAAAATTAGGCCGTTCTTTTGTGCTACAACATCAACCACCGCTGCACTTATTTAAGCGCCGCCTGCACAACCGCGCCCTCGTCAGTCGGTGCCTAAAAAACTATGTTGACGAGTACGAGCCGGCGGCAACACACACAGGAGGGAATGCGCACAGAGGAAACCGGAACAATGTACGAGGCCACAAAGGACAAGAAGCACGACTTATGGGTGTATTTATTCCTGCTGCGTCGGCAGGCTGGAGGGTTACTCTGCTAAGCCTTTCCCTGTTCACGCGGACCTCCGTTTTGGAACGACTACCGCCTGTCGACATGCATGTGCGGCTTTCCACAGAGTCGGAGAAGAGATGATGCATCGTTGGTCATGCGACGGTGACAATGCTTCCAACTATCCTGACAGTTATAGCCGTTGTGGCGACCGTTCGCGTTAGCACAGTCCTGTAGACGGATGCAGGCTCAGAAACGGTTCTTGGCCTCGTCATGCCGACTCTAGTCTCCTTCCGCTCCATCATATGCCGCCTCATCGATGGACAGGTAATCTGCAAGCATCGCTGGCTCCTCTCAACCGATGCAAGCTCCTGACTGAGACAGCGAATGTAAGAAGAGACTCGGCCTTGCGAGGACAGCGGAGGCGGCATTACGACGGCTGCACTACTAGAACCGGTCGGCTCAACGCGCACGCTGTCACCGCGGGGCCTGACAGGTGTCACACGGACAGTGATGCCATGTGGAACGTGACGCTCCAGCTGCCGAGAGCACCCAAGCTCGCCATCCCTGGCTCGCCGGAAAGCGGCAAGTCTGCGCATCCTCGAGATGGGTGAGGGTAGGTTTATCAACATGACTGATATCCTGTTCGCTGGACAGCAATACCAGCGAAATCTGTACCCTCCCAAGAAAGATATTTCTGAAACACGTTACACTAGAATACATGTACAGAGACGGCTGCGTAGCGACTCTACTTTTGCCGCACGAAGATGAGGATCAAAAACGTACACAGCTGCAGCACACCGGCTGCCAAGAAGGGCAAGCCGTACCATGACTGTCCCCATTCCAACCCGACACGGAACGCGCTGGCCATGACCGGCCCGGCGAGCATAGAGCCGGTGGCACTCATCGTCGACACACACGCGTAGACGGTGCTCTGCTGCGTGACGCCCGCGCGCTCCGCGACCGCGATGATGACGCTCACAATGGACGGCATGTATCCGCGCTGGCACTCGTACAGGGCGACCGCGAAGACGAACGCGGGTCCCGTCGGTGCCAGCGCCGTCAGGAAACTGCCGAGGACCTGGACGGCGCCGCTGCCGCGCGCGAGCCAGAGGTCCTTGCTCAGCGCCGGGCCGCCGCGCCGGAGGAGCAGCCAGCTGAGCGCGGGCAGCACGAGCACGAGCGTGGAGAGGTTGGCGGCGGAGGCGACGGAGGAGAGCAGGCCGGCCTGGGCCCAGGTCCAGCCGAAGCGCTTGGTGGCGTACTGCAGCCGGAAGGTGGTCTCGTAGGCGCCGAGCGTGGTGAAGACGACGCTGCCGAGGAGGAGCGTGAGGAGCAGGTCGGGCCCGAGGAAGACGAGACGGAGGGTGGTGGCGGCGGAGGCGACCACGTCGGCTACGCGAGCGCGGATGCTGGTGGGCGGGGAGGAGGAGGAGGAGGAGGAGGAGGAGGATGGGGCAGGGGTGTTGCGGAGACGGCGAGGCATGGCGAAGCCAGGGATGGCCATGAGGCCAAGAAGCGCAACGCCGACGGTTTGAGCGGCGACGGGGCCACCGCGGCTCATGACGAAGTAGACGACGGGGCCGGTGAGGAAGGCGATGGAAGTGCTGTAGGCCTGTATGTAGAAGAAGAGGGTGGTTCTATGTGTTTGTTAGTAGGAAGGAAAGGTACAGGCTGTCTGAGGAGGATTACCTGTTCTTTTCGTCGACGAGGCTGGCGCCAACGAGGTAGCGCATGGCGACATAGGTTGCGCCGCCGCCGCCGATGAGCGTCATACAAGACGAGGCGTATATCCAGCGGACGTTGAATATTTGAGGATTAAGGCCTGGAAAGGAGTCAGTGGGACGCGACCTCGTAAAGAAAGCCCAGGGAGGGTGAACGCACAGACGAGGAGGTGTCCTCCCTCGGATAGGAACTGGCCGACCCAGACGAGCCCGAGGACGATGTTGGGCCCGTATCTGTCGGCGACGACACCGTACGGGATGGACATGAGCAGACCGGGTATTACGGAGATGGTATTCTCCATGCCGATGATCCACGCGAGGTCCGCCTGCACGGCCTCGTGCTTGCACCGGGGGTCGCCGTAGGGCTGGGTCACGTCCGGGAAGCGCGTGCGGCAGAGGGAGCCCTCGACGAGGGCGGCGACACCGGCGGCGACGAGCGCAGCTGCGAACTCGACGACCGTGAGGATGATCAGGAACGGCACGGCGGTGCGTAGCAAGCCTGGTTGCGTGCTTGTGATTGTGGTGTTGGAGGAGGATGAGGAGGAAGGGAGGAGAGGCGCCGTCTCGCCGGCGTGCGCGCCGGGATCTGCGCGTTCTATCTCGCTCATCACAACGACGTATCAGGTGTTAGTGCTTGAACATGAATGAGGCGTCTGATGGTGAAGAAGTCGAGTGAAGATGAAGGAAGTTGAGTGAGGTTGAGTGAGCCTGGACGAGGGCTGGTTTGGGGTGATGAACGGACGGGACGTGAACCCGTCCGTAAGCTCGGACCACGGAGTGGAGCTAGCCTCCGAATGGAGTTGGGGCGGTTGACTTTCCTGTTTGGAAAAGTTGATGGTGCCAGAATGAAAAAGTTCCATGAAGGATTTACGCTAATTAAAAATTACTTGTTCGTGCGTATTAATCGTATGCGTGGCAGAGGGGTGCAGGAAGTATGCGTGGCTGAGGGCGGTCAGCAATGGGAGGGACGGGTAAAGCCGAAAGGCGGCGCAAGCATCTAGCCGAATCCTTCGAGCAACGTACAGTGAGCGGGTGGCATCTTGTATCTGTCCCTGTTATATATTTACCTCGATAGGTGAGCTATGTACCTAAGAAGGATGAGATATCTAACTGGGGACAGATACACGTTTCCACCCACTGTACATCCATTAATATTAACCTGTATCCATACATATCATACGTGATAGTACTGTGATAATGTCATCACCGCAGCCAATCAAACGTGTCCATCAACTCAAAGCTGAAATCAGGCTGATCAAAGACGCCCCAGTCGAGCAGCTCCGGCACGGCGGCGGCGCCATTGGCACCGAGGCCCGCGCCGCCGGCAGCAGCCATGTTCAGCGTGTAATCGAGCACGCGCTGGATGATGGCGCTGCAGTCGCGGCAGAGAGTCGCATTGGGCGCCGCGTCGCGCACCCAGTCGAAGAAGCCTATCAGCACGCTCAGCTGCTGGATAATGCTCGACCGCGTCACCTTGACGTCGAGCGGGTGATTGCCACGAAACGTCGGGTATAAAAGCTCCTGGCAGAGCACACCTGCACCAGGCGCACCATACGACAAAACCTGAACAGGTTAGCGGAGTGCGCTCTTTCTAGAGAAAGGTGGAAATGTTGGTGGTGACACGTACAATCCATTCAAAATTCCGCCGCATTGTCTGCATCGAGAAGCGGTCCTGGTTCATCCAAAAGTGCAGCGTCAGCGACACCATGGTCACGCTGACTATCAGCAGCTCCCCGTTGCCGACATAGTTGCACCGCTGCAAAAGACGCTCTGCAAAGAAAATGTTCTGCAGGTGCTCCAGATGCGTAAACGCCTTCATGTACGCCACGTTGGGTGGCACATCCGGTGACGCCAGATCGCTTGCGCAGAGTCGTAAACCGTCAGGAAACTGATCTGCCAAGGAGCACTGTCGACTTCGCAAATCCCTAAAACAGTCAGCTTTACCCCCTCATGTCAGTCAGGCAACGTACAATAGATAGTCAACGTTGAGGCTAGCCTTTCCCAGCGTCGCCTCGATGAGCTCATCGCGAATCATGGAAATCATGAACCGCGCGCGGATCGCAGTGCTCGCATACAGCCTGCCAGCCGTGTTCCACCCGTTGGCATCGAGCGACTTCGCCGCACGCTGGAGCCGCGTGGGGTCCAGTAGGTCCTCGTCGGCAATGTCGAGCGGCATGGGCGCGGAAAAGTAGCGGTGGCTAATGAATGGCGGCCGCCCGGTAAAGGCGACGCCGAGCTTATCGCGGGTGAAGACGTGCACGGCAATGCGCCGCTTATACTCGGAGTAGAACGTCGGTGTGTACGTGGCGGCCTCGTCCTCCTCGGTCGTCTGGGTCCCGAGAAATGTCATGAAGGCGATGCTGGACGCGCCCGTATCCCACGAGGACATGGCTGGTCATAGTCAGTATCTGTTGTGGCGGCGAGTTGGGCAGAGACTTACAGAGCTCGCCATCCACTAGCGAGTGAAGTGTGGCGAGGCGCCGGATCATGTCCAGGAGGAGTACGCTGGGGTTGCTAAAATGTTGCACGAGACGAATGCAGTATCCGAGGTTGATACGCGCCGCTTCGACGGAAGTGTTATTCGCAGACCGCACTAAGAGCGTCTTGTTGAGGGCGTCAAACATATCGGACGCGCGCTCCATGTGTGCCCACAGCAGCGCGATCGACTCCCACCGCAGGCTGTTGGCACTGCAGAACGCTTCAATCCAGGCCTTACAGTCCGGGTAGTCGTCCTGGAACGGGCGGGCCGTATTGTCGCAGAGCATTCGGGCGAGAGCCTCGAGTGCAGCAGCCTCGCCGAGGTGCCGTGACGCCGCAAACATTCGCCGTAGGTTGCGGACGATGCGGTCGACGGCGATATACGTCCAGCCGCGGGGCTCGACAGTGCCGTCGAGGTACGCCATCTGCGCGTCGCGCTGGCCGGGCAACCCACGCAGTACGACAAGGCACATCTGACGGATCATGTACGGAAGCTCCTGAAAGGGTACGGCCGGTTGGTTTGGTGTGTCGGGGTTATAGTCGACGTCGTCGGGAGAGCCCGCGCTTCCGCCGAGCAGCAGCAAGCTGCTCTGCGTTTCTTCAAGGACTGAGGTGTGCCCCAGGCGGGCGCTCGGTCGAGGCGTGGGCAGTCCGACGACGGGTGGCGGCGAGACGGAGGACTGTGTGGCTAGGTCGAGCTCGACAGGGAGCGGGAGCTGCAAAGGCGGCAGCAGCGGCGGCAGGGGCGGCGGCTCCGCGACGGAGGACGCGGTGATGAGGCCATCGGACAGCTGCGACGAGGGCTCCCTGCTGACCCGCTTGATCGCCGAATGCCCGCCCGAGTAATTGCATCGCGAGCCGATGTTCTTCTTGAAGCAGCGCGTGCAGACGGGTTCTCGGTGGTCGCACGACACCTTGCGGGCGCGGCAGGGGTCGCACGCGGCAAGACGGCCGTTGGGGCGACGGTGCGTGGTTTCCATGGGCGGAGTGACTCTGAGGGAAAGCTAGAGCATTGACTCGATGGGGCGCATCCTTTGGCGATGATGATGCATATTGGAATGTGGTGCGTTAGAAGTTGCATGTGGATGTATGGTTGCTCGAGCTTGACAATGACAAGGAAACCCGGTTCCGGAGGTGAGAACGCCACCAAACGGTTTAGCGGCGGGTGGCGGTGGCTGCTGCATGAGTAACAGCACATGGTTGTTGTTGTCTTGAAGGGATTCGGGAATGCATTGTTGGTTGATCCCTGAGATATAAATTAAACTCATTGAACATCTCAAAATTTATTTCACATTCTGGTGGAAACGTCATGTCGCTGCCCGCACAGCAAATGGCTTGCGTTGACCAGTTGGAGCCTCAAAGGAAATGTAAGTACCTTACAATTACCTCTAGCAGTAGTTCTGCGGTTCTTACGCATTGTGGTAAATATTTGTTGAGGTACCTTGAAGTAATAGTTCGAATCATAAACACCAATTGCCCCGTGAAGCAAACACTTGCAGCTAGCTCTCTGCAACATTAGATAGATCTCGATATCGGAGAGACATCTTTCCATCGTCGCCGACCTGCATAGAAAATAAACTATTATTATACCTAGTTCTGCAAGACTCACAACCCAGTGATTAGGCCCATAACTATTGCCCGTAAGTCTCGGGTGACGTGAAATTTATAGATTGATCTATACGACATCCAGAGTACAACCAGGCGAGCCATCTGGCCACTATCTACCACCAGAGCCATGCGACAATATCGACGAAGACGTCAGGAGTCCACATGGTAGAAATGAGAGTGGAAAGTTGGCACATTGGAGAATGACTTAAAAACAGAACAAGAAGAAAGGAGCATATATTCAATTTATGTGTACATGTATATCGCGGATAATGTTGCTATAGTGCACTGTTTTGGAGTCCAGTTTCCCCGCCCACTGACTGAGCGAGTGGATTGGAGAAAAATTGGATCCAGCACTGGCAGCTGCTGTTGCGAGCTGCGAGGCTGGCAACCAGTATCAGCCGCCAGCTTGCGTTTGCTCACCATAATCTTCAAAACTCAACCGTCTCTCGCCATCACTACTCTGTGTCATCATCAGCCTTTCTCAATTACAATCCGGAACATCTCGTCTGTCACCTTCACAGCATTCAGATGCCAAGATGCACACGGTCTTGGCAAGCATCGCGCTCCCCACGAATCGTCCACCACCAACACCGTACCCACGAGCCACTTCCCCAGACGAACGAGTAATACTTCAAGCCCATCGTTGCCTGGACCGCCTATAACCCAGCTTACCAGTCTAATCCCGCCGCACCGCAACGCTAGTTCAATAATCCGTTGCGCAGACGTTGCAAGGCTAAATTAACGGCGGCCGTACGACACCTGCAGCTCGGGACACACGGGTCCGCGTGGCTCCTCTAGATTACTGATAGCGTGTTACGCGGCCACTGTTAGACAGTGTTAGTGACAGGCCAGGCACGCACTGGCCAAGGATTTGACTTTTCAAATGCCAGACGATAGTAACAAATCTTTCCGAGTGTTACGATCCGGCCCGGCACTTGGGCCATATCGTCGCTCAATTCACGACAAAAGTCGACAACAACTCAGGATCATTAACGGCTCAAACTCGTCATAACCAGCTGCGACGCACAATCTCTATGGAAATGCATTAACTAGGAAATCAAGCCGCGCTAACTGTCAATGCATACGCCCGGTGCCTTTCCAGGAAGGTTGGGCCGTCAGCCCCACCAATATCAGCTTCATTCCAGCTTTTAGGTGGCTTGTTAGTCGACTTCACGGACCGGGCCAGCCGAATGACGGCTGACACAGCCCCAGGCAGCTGGATCCTTTTTTCGAATAAGAAGGCTCTGGCGGAACCTGGGGTCCGATTCACTTTTTGTTCCTGTCTCGTGCCCGTCTTCTCTTTTGCCGTCGTCGTCCTTTTACAACCCCCGCAATGCGTACCGCTACCCTCTCCGCCGCTGCCCTCTTGGCTGGCTCCGCCATGGCCGCCGAGTGCTCCCAGGGCCTACACATTCTCGTCGGTCGCGGCACCGGCGAGGCCGCGGGCCTCGGCGAGACGGGTGCCCTCGCAAAGAACATCAGCGCGCTTGTCCCCGACTCCGATATTGTCGCCATCGACTACCCGGCCACTCTCTCGGACCCCAGCTACGACGTTTCTGAGAAGGACGGCGCCAAAGATGTCTACAACAAGGTCACCCAGTACCACAAAGACTGCCCCGGCCACAAGATGGCCTACCTCGGGTGGTCCCAGGGTGCCCAGATTGCGATCAACGCGTTTTGCGGCGGCCAGGGTGGACTCTTTGGCACCGATGCTGCGATTCCCGCCGATGCGGTTCAAGATGGTGAGCCACAACTTTGCGCAAGCCCGCGCCAGTGCAAGCTAACGAAGATAGTTGTCGCGATTGCCATTTTTGGCGACCCAAGCTTCAACCACACTGCCCCCTACGTCAAAGGCACCAGCACTGCTGACGGCGTACGTTTCAAGCCCGTATGGGAATGCACCTGCTAACTCAGCATCTAGCTCTTTGTGCGAAACGGCATTGGTGCATGCGCCAACTTTACCAACAAGATCGTGTCCTTTTGTGACACTGGCGATGTTTACTGCAGCAGCGGACAGAACCGCTCGGTCCACGGCCTATACCTGGTCAACTACCCCAAGGAGATGATCAATTTCGTTGTCAGCGGCTACAACAAGGCCACGGGCAGCAACGTAGGCGGTGGCAACAGCACGGTAACGACCGCTAGCCCTACGGCCAGCTCCAGCGCCAGTGTGAGCGGTGGCAGCAGCAGCCAGGCGAGCCCTACGTCGAGCACCTCACCCACGGCCACGAACAACAAGAACGCCGCTGCCGGCCTTTCGACTGGCCTGATGTATGCTGTGCCTGTTGCTCTGGGTGTCGCGGCCCAGATGCTTCTGTAGGCAGCACGTGACGGGAGCGCGTTGTAATGGTACGATCATGGCATCTATAAAATCAACTAATAATGTCAAACTGGTCAATTTTGGATAATGAAATTTGGACATACCCAAGGATGATGAATCTGAAACTGTACAGAGGCTGGGGCCAAATCAAGCGTGAATGAGGCTCTGTGCATGATAACTTGCAGCAGGAGTCAGTGATCGCGGCTAGCGCATCTTATGCACCTCTCAGGCCCGATCTGGAGAATATGTCGATCAGCTTGGCTGTGAGCATACTGGGGAGATGGTGGCAGTTGGGGTAGGGGGACATATACGTCCCGAAGGCGTTTTACTCTTCTCTCGACCCGACAATTCTGATCTTGCCTCTTTCGTGCCGACTACGCTACGCAGGACAGAGTTCGTCTCGCTCTCCGCGGCCTATGGCGCCATGTCGTCGTCGTCGTGGCCATCGCGTTCTCGGCAGGACGGCACATCGAGGGGAACGAGCAAGAGTTCACAGAAACTATGATCGTGCCGAGATCCGCGAGGATTTAATATCTTATTCACATGGGCCAATGGTCTCAGAGTTGCGTGTCACGACATGTGCGACGCGCTCGGACACAGACGCAGTGCCGGCACCCGACATAGCGATGCATCTATGTAACGTCAGATTCGATCTACGGCTTGTCAACATTTCCAGAGCCAATGAAGAATTCTGATACAAGCAGAGGCGTTGCAAGATTGACGCCATGACTTTTTGAGAGTCCGGGGAAGCTCTGAGGCTCTGGTCCAGCATTGCATTGTCTCCGGGACGCGCGGGCACCGAGGCCAGGAAGCGGTCAGGAAGCTGCGGGGAAAAGACACCTCGATGGCCGCCTACCAGAAGATAACTGGAAGGCCATTTGAAATGACAAAGATGAATTTATAATATCTGCTTATAAATTTTTTCGAATAGGGCATTGGTTGGTATTGTTCAGTTTCTTGCTCGATTTGGCTCACCAGCTAAACCCAACGAGGCAGCCAAGGCGCAAATATGACGACTCCACAAAGGCTATATCTCTCGCCGGCGGTCGGCTTTAGTTTCTGGGATCATTATGGATTTTGTGGAATGTTATGGATCTTGACTCGATTCGGTAACTTTTCGAGATGGTTTTGCACAGATTTTTTCCCTTTTTTTTGGACGCGTTCCTGGGAATAATGTGCGGCTGTTCGGCAAACTCAAGATGCTACCCCAATGGGGCAGTTGGCGCTCATGCCTCTCAGTCAAAACCCCGTCGACCGGAGATGCAACCTTGTGAGAAAAAGCCTTTTCTATTAGTTATAGCGTTAACGGCAAAGATCAAGTATTGATGATTCCATTGTTTAGGGTGGGGTATCTTGCATCCAGGAACCTTGTATAAAAGCCATCCCGTCCTGGACCACCTTGACGTTGGTCGACCGACCAGTTCTCCAGACGACCTACGGATACTCTTGAAGTTATTTCTTCATAATCCAGCGACTGTGCATAGACGCCTGTCAGGATTCAATAAAACTTCTCTCCCCTCTGATGCCTTGAGTTGGGGCAACTCTCACATACACCCCGACCATGGCCTGCCAACAACCCGTCGTGGCGCCGGACAGCACCACCGTCGACCCGGGCCACAGCCTCGTCAAGTTCCTCTCCCGAGCCTCGAATCGCCATGACACATCCGCCGCCGAGCAAGGCATCTCTGCCTCCAACAACACCAGCATCGGCCTCACCGACGTCGAGATTGAGCGTCTCGGCCGCGCACGCCCGGCATGCTTCGCCACCTGGTGGGCCGAGATCGCCTTCGTCATCACCGTCGTCTCGTCCATGGTCATGAGCGAGTACTGGATCTCAGGCTTCAACATCATCCTGCCGCCCGTATCGCGTGACCTGGGCATGGCCGACGCCGAGCGCACCTGGCCCGCGTCGGTCGTCAACCTGACCACCGCCTCGCTGCTGCTCGTCTTTGCGCGCCTCGCCGACATGCACGGCGGCCGCACCGTCTTCCTCGCCGGCCACGCCTGGATGTGCGCGTGGTGCATCATCGCCGGGTTCAGCAAGAACGGCACCATGCTCATCGTCTGCCGCGCCATGCAGGGCGTCGGCGCCGCTGCCTTTGTCCCCGCCGGCCTGGCACTGCTCGGACAGACCTACCGGCCCGGCCCGCGCAAGAATCTCGTCTTCGCCGTCTGGGGCGCCCTCGCCTGCGTCGGCTTCTACGTCGGCATCTTCATGGGCGCCGTCACCGCGCAGTTCCTCACCTGGCGCTGGTTCTTCTGGATCGGCGCCATGCTCGTCGCATGTATCGTCGCCGCCGGCTTCCTCAGCATCCCGCGCGACCTGCACGCGCTCGACCCGACTATCAAGATGGACTGGCTCGGCGCCGCCACCATCGTCCCCGGCCTGACCCTCGTCGTCTTCGCCCTGACCGACGGCGGGCAGGCCCCGCAAGGGTGGAAGACGCCGTACATCTACGTGCTGCTCGTCGTCGGCCTGCTCTTCCTCGCCGCCGCCGTGTACGTGCAGGGCTGGGTCTCGGCGCAGCCGCTGCTGCCGGCGGACCTGTTCCGCCCCAAGTACATGAAGCGCCTCTGTGTGGTGCTCTTTTGCGCCTACGGCACTTTTGGTCTCTTTCTCTTCTACATCTCCTTCTATATTGAGACGGTGCTGCACATGAGCCCGATCCTCACCGCCGCCTGGTTCACGCCCCTCGCCGTCGGCGGCATGGTGCTTGCCGTCACCGGTGGCTTCATCATGCACCTGCTGCCGAACCGCATCCTCCTCCTCATCTCCACCGTCGGCTTCCTCGTCAGCGTGCTACTCCCGCCCCTCATCCCCGACCAGACCGGCCCCTCGTCCATGTCCACCGCGAAGCTCTACTGGGCGTACATCTTCCCGGCCATGCTGTGCGGCACCATCGGCGTGGACATCATGTTCAACGTGACCAACGTCTTCATCACCACCGCCATGCCGCACCGCCACCAGAACGCGGCCTCGGGCCTCATCAACAGCCTGCTCTACCTCGGCCAGGCATTCTGGCTCGGCATCGCGGAGCTCGCCGTCTCCGCGTCGGTGCAGACGCAGGGTGCGGAGAAGTTGGGCCTGCGCGCGCAGTACCAGATCGGCTTCTGGCTGGGCGTCGGGCTGTCGGCGCTGGCCCTGCTGCTGACGGCCACGGTGCGCATCGGGTCCGCGTCGGCGGCGCTGACGGCGGACGAGAAGGCGGCGCTGAGCGAGGCGGAGACGCAGGAGAAGCCGTAGAGGGGAAAAGGGATTTGGGGCGGTGTCTTTATGATTTTATGAAGCTTGCATTTTGTTTGCCGTTTGGCTCGCATAGACCACATACATAGATATAATGATGCATCAAGACTTAACTAACTTTGGCTCTTTTTTTTTCTGTATCAGCCTCGCATGCTAACTCTGGACTATTATCGCAACTATGCATTCATGCTGCATCCTCGCATGATCCAGCAGGGTGTCATTTTCTTCTCGAAAACCCCGTGCATCTCATAATTCCAAGTTTTTATAACCAGATTCCGTACATATCATGTTCCATCCCCTAGATTCGTTCGTAGCTTTCGCAATTTCCTCCAGCTATAACCATCGAAAAACCAAAGATTTAGACGTCAATAAGAATGTATTCATAGGATCGAGATCCGAGCTTGCGGAGATGGAACCCGGGTCGGCAGTTAACCCTCTTCTACCCGGCCCGGCCCCACCACACGCGGGTGGCTGACGCCGGCTAACTGAGGGTGAAAACCAACCGTCCCCCTCGATGTTTCTGAAAACCCTCATCGGTCAACAAACCGATCGAAACCCCTTCTTTTTTTTTTCCCTTTCGCGACATCTATGGGTGGCCATTCTTCACGGCCTAGCTCACTTCCCACCAAGTTCAGCGCGGCCGTCCTCGGACATCTAAGACAGCCTTTGACTTCCCCCCGCGACACGAGGATCGGGCACCCATCCCAGCCATCCGCAACGAACAATCCACAGCATCGGCGGATCGCGTTTACTACAGGCGAATCTTTCACATCAAACTTCTGAACATTTTCACGATACGACAAACAATACTGGCATCAAAAAAAGCCTCCAGCGAAGTATATTCGCCCGCGGCAACGTCGATTCAATATTACACCAAGGCTGAACCGGTCCCACGAAAAAGCAAAACGCCCGACAAGCTGTTACGGCTTGCTTTGCTATAACAAAGAAATAATATGAAAAGGGTAAAAAAGAGGTAAAATCACTTTTTAGATGCATCCACTCCACGGCTCCCATCCACGGGCTTACTGGTGCAGACCGCACGTCCGTTGCTTCATCAGCTCGCGGCGGGCCTTGTCCTTGTCTGCGATGGAATCAGTACACGATCGATAAATGGAAATGGGGGGAAGGCTATGACAAAAGAACGTACCTCCGTCAAAAACGAGAAACTCGTGCAGGGCAGACCCCGCGGGAACCATTGGCAGAACGGGCACCTTCTTGTCCGTCATCACCTCCAGGAGCGCCGGTCCGTCCGACTCAATCAGCCAGCGAAGGCTGTCAACCACGTCAGCCGGGTCCGAAACGCGTCGGCACTGCACGCGCATGGCCTCGGCAAGCTTAATGAAATCCGGGTTAGACTGGTGCGTGTGCGCGTAGCGGTCCTCGTAAAAGAGGTTCTGCCACTGCGTCACCATGCCCTGCTCCTCGTTATTCAGCACAATCACCTTAACGCCAATGTTAAACTGAGCAGCCGTCGAGAGCTCCGTCAAAGTCATGTTGAACGAGGCGTCGCCGTCAATGTCAACAACGAGAGCGTCCGGCTGCGCAACCTTGGCGCCAATAGCTGCGGGCAGGCCGTAGCCCATGGTGCCCAAGCCGCCCGACGTGATCATGGAGCGTGGGTGGCGCCAGCGGAAGTGCTGGGCAGTCCACATCTGGTGCTGCCCAACACCAGTCGAGATGTACGTCTCGCTCTTGCGGTCTGCGGTCAGGTTGCTGAGCTCCTCAATGACTGTTTGCGGCTTGATCAGGCCGCCGCGCTCGGTACGCTCGTAGTCGGACAAGGGCCACTTGGCCTTCCACTCGCCAATCTTGCTGAACCAGGCCTTGCGGTCCTCCATAGACCTAGGCTCGACCGAGTCCAGCATGTACCGCAGGTTGGAGGCAACGTCGCCCTCGATGGCCTCGGTGGCCTGGACGACTTTGTTGATGTTCTTGGGCATGATCTCGAAGTGGACGATACCACCACGCTTCTCAGCAGCGGCAGCCTTGGCGCCGGGGGCGAACTTGCTAATATTGCCAGTAACACGGTCGTCGAAGCGCGCGCCGAGGGCGATGATGAGATCGGCCTCCTGCATAGCCATGTTGGCATAGGCGGAGCCGTGCATGCCGAGCATGTGCAGGGACTTCTCGTCGAGCTCGTCAAAAGCGCCGAGGCCCTGGAGAGTGGTGGTGACGGGGATGGAGGCCTTGTCAGCGAGCTGCTTGAGGATCTCGGGGCCGCCGGGGGACTGGATGATACCCTGGCCGGCGTAGATGACGGGCTTCTGGGCTTTGTTGACCAGGTCAGCAACGCGCTGGATGGAGGCCTGGAGGAGACGGTCGCCGACCTCGAGGGCGGCCAGGGAAGCGGCAGAGGGAAGAGAGGGAAGGGCCGTGTCGGTGGGAATGGCGCGTCTCAGGATGCCGGCAGTGACGTCCTTGGGCAGGTCGACAAGGACGGGGCCAGGACGGCCGCTAGTGGCAATCTCGAAGGCCTCGTTGATGCGACGGGGCAGCTCGGCGACACTCTTAACCATGACGTTCCACTTGGTGCAGGCGCGTGAGATGCCGACGACATCGGCCTCTTGGAAGGCATCGCTCCCGATGGCAGTGGTGGGGACCTGACCGCAGAAGACGACCATGGGAGTGCCGTCAGACAAGGCGTCCTGCATCGGAGTGATGACATTGGTAGCGCCGGGACCCGATGTGACGAGAACGACGCCAGGTTTGCCAGAAGCGCGAGCATAGCCCTCGGCCATGTGGCCGGCGCCCTGCTCGTGGCGCGGCAGGATAAAGTCGAAGTGCTTGGAGTTGTAGATGGCGTCAAAGACGGGGAGAATGGCACCGCCAGGATAGCCAAAGATGTGCTTGACACCCTGACGAAGCATCATTTCGTGAAAGATTTCGCCGCCGGACTTGCCAATGAAGGACTCGTCCATTTCGCTTTTGCGGGGGTTGACGAGGGGTTGGACATGGCCTTGGGTTTCGGCGTTGAAAGCGGGACTGGGAACGGCGCGAACGGGGCTGGAAGTCTGTTAGCGAGGAGATTTGGACGAAGCGTGGAGATTGAAATGTAATTGGGTTGGAACCGAAGGGTGCTGGATGATATTGCGAGGCATGGAGTGACCGCCGGCATGGAAGAGGCCGACGATGGTTGTGCTCGAGCCACCGATGCCGGCTTGTCTCTGCGGAGGCGGAGACATGTTGGTCTGGTGTAGGCGAAGCACAACAAACACAACCGACGAACACTCCAAGCAGCTGCAAAACGAGGGCAAAATTTTCTTCCAGCTTACCTAGCGGTTGAGGAGGCGGTGGCGGCCGTTGCTTTATTTCTTTGCGATGCCGACGGCAGCTTTTTTTGAGCGCGGGAGGTGATGGGCGCCGTTGTGGAGGTGAAGGTGCGAGCTTGGCCCAAGACCTTGAAGGCCTTGGAGGCCTGGCGACTCCGAAGCATTGTGTAATTGTGTGTGATGCGACGAATAGGAGGACGTTGAACACAATAGGTTCGATGTGGAAGTCGTCACGAGACAGACGTTTGGCGGGGTTGTAGGTGAGAAGGAAGGGGAGGAAAAGGAAGAAGGGGAAAAAAAGGCTAAAAAACGGGTGGCGAGAAAGGAACCGGCCAAGGGAATGCAGAACTCTTCGACGCTGGAGGTTTGGGGTTTGTAGTGGAGTTTTTGGCGTCAATGGTCGATTTATAGCGCGTGTTGGGCCCTGTAACTTGCTGCAACCCGTCTTGGTTCGAGTCAGACCATGCTTAGCCCATGGTAGAGTCATCTAGGGCGCGACCGGAGCATCGCGGGAGCGTACAGAATCTAGCAATCTGGAGCTCCGAATTTTATACATAGATCAATCTCCTAGATATAACAGGCATACCAGAGCTAATTTACGTAGACACACCAATGTATGTCTTCAGCAAGAACTGTCCCAACCAACTAACTACACAGATTTTGTCGACAGTAACCGCATTTGACAACGCAAACGGTTGGAAAAAATTACACTCAAAATATCAACCCGTTACTAACAGATATATTCACATGCCTGCGGCGTCGGAGCTAAAATTACAAGTCACCAACTATAGCCACCTCCGCTAGCTTCAGCTTCATCAATCGCCTACAAGTACGGATACCTTGAGTATAGCAACTTATCCATATAATTAACCCCCAATACCAATGCTTGCCTAATCAACACCTCATCTATCCGTATGATATTCACCTCCACCATCCTCAATTGCCGACAGGGCCCATACAACCCATCGCATCTCTTAACTATAACCAACTCGGCGCCACCGGTTCACGCCTTGGCCGCGTACCACAAAATCTGCTCTTTGTACCACTCTTACTCATTCATTATTTCAGTATTCCCGTAGACGGAAATTCTTCCCAATCGCAGCCTACCTTGAATCCCTTCCCTTGTTTTCTCTCTTCCCCTTTTCTTCTTCCTTTTTCCCACTTCCTCTCAGGCACAGCATAACCCATCTTCATCCCCGCAACATCTCCCCCGCTATCGGACCTCCTCGGCTCCAGCCCCCATCGTGGGGCGGCCACTGCCTCCGACACCGGCTGCCGCTCACGGCCGACCAACCAGGGATAACACACTCCGGACAGTCTGCAGATTCATTCATGCACAGCACAAATCCGTGACCATCCGATGCTGCTATGCACACAGTCCTCAACACATCCATTGATCCTCGACTTATGCACACATCACCAACTCATACATGCACGCACTCCCACCTCTCCGTCAACTCTCAACATCCTCACACCCCATCAACACTGTCACATCCATCACATCCATGTCGAGTAATCATTTCATCATTCCTGTCTATTCTCGTATTTTATTCCATCTTGGAAGCAGCCAAGCCTGGCCAGTCCTTCTATATACAGTAACCTTCCGCGTGTATCCTCTTATCTTCTCCAAGTTCTCCATCCCGGAAACAAACACACCGTCAATGGTATATTGCAAGATGTAGTAGAAATCAACATTTCAAACAAAACAGAAAAAAGATAGTCGGGTGGTATATAATAACGATGCTGGTATCCCAGACAACAACTGCAACGGCGCCAAAACATCGACAACACAAAAACAAGCCGCCCCTTCGTCCTAATATTAGATATACATTATCATCCGAGGCGCTGGGCACAACGCCCGGAACCATGTCAAAGGAATGATGGAAATAAAAGTGAACCCGTGAAAGCGAGGCCCCAAAAAGGAGTGTTCTCGTGACGATGTTGTGTACGAGACCTGGCCAGAGCCCAAACGTACCAGGTAGAATATATAAAATGCTGTGCCCAAAAAAGGGCATGTGCGTTCGACGTCAAGTTAAAAACAAGTATAATAATGAGTGTTGAGAAGAATAAAGCCCAAGTGGACGGCAGTCATTGGGTCGCGCGACATGGCATCCGCCTACATGCCCATCGACGTCGGCAGCATCCCCATGTCCTGCGGTGGCATCTTCTTGCTCGGCCGCAGACTCTCCATGCTCATCACACGGCTCCATGAGCCAGGCCGCTTGTGTGGCGTCGGCGTCCCCGGACGTACCACCGTCGACGTCGGGCTGGCGTTCATCGCGTAGTTGTACATGCCACCGTTGCTGCCCAGCTGCGCGTGCGGGCTAGGGTGTTGTGCGTGGACCTGGTATTGCATGTGCATCCCTTCCATCTGTTGGTGGTGTTGGTGGTGGTGATGCATTCCGTCCACACCGTGCGACATTGGCGTGTCCATGCCCGTCCACGTCGCGTACGCCTGGTCCTGCCCCTGCAAGGGATATATCATCGGGCTCTCCATCGGCTGTTCCATCGGCTTGTGCATTACTGGCTGCTCCGGCGCAAACTTAGGCGCATCGTGCCACGCGGTCTCGTTGGGGATTTGGAACGGCGTGCCAGGGTGCGGGCCAGCCGCACCACCGTCCTCCGCCATAACGGTGTCCGGCACCATCTCCGTCACGGGCGTCGGTGTCGGCGGTCGAGACGCCCTCTTCGAGTTGCGCCCAGACAGTCGAAACACGGTTTGCGTGCTGGATCGATACTTGGAAAAGCTGAATGTCGATGAGCTGTCCTCCTCGCCCTTTACGCCCGGTGGCGAGGCGGACAGCGTAGGAGCATCAACGGGGCACTGGTTTCGATACGGGAGTTGGAAGTACGACTCGAGCTCCCCGGGCGGCGCCGCACCGGAAGCAGAGAAGGGTGCGTTGCCCAGGATAAACGCGAGGCGAACAATCTGAGAAATGTCGGATCCGAGATGACGGGCTTCCAGCATCCGCCTTAGATCGCCAGAAGAACGAGCGCGCCATTGCAACTGCTGGCGCTTCTCCTTAGGCCAAATACACGTCTTCCAAACTGGCTTCACTTGTTGCTGTCGCAACAGATTCTGAATCTGCACCTTGTACTCCCAGTTGCTAACGTCAAAGTCGTCCTCGAAGTGCTTGGCAATGTGTTCGAAATGTTTGTCGCGCGTGGCCGAGGCGTCTTCTGCCGAGGCAGCCTCAAAGAGACGATCGCGACACGTCGCAAACCCACAAGAAAAGACAACTTGTGGGCACAGATCGGCTCGAGCGGTGCTGTTGGGCAAGGCCTTCATGCGATGGGCTTCCTTAGCGTGTGTACTGTAGGCGCGTTCTGTAGAGAAGGACAGGTGGCAGCCCTTGGTGTGGCAGATCCAGACTACATCCGATCCGTGAAAGTTGTGCAAATGCTTCTTGAAGTCGCTCTTGCGGCCGAAGCCAACAGGACTGCTGTCAAGGTAGCACATGGGGCACTGGTACTTTTTACCAGTCGGTGCGATGAGTCGCGGAGACGGGTGAGAGGCTCCTTCGGCAATCATGGGCGATGGCACGGGGGCAGGCGAGTCGAGCCACGAGCGCTCAGCGAGCTTTCCGGCTTCTGCGTCGTGCATGGGGGGCATGTCTGCGACGACTTCGGGCCATGTGTGTTGAGTGTGGATGGAAGCTGCATCGGATCTGCACTGCGATGCTTCTGAACTCGTCCACGCCAGGGACGGTGCGCTCATGCTAGCACCAGCGCTACTCAGTAATGTGTTGGCGGAGAAGATGGAGGCGCGAGCTGATAGGTTAGCTACGTACGGTCCCGGCGGCATCCAACGATCACATACAAGACTCCCCATAGCCGGTCAAGGCATACATGATGCTAGAGTGTCCATACTTTTGGACGAGTGAGGTCAAAATCTGATGGTCTTCGTCTGTCAGAGGTTGAGGGCCACTTTCGTCGTGCCCGTTGAATGGAAACATGATGAGACGATGAAGGGAATGTCGAAAGAAGTCGGCGCCGTCGCGGGAGGGAATTAGATTATCGCTTCGTAATATGGCGCACAGGTTCAAAGTTGTCGCAGCCCAAGGAATTAGGATATCAAGCAAGAGCGGCGCAAGATATGCGGCACGGCCAACGCAGCAAAGATGGTGAGCTTGACAATCACACCGTCGAGTCAAGCCGAAGCGAGTCGGCGACGGGTGAGTGAGAGTCGAAAGAGATGCGTCCTGGTGGTTCGCGATGCTGTTGATGGCGTTCAAACTGAAATCGGGAATCCGTATGGGAACCGCTTGGACTAAAGGCACTGCCTCGAGCTGGAAAGGTGGACAGGTGTTGAAAGAGCGACGTTCAGGACGTAGCCGTCGGCGAAGTGTAGTACATAGGCCAGGGGGGAAGGACGGACGGGTAGTAATAAGAGGGACCGCGTCGCTGGGGGGTGTTGATATAAGAGAACAGAAACTGGGGCGAAGCGAAGAGCTTCTAGAATACCCAAAAGAAGGGATCACTCAGAGAAGACGAAACCCGCTGCAGAACCTAGCAGGAAAAAGTAAATGCGTCCAGCCGGACAGGCAAGGCAGGACGGACAGGCAGGCAAGGTTGTTTCGTTGTAACAGATGTGGGCATCAGGCTCCCCCTCTCTTGCGGCTGGGGCTGGACAATTGCCTGGTGTCGAGATGGTGTCGAATTGGCGTCACCCATCCAGTCCGCCATCCCCTGTCTCCCAAGGCCGACTGCCCCGTTTCAGGAACCAAGTCATTTCTCACCGCAGACCAAGGCCATCCTGAAACGTAGCGTCGGCAGGCCACCCATGCTGATGGGCCCGCTGACGGAGTCTGTGCAGACGCAAGTGGGTGTGGACGAAATGGCGTTGAAGGGCCTTTTTTTTTTAGTTTGGATTGTGTCGAGCCAACCAGGATGTCTCCCGCGAGGGTCTGACTAGGGTGAGCCCAGTCGTTGTCGTCTTTTGTGTTGGCAAGTTGCGTTGGCTGATCCTGGTCGCTCGAGTGGGCGACTGGCTCGAGTCTTGACACCTTGTGCGAGTAGCCGTCTCGCACACTCTGTTCAATTCTGTCGTACGTCGACATCCTTGCCATGGTTCAGCATCACTGCACTAGCATATTGATAGTTGGACCGTGCAGCCAGTGCGCATGTTCGACGGTCTGAAGTTCTCTCGACAGCCTGCGACGCTTCAAATGTCATCCGGCCTTGTCCCAGACCCAGATCGGCCCGTCCGTTGTGAATTTTTGCACAGACACGACGGAAGTGTTACTCGGACGGTCTCTAAACTCGGACGGTCTCTTAACTCGGACGGCTGGTGGCGGCAACCGATGGAATGAAACCCGACAGTCTGTCGAGTTAGGCGTGCGAAATTGACTCTGGTCTCTCAATGGCCTGACGAGGCCATGTGGTTGTCAGGATACACAAACTGCACCCGATTCGCAGCCGCAGAGTCGTACCAAACCTCGTGCGCACAATGGGGCACGGAAAGTTTACCGAGGGTTTTGACGATGTCCGAATACATACAATTGTGCATACATGCCAACGCTTCGCACTAATAATAGCGGCGGTGTGGACCACGAGCGCTGCGTTCTTCACGGGGCTGGCAAATCAGCATTGTCTTGGATGTCCATTGTCTTTAAGATGCAGAGTGAATGTGTAACTGGTGTGCTGAGACTTTCAGAATTGTCTGGTCATAGATTCAACGGTGGCGAAGATAGGCTCCGCAATATCTGGCTGCAGGAGTTGTATCAGTACAGGTCCGGTGACGCTACTGCAATATGGAGTTGCGTCCAGCTCACAAGAAATGTCTTGTAATTTTCAAGTTGCGGCGCACAGGGCAATCGTTAGCAACGAGGAACCCCTTCGTAAGCAACCTAGCAACCCGAAAATAGCACTGTGGCGCTGTCCTGGGTCGAACACACTCTCAACACTAGTTAGAAAGACGATAGAGGAAAGCTTCTTGCCAGAGATTGTCGAAAATAGCACTGTGGCGCTTCGCGTGGAGGCCAAGCCTGGGGCGGTCTTCTCTCTGTTGGCGCGGCGCCATTGCACTTGGTGGCCTTTGTATTATCAACTTTACTCCAAGAGCCTGATGAAGAGGCTTGCCGATCAGCCCACCAAGCGGCTGAGACCCGAAGCCACCACCGTAGCCTTTGTGCGTGGTCCAATCCAACTGAGTACATTTCAGCCATGGCGAGATGCAAAATGGCGCATGCTGACCGTCATTTTATCGGCCGTTTTTTCTTCCATCTACACCAGGTCAACGCGGGTTAAATTAACGTGGGGTCTCGGTGTGGGCAATTTAACTCACGGCGCGCCTAATAACGAACGAGTCCTTTCCGAGTTGCTGCTACCAGTGCGCATGGCTGGCGATGGCGGCGATGGTGGAGTTGGTGGTCGCCTTTTTCCAGACCCTTGTGGCTCGATCGTGCTCGCTCCACCGCTCACCGCTCGATCCTGCGTCGACGATGAGTGTGATGGGAGAGATTTCCTTTGAAACGGTGCCGAGTCGCTCCAAAAGGGTAAGAGGTCGTCGCTTGTTAAGACTGCCCAGGATAGCTGCATCTGACGATCCGGCACGCCTTCTCACGGGAGGCCTGGTGCCGCAGTGGGCATGGTGTTGATACGCATCGGGATAGTTGCTGCCCAAACTCTCGGGCAGCTCCCTCACCTCACCCGTGGGCATGGACAAGTTCCGCGGTAATGACTATCGTCTATGATTTAGTACAATGGCCTCGAGGTTGGCCTTGCTTGCTTGGTTGGCGGAAGTCCTGGGGACAGAGGTGTGGTTCGCTAGGGAGTTGGAGCCAGCCCACACCCACCGCTAGCAATGCTACCAGGTTGCTAATAATGCTCTAATTGTAGAGTTGCACCAGCACGCCACCTCTTGTGCAAGTGTTCAAGTGGATAGGGAACAATGTCCGTGGTGTGGCAAGGCTGAGCGAGGTTGGTTGGGATGGAACGGGCCTGCAGAGTCTGTTCTCATCAACAGCGACACGCACGCTCGGCAGAGAGATGCCCATGTCCAGCAAGTTGCTACTGCAACTACCGATACGTACTGACCAGGCATGGGGAAAAAATCGCGGAGTCAAGATCGTTAATTCGCCGACGCAGGACATGCACCGCATCGACGTTGGAGGCCAAGATGCATCTACTGTTTGGAGACCAGAGCGTTTTTCTTTGAGGCGTCTTGTCGTGCTGGAAAATAAAATTTCCCAAGGTTGCACAGAGAGGGGAACTGGACGGGCCGTCGCAGGCAGCTATCAGTCACTTGACGTGGTGTACTGCGTGTCATTGCGGGCGGTATCTGATGTCCCTCGTGTTGCGCCCCTCTGAGCGCAGACTCAGACAGCTTGTACAACGCCGAACGACAACGATACAACTCCCGTTACCTACCTCGCCACCGGAAGGACCAACCAACCCATCACTGAGTTGAGATGATGCCCAACAAGCCGTCTTCAAGTAGTTTCCCCTCTCTCCCTCTCCTCTCCTATCTCCTCCCCCCCTCTCCTTTGCTCTCTGCCTTCTGCTAGCCATCATCGCCAACCTTGTCATCACCACCCATCCATCACATCCATCATAAACTGACCACTCACAAATTGCAATGCCGTCTACGCCATGCCTGTGCCCTGGGTCGCTTTCTGGCAAATGGGAGCCACTCAGCACCCACCGGGACGAGCAGGAGGAGCCGGCCGGGCCAGTTCGTCGCATCAGTACCACCCCCAAAGCTGGCCGTGACTTGCGAGCCGGTCGTCAGGAATAATAAAGGTCTACTCCTGTGAGCACACCTCTGTCATCTGGCCGCCCTGAGTAATTAATTTACGGCCGAAGCTTTATATTAGTGGCTCAACACAACGGTTTCATCAGATCAAACTCCAAACGGCCCAACCATGGCGTCGCCGGAAATATAGCCATTAATTACCCATAACGAAGTTGTCATTTCAACGATCAGTTCGTCTTCCCACGCTTGGCAATGTAAATACGCGTTGTCGCACCTTGCGCATGTCAGCCTAGCCTGTCAGATGCAGCACAGCCTGCTTCTCGTCCTGCCGTACCACTTCCCGGTGGCCGCAGGGCCCAGACATGGCGCATGTAAGCCTGGACGCCAGTCATCCCAGCCTCACTATGGAATACCGATGCCGCCACCGATAACATACCCCATACAGTAAAATAGAAGAAATATCCAACAGCGTCACCGAGGTCGCCGATGGTATCGCGCGTGCTTGTGTTGCCGGTCCGAGTCCGACCCTCTTCTGGCCTCCGTTAACGCAACACCAGCGTGAGACATGGAGGAGAATGACGAAAAGGAAGACATTCTCTGCGTGGCCGTTTTGTTGGCCGTTTTATGCGACGGCCTTGCCGACGCACCTGGCACCATGCAGCACCGAGAACATTGTCTCAAGCAACCCCACGACCCAATGAGAAGCGGCACATCTGTTCTCCGAAGGCCAAGGCTCTCAGTGTGTGGCTGTCGGGCTGCCTGCATGGCTACCCCCTGCATGACAGCAACGTGGCTCCAGAATAAACTGGCTCTAGCAAAAGGCTTCTTTTCTTTCGATGTCCGTTAGTTATTCGTTACAAAACTACGGATATTCAGGGTAAATACAATGTCTTCGACATAAGGCAATGTGGGCCAGGTTAGTTTAGACGTTGTCTCGCAGAGCACGGCTCGTAGGGGTTCCGTCCCGACGGTTCTTCGCATATCAACCCAGGTCGACTGATCTCTTCATCCCCGACTTTTATTTCCCCGATGGGTTTGATCGTTGCAGAAATTCACTCAATAGCCTCGATTTTCGGCTGCCCGCCTCCTAACATATGCTTCCAACTGCAGCAAACCGCACCCCGCAGACGCGCAGCGATCTGCAGCGACCGCAACTGATACATGCAGAAAGCGAGCAAACCAGAATCTGTTATGAAGAACGCGTTAATCGAATCATGAACATGGCGTTTGCAAACAGCGTGATTGCCTTGTCGGAAGTCACCGGGGAGTCTCCTCCGTGCAGAGACAGAAGAAGGAGGGGGGTTCGAAAGGCGGCTTCTGCGTGTTTGATATAAAGGCTCTCTTTGTTTTGTCTGCCGAAAATAGATGGGCTGCATGAAAGCCCCGTGTTTCGCCTCAACCGCTGGCCCAAACTCGTAATACACGGGCGCGCGCGGGATTTACACTCGCCATGCGAGCTAATCTTAGTCCCCGAGTTTCCCTTTTTCTCGTTCTCCCTCTTTTCCCTTCGCCCAGCGTTTCTTTGTCCCGATGCCACCGCATAAATCGTCCGGTCCGCGGTTATGCATGAATGATGATCGCGTTCATGGCGTCAATCGTTGATGTGCTGGTTATACGCTACGGTACGCCCTACTTTGAGACGCGGAAACGCTGTAGAAATAAAACAAATTAAAAGAAAATAACCAGGAGATATCTTCGTAACTTTTGATTGACCAGACGCCGCGAGGCTATGAAAGTTCTAGGTTGGGGAATATGCCATTACAGATCCACACCACATCTCCTTGCCAGTTAAAAGAAAATAAGAGTGTGGCTAACAAAAAAACAAAGAGCGAAAGCAACGGGTGGCGACACACGGAAAGGGTGTAAGTCCTTACCACAGTACAAGTACACGGTGGTGGGATCCTGCCGGGTGGGAGATTCGAAGCAATGTAGGGTAATATACACAGTTCAACAGGAAAGCTGAGTTGAAGATCCTTAGATTGGAAACCGCTGCACCCTGAGAAATCGCTTTCTAATTCTACATATAGTCCTTTAAACAAAGGGATTTCGTATTCGCACTCCAAGAAACAAGGTGTGAATTCATTCTAAGCCGCCGTCCAGCATTACTGCTGTGCACCGAATCTAAACAGTCATCAAGTATTCGAGCCTATCCATGATCGAAATCGATCGCAATATTCGAGCCTTTGCCGTTCCAGTCTATAAGGTCCCATGCAAGTGTGAGAAGAATAAATCGAGTAGAAACTCGGCAGGATAATCGGGGGGTTGAGAGAGGGGGAACAAGAAAGAAAACAAGCCGCCAACATAAATATACCAAACCCAGGCAGTACAATGGAACCAAGAGCGCTGGAACTTTGAGAACAAATAAGCCATATTCCGTAGAAAAAAAGAAACTCAGAGCAACCCTTCTTCGTCGACAGCCAGTACGAGCAACTGCAATATCTGCTTCAATCAGCACACCGAACAGCAACATTTTCAGACGTGCTCAAGACCTGTCTAGGACCAACTGCGGTCCATGACCTGTTCGAGGAAACAGGCCTGGAGCATACGCCAGCCAGATCCTAGAATTTCGGATTGTTCATTCCCGGTTGCATATAACCGGTCTCAGTATCCATCATGAAGCCTGGATTGCCCATGAGAAACGACGGCAACTCGCGCTGTGCGGGGTAGCCTGGATACATTCGCGGGTCAAGCTGGCTCGCCTCGGCTCCCATAAAGACCTCTTGCGAGCCCCTTGCGAATACCTGCGGCATGGCGTCTCCCAGCGTTGTCGGTGGCGTATTGTGCACCGGGCCTGGGTACGGTGCGGGCGAGAGCGGAGGATCAGCGCTCCTTCTCATCGCCATGTCTGAAGATGCGAGAGACTCTGAACATGAAGCGTGTGTCTGATAAGATGATTCGTAGTCGTATTGTGCAGACCCATTTGCGCTGGCTTGGCTTTTGCGCAGACGTTGGCGTCTTCTACCGAGATCTCGTCCTCTCGCCGCCGCCGGGTGTCCGCGCAGAGCTAGCACTGGACGTCGCTCCATGTCATCTCTGGCGAAGTTCCCTGATCCAAGGCCAAAGGCACGATGCATAGTGTCTTCCTTGTTCGTAATATTGCCGGTTATCAACTCGCGCCGCAATTCCGTAGAGTATATCCAATCCCACCTCAGATGGCTCATGTCGACGTTCTGTGAAAAACCGTGCATGCGGCTTTGGTTGAGGAGATTGCGCATTCTCGTTTCGTATGACCATTCCGCACATTTCTCGTCGTCATAGTGCTTGATGACATGCTCTATGTAGTCCCTGAATGTTTTTCCGTTATCGCCGGCTGGCGGTGCCTCAAACAGCATCGTGCAGTCGGCAAAACCGCAAGCAAAAATAACCGGCTCGCAGATGGTTACTTCGTGGTTATGAATCTCGTTATTCGAAACAACTTGCTTGTGGCGTCCGTCCGTCTTGATGTGCTGGGAAAATTGCCTCTTCGATTCCGTTTGGAATGTGCAATTCGGAACTGGGCAGCGAAACTCGGTGACGACGTGATGGAAATCTCCCATATGTCGCTTTAAATCATTCTTCCTGGCGCAAACGACAATATGATTCATTTCTTTGCAAAAACCACATTGGTGGCCCTCTTTGTCTCGCCCGGGTTCCGTGCCCGAAGTCGAGCGCGGCGACGCAGAGTCGCGTGCTGCATTTCGTTGAGAGATATTAGGCTTACTTTTTGGTCGCTTGACCCGTTGACCGCTTGCTGAGAAGTCGAAAGATTCAGAACTCGGTTCTAAGCTTTATTAGAGCTGACTTTGAATGTGGAAAGAGACCAACTAACCTCGGACTCCATACTGAGCGAGCTGCCCCTGCAGAAACGTGATTCGCTGATCTTCAGGGAGCCGCTGCAGCATACTCTGGATCAATGATTTAACCTTCTCCATATCCATTGTGTTTGGTACTCCTCCCATTGTGTGTTTGAAAGCGCAAGCCGACCTTGGTGTTGTGATTGCTGCTGAAAAGCCACTGTCCTCTGAATAAAAACTGGCGGGCAGATAATTGGGTATAGGGAGTCTCATGACGGGGTCTTTATTGAAGGTAGAAACTGAATGGCTGCATCCACTTTATTTTTATGCTTTGGAATAAAGACGGAAGCTTTTTGCCGGAAGCTTTGTTGCGAACGCTAGCGAAGCAAAAGGATGATGCTCTTGTACCGGTCAGCAATGCGTAGATAGGTTGGCACATCCTTATCACGTACTTGACTAAGTATCCGAACCTTGGGGATAATTGATGTACTCTCTGGTAGGTAGGAAGCTCGTGTTGTTCGAGGCAGACTACCAACAGACGGGTGATTTCGGGTTGGTTAGTTGCTGTTGGGTGAGGCAAGATGGAGTCGTGGCTGCACGGGAGGCGGGGGACATGGATGGTTTATGAATCCCATCGAGGCTAATGAGGCTGCCAGCTTGAATTGAGCTCTTGCCTCCAGACACACAAACAGCGAAGCTGGCCGGCTAGGGGATGTACCTAGTTGTACCTGGACGTGACAGATGACTGAAGTTAGTTTAGCAGCACGCCACGTCAAGTAGAGATGCTTTTCTCGTGTGGAGCCAGAAAACGCCCACGGTGTAAGACAGAAGTCCTACTTAAGCTATTCTGAAAGCAGATTTAGTCGAGTTACACAAGTCTTGGTTCAGAATTGTGTTGGTAGATTGCTTGTGGGTGACAAGTGATGGTGGTTGGCTCTGTGAGTGTGAAAGAGGACCAGGCACCAGGGTGCCCCTCGATTTGAATGGCCCCGCGAGGTAATAAAGGTATCTTAGACTGTGTGCTATGACCCAGCAGGGCAAGGCGGCGGGGTTCGGTCAGAGATCTGGCCAACAAGGCGCAAAAGAAATGGGCAGGTCGAGACGGATTGGCGGCGGCAGAGGTGGAGTCGGCCACCTTGTGATTGATGAATACAGCAAGCCTTGGAGAGTATCGGTAGTTGGATATGCGTCGGACCAAAGTTTGCCAGCGAGGATTGGCGTCGGGGCTGACGCTGGGGCGGTGTCGAGTTGGGATTTGTGGTGGCATTGGGAAACATTCTAGAAGGATGTTCGCTCGTTTTCAAGGGTTGGTGCATCTCCGAAACGCAAACGCACACTAATGCAAGTGAGGAAGCTGAATAGCAGTGGGGACGTCAGGCGAATGCATTGGGGGCACATGTTTGACGAAGTGTGAATTGGCGATTGTGAATGCGGTGGTGTGGATGGATGGGGTGGGTGATGATGATCAGCGAGGTGGGTGATGTGCTGGAATGAATGAGGAGGCCTGGTGGCGGGGGATGTTGACGATGCGAGGGCCGACAGCCGATGAAGTTGTTTTGTCCACCAGCTGGCAAGTACGGTTTAGGATACTCCGCGTTTTGCACCTTTTCTTATTCGTACTGCCAACAGATACACGCAAAATTATTTTCTTTTTCATCTTGGTATCACCTCAACCTCCATCTTCATCATTATGCGATCGCAATCAACACGTGCACCGTCAAACCACATCCCTGTCAGCAACTTATGCTATTTCAAACTTTTCGCAAACAGTTGCAAAACGCACTGCTCAACTTGTTCCTTCCTACGGCACACATTCCAGACCCTATCCGCGGTCCAATCCAACGGTGGTCAGCCTTGGCCAATTGTTATTTTCATGCATCCTCAGCCTACCGACGGTTGCGCCGGCTGATTGTGTTGTATTCAAAAGGACAAACCCCCACAAATGTCTGGAAATAAATCTTGCGCTAACCAGCCTGCGCTAACTTTCCCAGATCCTTGAGCTGAAGGGGGCTACACGGAGTTGAGCATGCAATTTAACGCAGCGCGATGCTCGATGCCCGGTTAAATTTAATCTATCGCTTTCGGATAGTTTGGGAGATGCGAGTCTGACAGAGCTCAAGTCCTCGACCCAACCACCGTCGACTGCATTGCACAGGTATCACCACCTGTCAAATGTCCACCAACGCCGCCGTCCCACGGACAAGGCTGGCGGATCACCACCCGGGTTCCACCGACCGTGCGCTGAGAACAATAGGAAGCAAGTCCTATTCATTACCCTTTTCGGATCCACCTCATGACGGTGTCGCCGACCTTGGACGCCGAACCCTCGACGATCCAACCTATGCCTGCCAATGGCATGCAGAGATGCGCACCTGGGCTGCGACATGGCGCCCAGGAGCCCTGTTTTAGGCGTTGCTATCCGTCGTGGCGGCTTGGGTCGGGATCTCGGTCTCCTGACCTCCTGCCGTGGCCGTTGACCGCCGTTGGCATTCTCTATTCTTATTCGTGCTTGTCTCATCTCATGCGGAGCGGAGCAGCCACCCAAAATGTCCACTCCGAACGGGGCCGGCCTGTTGCAGCCACCAACAGTGGTGAAATTACGAGATTGTGCCCATCTTCGTTGGCCAACACTTCAAGGTTAACTCTAGCGACACGATCTATCCCATTCAAGTCTTCCCTCCATTCGGCGGCATTCCAGTTGCAGTTAGCGAGACTCGGCCGGTCGCAAGAGCTAGTCAAACGTTAGGCTCGGGGTGCGAGATCAAGCCACGCTCCTAACATCGGCGCGACGACGATTTTCGAGCCGAGGGGCCATTTCCCCTAAATTAGCGGTTAATATGGCGCACGTTACTGGTAGTTTTCGCACCCAGTTGTCGGAGACCTGCCACGGGCCCCTCATATCGTGGCCAACACGCCCTGTCATGATTGGCAGCACTTTACGTGTGTATCGCATTTAACTACATGCAGTCAAAGACTCTCAGCACAACTGTCGACAGCAAGCCATTGCGCCATGCCACTTGACCCTTACCCGATCCGCACGCTAAACGACTTTTGGTCAACCTCGACCAGAGTACATGCATGTACTTCGTGTTGATGCGGCACCACCATTCATTAACTCATTTATTATTATTATTTACAATGAAAACGACCCCGAGTGTCCGACTAGGGTAGCACTGCCTCGGGCCGGCCGACTAACCACAACTGCCTGGGCCTTTTGCTCCTCGGTGAGGCGCTTCGTCGCATAGTATTCCTTTTCGAGAGCTGCCCTGACAGCGTCCACCTTGTCGACAGGCACAAGGTGCACTGTGCAGCCTCCCCAGCCAGCACCTGTCAGGCGGCTACCATAGGCACCTGCACTGCGCGCGATGCGGCAAATATCGTCGATTTCCGGGCAGCTGCACTCGTAGAGATCCCGGCATGAGTCCTGTGTCGCGTTCATGAGATCGCCAAGCTTCTGGTTCACGTCGGTGCTCCCAGGCTCGGCGTTCTCGAGCAATTTGAGGAACTGGACTACGCGGAGCGCCTCGCTGAATACGTGCAGAGCACGCTGACGCAGCTTGAAGCGATCGGCGCGGACTGTAAATTTGGACATGTACCTACGCTCCAGGTCAGCGACAGGATCGTTGACGCCAGCCGCAGCAACAGGCCAGCCCTCGTCGACCGCAAGTCTGGACAAATCTGCTGCGACTGAGTCTTTCAGGACAATGGCGAGCTCCTCGCGGGTGTACCCTTCTTCCTGCGTGAGCGTCTCCCCAGCAAGGCTGACGAGGCGCTGCAGCTGTTCCTCCAGATCGACGCCGTCGGCTGCAAAGTTGCCGGCAGCAGTGGCATATGCGTCATGAAACCCCTTGAGGCTGATGCGCAGGGGCCCGGCGTCGAGGGGCAGGGCTGCACCCGGTGGGTTCAGCGCGGCGTTGAGGTAGGCGGCGGCTAGGCTGCACTCGACGACGCGCAGGTTGTAGCGGGTCGGAGCGGTGTCGTGCTTTGTTGATGTGACAAAGGACTGCGCAATAACGAAGGCGACTTCCGGATTGGTGCGAGGGAATTTGACGGGCTTGGCATCAAGCTGCGGGCTAAAAGAGACGAACAGAGCAGACCCAAGTTCTGAGAGGACGGAGGCGGCTTGGTCCATCCTGAGGATAGATGTGTTAGTAGGTTCCTGGTTGCGTTTAGAAGTTCATCACAACTACAGGCACTGGTGACTCTGTCTCTCCCCCTCTCTCTAACTACATACAGCTTAAACAAGGTACAGGGGAGCTTGCTTGTACTTACCCACCAGAGTAAACGCCAACGTATCTCTCGCTGACGATTGCCAGCTCGGTCAGTTCCTTCTTGTCGACGGGAGCGTCGCTGTTGGCCATCATGACCGCCAGGGCGCTGGCACTGACAAACGCGGCGCTGGAGCTGAGACCCCCGCCCACAGGAACGGTGCCGTCCATGACGACGTCCATGTCGCAAGGGCGGAATTCAACACCAGAGGCGCTAGCTTTCTGCCTGAGAAGCGCCAGGGCCCCCTTGAGGCCGCTCTTGAAGTAGTTTGTCCACTCGGAGGCGGTGGCGTCAATGGCCACGTCGGCGTCGGCGTCGAGGACAAATTCGCGCGTGGGAAACCTGGCCTCGTCGACGTTTGCGATGCGGACCCTGTAGGTCGGCCCGGCGCTCGGCCGAGAGGACACGGCAAGGATGGCGTCGGCGGTGATGGCCATGGGCAGCACCGAGTACAGCGAGTAGTCGATGTGTTCGCCGATGACGTTGACTCGGCCGGGCGAGCGGGCGACGAAGGCGGGTGCAGCATCGCGGCCGTAGGCCGACCGAAAACGGGCGCAGAGGGCGTTCCAGCGGGACGTCTGCTGAGCGAGGGCGTCGCGTGGGTAGATGTCAGCCAGGGAGGCGACGCGCGGGACCGACGAGGACGGGGAAGACATGGTCGGCTGCGTGTGGTGGGCGATCTCGTCGAGCTGCGCGCGGTGTGTGATTCCGGAGGGGGCTGTGGTTCTTCGTGTGCGGGCGTTGCTTTTTTCTTTTCTTTTTGTTTTATTTGATCCTAGCCCCAGTTTGAAATCCCCAGGATTTTCAGGAGAGGCGCAGCAAACAACAGTGCAGGGTCGAGAAGAGACGAGATGATCAGGTTACACGGGAGGGGACAGGGTTTTTGTTGGTCGCATGCCTGGGTCGCGGGGAGTTTGGGGTAGGTAAATGACAGTGTTGATGAGATGTTTTCCCCGCTATTTTAGAAGCTCCTGGATGGTGCGCTTACGGGGAATTATTCGGAGACTCTTGGCTTTCCCTCGCTATCACTCGAAATATTGGGAATTTCCTACCAAACTAGACCAGTGGCGCCGGGTCGGACCAGGGGCCGAGCGCCTCGTAGTGTGGGGTTGCTACCCCTCGTGCCTCAATTTCGAGAGGCGGGGGTTCTTTTTTATTTACTTCATCGTAAGTTTTATTGCCTTGCAGCCATCTTTCTGTTTTCTGCGACGCAACGCCCAAATGTATGTTTCAGAAGATATTTGCTCTTTTTTTTTTCTTTGGCTTTTGATTTCCTCCTTTTGGTATCCCGGAGTTGGCATGCCAGGTGGCGCTGATTCTCACCGTCGCACCGGTGTATTGACACAATGGGCAATTAATCGCCAACATGGCAATCAAGACATGAAAACTGAACTGAACCATGGTTCTACAAACGTTGTCAAATCGCTGGATCACAAAGACAGCATTCTAGGCCCGGCACGTGCTTCCAGGGCCTTTCGCCCCAGCCTGCTATCCCGCACCAAAAGCCTTCCACTGTACTTACGGACTCTAGGGTATGCAGCTTCACGACGTTATTTACCATGGGTACTTTGGGCAGCTCCATCCGATGCGGACAAGATAAAGAAGCCGATGGAAGAAAAGATCAGCCCTGAGCATCAGCAGCCTAACCACGCCTCGTGCTCTGCTGACCCCGACGAACCTTGTTCAGCAGCCGTCCGTCCACGACTCGCAGTCGTGTCATTTGGGTGGGGTAGCTAGAGGCGAAGCCATCGTTGACACGTCGAAAACGCGAAAGATTAGCCAAAATTATGACATTTCGCCCAACTACCATATAAGAGCATAGATGCCGCAAATCGTGGCGGTGGAGTTTGCCGGAGCGGCCCATCTCAAAGCTGGCCAACGAATGCGAAGGAGGGCGGAAAGAGGCAGGTCCATTGGCAAGAAATTGCAAGCCAGAGAGAAGCCAAGCGCTGGGCACGTAGACAGAGGGAGAGGGATCAACAACTACTAACTAGGGACTACCCGCAAAGCATCGTTGAATCCGACCTCTGCCGGCGCAGCATGATGCACGCCGCTCAGTCCGTCATGTCAAGTCGTTAGCCTTCTCGCTGCTGCCCCTCCTTCTCACCCCCTCCCCCTCTCTCCCGCCTACAAATAAAAGCCCACCTTCGAGTCTGTGCCCTTTCCTCTGAACCTTCTTCCTTCATCATTTCACATCAATACCAAATCTACACAAACAACTCCTTTTCACCAACCAACCAACCAACAAACCTTCATCATGGGTGACTGTGGCTGCTCTACCTCTGGCTCCTGCAACTGCGGCTCTGGCTGCACTTGCTCCAACTGCCCCGTACGTTTACCGCTGCTCGGTCGTCATCGGTAAAGAACTCTGAACTAACGTGAAAGCACAGCACAAATAAATGTCGGTAGCTGAGAATTAGGCAATAATAAATCTTTGTTAAAAACAAAACATATTCGTGATTGAGTCGAGTGCAATATACTGTAAAATCTATCCCAAATGGCGCACTTTGAGCTCGCTGGGCTTGCAGGAGATTTCTCTCGCCACGCCGGATCGGCTCAGCTCCGTGATCGATATTGAGAGCGTTACTATCCAAGCCAGCCCGCCTGCATCATGCAGACACTGTGTGACCTGCAAGCCCACGAGCCTTGCCCGTGTTCCCTCTGCCTGCTAGTGATCGTCGTCGTTGTCGTCGTCGTAGTAGTCGTAAACGTTGTGGTCGGGAAAGAATGCTAAAACAGGACTGTACGCCTGCCGTGCATCGGCCGTCGCGCAACGAGCACCCTTTTCCAGCTCCCACTCGTCCCGTTCTCGTATCGGTCGGTACTCGGACGACACCAGCATACAGCCCAGCTCGAACAGCAGTCGGCCGGCGTACAGCGCGGCGGCGGCCGAGGCCACGGCCACGCCGCGCAGCCGCCAGCACGTCACCACCACCCTGCCATCCGTGTCGACGACGGCGCCGGTGCTCACGTTTCGGGCCGTCGCGCGCGTGAGCAGCAGCAGCTGCGCGAGGCCGAGCAGCCAGAGCGTGGCCATCAGCACGTCGTACAGCAGGCCGACGGACCGAGGAAAATGCCGCAGCGGCAGCAACGCGACGCGCGCGAGCAGCACGACGTTGGAGAGGATGGCTAACGCGAGGCCTGAGGTGACGAGGCTATACGAAACGTAGGTGAGTAAAAACTTGCTACTTGTTGATGGGGGGCAAGTGTGTACCTTGTAGTGTCGTCGGAGTCGGCGCAGTCCTGCTCGCTGCCATGGCCGATTGAACACTGCAGCGACTGCAGACGGCCGGCGGTGACGGCGGCGTGGACCGAGTGAAGGGTCGCCAAGATGACGACGCACGCCTCAAGGGCCAGAAGAACCCGCCGGGTGAGGTCGGCGGCCAACAGCGGCGTCATGGCTCCGGCGCGGGGCGGTGGTGGTGCTGTTGTCGTGGATGTGGCGGGGCTTGATGGGTGGTATTGCTCAACCGACTGCGCATCGGCTGCAGACTTTCGGTCGCTGCATGGCGCCTCGTCGTTTTGGGACGCGTAAATACATGCCGGTATTTATACAGGATGACAACATGACAAGGGGGTGGTGAGGAGGTTTGCGGTGCTTTTATACGATCGGGGATGGCTAGGTCAGGCCATCCGGGTGGTAACTTGCTCATACTACCGCACGGCGACTCGGGACGGGAACAACCGCCATCTGATATCCCCGTCGATCAGGAGGCATATGTACTCGTTAGGTTTGCCCTTTCCGTGTATAGATGGATACGTATTTCGCAACCTCGCATGGTTCATACGTGATGCTATCCTAGCACTTTGTTGGTTGGGCATAATACTGAGCAAGTAGTGCTTGGATGTGACACGTCATGCATGGCGCTACGAGCGAATATGCGAAGGTAATTTAAACTCGAAGAACAACTCGTTTCAATTCTTGATGAAGCTGCTATTTAATTTGTACGGAGTAGACGAGATGCAACTGTTGTAGAAGAAGTGATGGGTATTTACTCCGTAAGGTACAAACGCTGACTAGGGCGTCGTATGGACCTGTTCCCTGCCATCCTTACCACCTTGTTGGCATTCCCTTTCTGCCTGATCTGTAGTCGAATTTCATTCAGACAATTCTTAAAGAACAAAGCCAGCATAAATCACGGGTTCCTTTATTTTTCTTTTACAGATGAATCACGATTCCGACCAAATTTCCTGGGAAACCTGGACGCCGTTCAGCTGGCCCTCCCATTGGCCAGCTCCGCCACCTGATGTCACCAACAGAGCTCAACGCCGTTTGCCTCGGCCATAACGCATTCAACGCTTTTCATCGCCGACGGCCTGATTCACGCCGGTCCAACGCTCATACGCCCACTTTCGATTTTGTTCACCTCATCTCGTCTTCACCCACCTCTTTGCATGCTTCACCCATATCCACACTACCCCGCCGTCTCCGCCATTCCTCCCCTTCGCTGCCCGACTCGCGCTGCTGCCACGACTTCACACCCCCTGCCGCCGCACGTCGCCCGATTGAACAATGCAATAGCCGCCCCCGCCAGCTAAGCAAAAGAAGAAAAGTCATCGACGAAACGCATCATCGATGGACGCACCAGACAAAGACGCGCTCGCCGCCGATGCGGGCCCGAACCTCCCGGCCGCCGCCGCCGCGGATGCCATCACCGCACCACGCGCCCCCGACGCACCGCGCCGCTGCTTCATCTGCCTGACCGACGAGGAGCCCAGCGACCCGGCCGGCAGCTGGGTAGACCCGTGCCCGTGCACGCTCGAGGCGCACCAGGACTGCATGCTGTCGTGGGTGACGGACTGCGAACGCTCCGGGCGGCCGCTGCTCTGCCCGGTCTGCAAGTCGGCGGTCGAGATGGAGGGCGCGTGGGACCCCATCGTCGCGCTGACGGACGTGGTGCACCGGCGCTTCCGGCGCGCGAGCCCGCTGATGCTCTTCACGGCCGCGTCGATGGGCGTCCAGTTCAGCATGCAAATGTACGGCGCCGTGGCGCTCTGGGCGTTTGCCGGCAAGGACGCCACGATGCGCTTCGTCATGGGGCCCGAGATGATGATTGACGGCAGGCGCGCGGCGCCGCTGGCTTTTGCGCGCGGACGCATCGCAAATGCGCTGACGCTCATGAACGTCGCCCCGGCCCTGCTGCTGGGATACTTCTTCCCCGGCTGGATGAGCGACAAGGTTTTCCTGCCTTCGGCGTCTTTTGTAAGTTTACAGATTCCGGTGCGCGCCGTGCCGTTGCGTTGATCCTGACAGCTTACAGTACGGCATCTACCACGTCCTGCACGACGACAAGTTCTTTGCCTGGCCGCCGTCACCGCAGCTCGCCATGGCCGCCTTCCCGTACATTCGCTCCGTCTACCTCAACCTCTACAACGAGCTCGTCCTCCCCTATGAGCTCCGTATGAACCGCCAGCTGCTGGGCTTGCCGCCCGTCCAGCCTCGTCAGGAGCCCGGCCAAAACGGGAACCAGAACGCGGCTGCCGAAGCGGCCCGCGCCCAGGGTGGCATCCTCGGCATCATGCAGACGCTCATTGATGCGCTCCGCGCGGACGAGGGTGACGACGAGCCGCGAGTCGGCGATTTCCAGATCGAGCTCCGGGGCGAGGAGCCCGACGGTCAGGCAGAGGGCGAGGGTGACGGTGACCTCATGCTGGAAGTCATTGTCGAGGAGCTGGACATGGCCGAGGCTGGCCATGGTGTACGTGATGGCGCCGCTGGCGCAGATCACGCAGATATGCCAGAACTGGCGGATGACAACGGTGATGCCAACGCGGCTGGTGATGCCGCGCCAGCCCCGGTTGTGCCGCTTGCTGCGCAACCTGCAGATGGTGCGGGCGACCAACCCGCCGCCAACCACGAAGCGCCGGCCGCGCCTGTGCGACGTATGGGCCTCGGAGAGTTGCTGTCAAACGTGTCCAGCGCCCTCGTGAGCGCCCTTATCCTGCCTGGCGTCTGCTTCGCCGCCGGCGAGGCGCTGCGTCTCGTGCTGCCGAAGCAGTGGACCGCGGCGCCGGCGCGCAACCCTTGGATGCGCCACGGCAGTGCCGGGGCCCGCCTGGGCCTCTTCCAGCAGCAATGGGGACGCAGCCTGGTCGGAGGGTGCCTGTACATTGTGCTGCGCGACATGCTCCGCGTCTACACCAAGACGCGCAAGGTGGCGGCGCTGTCAAACCGTCGGGTCAAGAACGTGGACCGCCCAAGACGGCAGAGGAAGTAGGGCCACTCGCTTTATTCTGCTCTTCATTTGTACAAAAGACCGATAATGCATGGATTTGGAGTCTAGATTTGTTTACTTTGCTAGAAGTTAAGTTGCTTTTTGTAATTAAAACTTAAAAATCCCTGGCTTAGTGACTTGTAAATTAGTGATGTGATGCCAGGCACACCACAACACGTATCCCGCTTCACCGTAGTGGCGTCGGCAGAAAAGCAGCCCACCTTTTTTCCTTCCGACCTTGTTGCTCCCGCACTGCCAAATCCCATCACCGCTGGGTTCACTGTATCTCCATCCCTCTTCCTCCTCACCCTCGTCGTCCCGTTTTCGACACCCGAACCCCCTTCAAAATGGTACGGAATCTTCCCTCCCGGCTGCATCCTCCTTTTTCGCCCCTCAGCGTTCTCAGCGGCCCAACCCCGCCATTCGCACCACCAGACCCTGGCCCAACTTAGCCCTCGGCTCCGGGCTTCGCCTCTTGACGAGCGTTACAATGTCGTTCCTCTTTGCTAACAGCCACTCTTCCTGCGCTCATTTTAGGCCTCTCTCACCTCCAAGCAGAAGCTCGCTCTCGCAATCTGCGACTTTCTCTCCACCTCGACCACCGATGGCACGCTGACCGCCGACGACCAGGACTCGGTGGAGGTGGCCATCAACTGCATCGCCGAGTCCTTCAAGGTGGACCCGACCGACAAGGCGGCCGTCGCGGGCGCCATTGGTGCGCAGAACCTGCTGCAAATCTACTCCGTCTACGAGGTGGCCAAGACTCGCAACAAGGCCGCCGCGGCCGCCGCATCCCCCGCCGCCGCCACCTCTGGTGAAACCCCCGCCGCACCCGCCGCCGCTGCCGAAGAGGAACCCGTCTCCGAGGACAAGAAGCGCGAGGCCGACGGTCTCAAGAGCCAGGGCAACGCCGCCATGGCCGCCAAGGACTACGCCACCGCCATCGACCTGTACACGCAGGCGCTCGCGCTGCACCCGCGCAACGCCGTGTTCCTGAGCAACCGCGCGGCCGCGCACTCGGCCGCTGCCTACGCCCAGGGCATCGAGCACGAGGGCAACGGCGGCTCCGACGCCATGAAGAAGGGCTACGAGACCGCCAAGCGCCGCGTCGAGGAGCTGGGCGGCGCCGACGACGTCGCCGCCAGTCGCGATGCGGCGCCCGGTGGCGCCGGCGCTGGAGGCATGCCGGACCTCGCGAGCCTGGCCGGCATGTTTGGCGGCGGTGGCGCCGGCGGTGCGGGCGGCATGCCGGACCTGAGCTCCATCATGAGCAACCCCATGTTCGCCAGCATGGCCCAGAACATCATGAGCAACCCCGACATGATGAGCAACCTCATGAGCAACCCCCGCATCCGCGACATGGCTAACCAGTTCGGCTCCGGCGGCGGCATGCCCGACCTCAACAGCCTCATGAGCGACCCCAACATTGCCGAGATGTAAGTATCCCTCTCTACATGAATTTGTGAGCAAGCCTGTACGCGGGATGCTAATGTATAAGTTAGGGCCCGCAACATGATGGGAGGCGGTGCTCCTCCTGGAGGTGCCGGAGGTGCTGGAGGTGCTGGAGGTGCTGGCGGTGCTGGCGCGGGACGTTGATAGAACATACAAAGCATGCTTCAACAATCAGTTTACTGGCATTTCGAATTTATCCACCATACCAACATAAAATGCGATCACGTACTTGTTTGCAGCTACGGTCTGTCTGGCCGAATAATGCTGTAATTGCCCTCTAGTCATACATTGAATGCGTGAACTTGTCTACCATGCTCTATGAGCAAAAAATGCAGTATCATGTCATGTCAGTTCCCGCCACGATGCAAATCCATGCCGAAATCTCAACGCAGGTCCATAATGTCATTCCCAATGAAAGAAAAATGCTGTAAATGCTGGAATCCTTCGATGCACGCCGAGGCCGTGTTCAAATCATACAGTGTACCAATCCACCGCTATGTACATACATGAGCAATTTTTTAATTCGTGCTAATGGCGGACGATGGGGATCGCAAGCTGCCGGATGGGCCACGCCCGCGACGGCCACGGATGGCTCCGCGACCCCGGCGGCTGCCACGGCTTTTGGGGAATGTTTCCGTAGCCTTGCCATCTCCAATGTGCGCTGGAGGCTCATTTTCGTTATTCCTATGTTCTTTGACTTGGTTCTTTGATTCTGTGCCTTCCCAAACCTCGGGCAAAGCGCCAGAAGCAGCACGGCTTGGACCGTCCACCTTGGATGCCGTCTTTGGTTTGGGAAGGGATGTGCGATGTGTATGGGGAGCGGAAACTCTACGCTTCTACTCTAGTTAGTCTGTGTATCCTTCGAAATTTGGAGATTGAGAAACATACAGTGGATACCGGGAGGTCGATTGGAATAGGCTTGGCCAACTCAAGATCTCCATATGGCGGATCGCTCTTCGACTGGATGCGTCGCGAATAGCGAGGGTGTTTGTACTGCACGCCTGATATCTTTCCAACCGAGTCGCCTCGTTCCTCTGGCAGCTTCTAAGCGCTAGAGCCTTTTGATTCGTCCACGGTTTCGGTTTCGGTGCTAGACGTGGGAAGTACAGGCTCATGTTGCCCTTCATCTGCCTTGGCGGCGGCAACCTCGTCAGCCCAGAGTCGTGCCCTCTCGGCTGACAAGCTCAGTTTATCATAGTCGCTTGTCTTGGTAACCACATTTTGGGAGATGGTGCGCGGCGTAAATTCGGGAGCCACGGGATTAAGCTTCGAGGCCTTGCTCATAGCATCACTGTCAATAGAAGCTCTCGTCATATGGCCGCGCTTGGTTCTCGGTGTGGTGTGGTTGACGACGTCCCTGGAGTCATGCTCAGACAAGGGCGTTTCGTCTCCACTGTCACTAACAGTGCGAGAGACCTGGGTGCTTTCCTGCGAGAAGTTTGTTTTCAAGTCCTTTTGTTCATCATCCGAAGCCTGGGCAATGTCCGCAGTCGGGCCCTTGGGCACAGAAACCTGCTTAGACCACAAATCGGCATATCGTCCACCGACACCGATCAGCTCGTGATGGCTGCCGCTCTCAATCACCTCTCCGTGCTCAATCACGACAATGCGGTCGGCGTTCATAATGGTCGACAGGCGATGGGCAACGATGAAGGTAGTGCGTCCTTGGCAGAGACGCCTGAAAGAAAGCTGAATCTGCTGTTCCGTATCGGTATCAACCGCACTGGTTGCCTCATCAAGCAGCACGATATCAGGTTTACGAAGAATAGCACGCGCAATGGCAACACGTTGAAGCTCGCCTCCAGAGAGCTTCACACCACGCTCCCCAACACGGGTTTGGTATCCATTGGTAAAGCCAATGATATTATCATGAATGCAAGCGGCTCTGCACGCGTCATATACCTCTTCATCAGTGGCCGTGATTCTGCCGTATCGAACATTGTTGATGATGGTGTCATCGAAGAGAATAGGATTTTGAGGAACAATGCCGATGCGGTCGCGAAGGCTGAAAAGGTCCACCGTTCGAATATCTTGTCCGTCGATGCGGATCGCACCGCTCTTTACGTCGTAGCAACGATTGAGCAGACGAAGCAGGGTGGATTTACCGGCTCCCGTGGATCCCACAAATGCCACAGTCTGGCCGCTAGGAATTTCCAAGTTGACGTTTTTGATGACACCTTTTTGCTCGTCGTAGCTGAAGCAAACCTTGTCAAATTCGACCTTGCCGAAGGCGAACTTGAGAGGGCGGGCGTTTTTCTTGTTCTCGACGCTGGGCTTGGTATTCATGATGTCGAGCAGACGCTCGGCCTCAATAAAGTCGTCACTCATGCTCTTGCCCAGCTTGGCAAAGAATTGCAACGGGGAGGTCAACTGAGCCCAGTACATCAGCAGCATGGCGAATTGACCAGAGGTGGCGCGGCCATCCTGGATACGGTAGACAGCGAGAAAGGCGGATGCCAAAAGTCCAGAGGAAAGTACAATAGTCTGAAAGGCACTCGAAACGTGCCAGTCCAATATGAATTGCTGTTCCCTAAGCCAGCGATTTGTTGTGGCATTAGCGTGTCTGTTGTCCTCGTAGCCTATCTGGTTGAATGCAGAAACAGTTTGCCAGCCCGACAGGCCTGCGTGGCGGATGCGATACTCCTCATAGACGGCATTAACTCTGTTCCGGTTGACAGGCTTGGATTTGACCACAAGGCGGGCAGCGCAATGGAGAAAAATGGTGGCAGTCGCCATGGTGATGAGCCCTTCGTAGGGTCCAAATGTTACTGAGAGGTACACAACGGCCACCATCATGTCGACAACCATGGGGGTGGCTTGAAGAAAGATGCTCTCGACAGCGTTGGAGACGGAGCTGCCACCATTGATGGCTACGAGCATGTCGGAGCAGCTCTTGGAGTCGTGAAAGTCGGCGGAGAGGTGCATCATATGCGAGTAGGCGGCGCGGCTCAAGGCATCGCGTGAGAAGTACTTGACAGGAACCCAAAGCCACTGTCGAATGAGCTCGATGCCGCACGCTGACGAGGCCAGACGTAGGACGGCGTACGTCAAGACGGCAGTCCATGGGCTGACATCGTTGATACCGCCGAGACTATCCATGATGATGCCAGTCTGTCGGGGTATCAGCAGATGGAGTGCGTTAGAGGCGAAAAGGCAGAGAACAACGGCAAAGGCTCGAATCTGTAGAGTTTTGTGTCCGATAGGCCATACGTAAGGGAATAGAATCTAACAAGTTAGCACGTTAAATGGAAATGAAGACTGCGTTTCTCACCGTGAACCCTTTCACGTATTGAAACCAGTTGCCACCTTGCTTGAGCCGCTTCTCCATAGTCTCGCGGGCTACACGCCGGCTTCGTTGCCAGCTGTACTCTGCCTCATCTTCAGGTTGCGTACCGTAGCCATTTGGTTGGTTGTCTTTGGGCAAGAGAGAGTCTGTCTCCGGGCTTGAGGCTGGAACAGTCCACCAGGCGAAGATGGTGGCGGAAGCGAGCGCTGCGAGTATTGTCCAGCGGAAAACGCCCAAGATAAAGTCGGAGAGAACCCAGAAGCCGGCAAACCTGGTGGTGGCGGAAATAGTTGAGCAAATGATGATGATGGCTTCGAAGATCAAGGCCAGTGCAACAGAACCCCACAAGGGGATCGGCGAAGGACGGTCAGAGTCGAGGATGCGACTGAGCTGGATGCCAAACACGAGAAAGCATGATAGACGGCCGATGATGACATGCTCATCGACGTTCCAGGCGCGAGCTAGAATAGCGTGGATACAGAGAAGACCTAGCTGGGCGGCATATGTGGCGAGAAACAACGCGAGGGAGAAAACAACGACGCGCTTGCTGGGTCGCAGGGGCTTCTCATTGTCTTTCAAATCCTGGCCGGTACAGGTGGCGACAAGAGAAGCAATAGCGGCGAAGACGAAGACGGTGGCCGGGTAAAGGTAGCAGAGAGTTGCAAGGAAGGAGACGGCGGTGATGGTCAGGGCCATGACGGCTGTTGGTTGGAATCTGAGCGTTGAGAAGCAGATGGAAAGGAGAGAACCAAACCAATGGGAGCTACCAAGGGATAAGTAGGGATAGGTCGGCGGTCGAGTGATGCGAGCATGAATGAAGGAGGGCGTGGGTGTGTCGCTTGAGCAATTGGTGTTGAGCGAAGAAGGAGTGAGTCAAGCGAGGACCGAGTTTGTCAACGGGTAGCGACAGGCCGTCAGTCATTGACAAGCAGGCGAGGAAGGCAAGCGCAATCAAGAGAGTGATGCACCGAGGGAGGACAGGCAGGCCCCTGCCAGCTGCTGGATTGGGCCAATGCAGTCAATGGCAATAGATGTTGACGAGATAGGGTGTGTGGGTGCTCGCGCGTGTCTTGCAGTGGCGTCTTGTGTAATCCGATGACGGGTGTTGCAATGCAAAGAAAAATTCTTGTCACGGCGGGCGCCTTTTGTGGTGAAGAGAGTGATGCCTGAAGGAGCCTGTATCCGTCCGTTCTGCTGGTATGGAAGGGAGTACGGTGTACAGATTGCGGTGTCCCTGGTCGCAGCAGTAGCCAGGTTATCAAGGGAGCCCCGGGATATCAAGGTGCATGCAAGACTTTCCAGGGGATACATACCTACGGAAGGTAGGAGCAGAGACAGCGAACCGAGGGCGTACGGGCGTCAATGCAAAGACATAATGATGGAGAGGTTGAGATTACAGAGGGAAACCGGAGAAGGAGATGAGGGAGACGATGAATAATTGGGAAGAGAGCGATTGATTGATTGAGAGGTTACGAGTCGTAAATACTTGGCGGCCTGGGATTGCAAACGCCAGGATTTTGCTAACCCAAATTCCGTGTAGTTACTAGGTTAGTTAGGCGAGGTAAGGTAAAACTGGCCAACTACCTAGCCGCGGAACTAGCAGGGACTGACCGCCTGTTATGGGCCTTCCGGTGGTCACTGTCACTGATGGATCGCTGGAATACTGGTAGAGAGACATCGAGTATTGGCACATGATGAGTTGGTCAATTTTTTTTTCCTTTTGCTTCTTTCCTCGTCATCTTTTCTCGTCTTACAACAACCCCGAACTATATCTTACCCGTACTATTTTACAGTTGCATTGCTGCCCGACACAAGGCCGCTGCCTCGTCCATTACAACCCAACATAATTGATACTCACAACTCAACCCCATTCAGGTACTAATAAAGCGTCTTCATCTCAATTTCTCGCCACTCCTATTGGTAGCGGCCAGTCGGGACCGGTCTCCCGGGACACCCTGGCTGGCCACCTTCCATCTACTGTAGATGCAAAATAGCCCTGAATAGCCTGTCACCAGACCTACCTACATACTAATTACTAGGTAGTGCTTGGGGAACTTGGAAAACAAGCTTACTTCCGCGTACAAAAAGTATCAAGGAAGATGTTTGCTTATGCGAGACCTGTGCACTGCTGTGCATGTCGTATTCGTACCCAATAAAACATGCTAAGGACTCTGGCGTCAGCTACACTGGGCCGAAGCAGTGTAACAATTAATAGCAAAGGAAGAAAAAGAAGCAAACAAGAAAAGGGGAAATAGAACACAAAAAGCCACAGAATCAATAAATGAGCGTTCTGGTGATATTCTGTCCGCCATTACAGATTGCACCATCAAGAAGCTTTGCCTGTCAAACCGTCGGCCCACCTCCACAGTCCTCCATCTGACATCACCGGCTGGCTCGGCTTCAGCTTCCAGCATCTTCCACTGTGGTGAAATCCTTCTACAAATACTGCAACCAACGCCCACTCCATCTTCCTCCCTTCATCGACACCGCCTCTTCAACATCACAAATCGCATCTTCGAAACCACACACATTTCGTCGCCCTCCGCGATGGACTACGTTGAGCAACGAATGACGGACGAGGCAGCCAAGGGGCCGGCCAGGTAAGCATCCGGTCCCGCTTCCGCTCCCTCCCTCCCGCCTCACAGCTGACGAGAAAACTTCGCCAGCGACTCTTTATTCACCCCCCTTAACCTCATCCTCGTCTCCGCCGTCGTATACGTCGTCTACATCCTCTTCCGCGCGCCGACCAAGCACGACATGCCCAAGCCCCCGCCGCCTGTCGTCTTCCGCACCTACACACCGCGCACCCTGCTGCCCCTCAACGGCGAGAACGGCAACCCCGTCTTCATGGCCGTCCGCGGCAAGGTCTTTGACGTCTCTAACGGCCGCAACTTTTACGGCCCCGGCGGACCCTACGCCAACTTTGCCGGTCGCGACGCCAGCCGCGGCCTCGCTAGCCACAGCTTCGACGAGGACATGCTAACCAAGGACCTCGACGGGCCGTTGGATCCCCTGAAGGACCTTGACTCCGAGCAGATCGAGGCCCTTGAGGGCTGGGAGGCCCGCTTCAACGAAAAGTACGAGGTCGTCGGGCGTCTGGTGTCCGTGGCCGACTTCAACGCTCAGAAGTAAGACGGGACAAATACGATATGATAGCATAATCAAGATTTTATGATCATCATGGATCGGTCTATTTCTTAGCAGCGCCAGCCAGCATTACTGCCCAGCATCGAACTGCATGCGCATTAGAATTCCCGCCCAGATGCTGCCGTCGTTCCAAAATCCAGCGGCGCGATCGACTTGAACCCGACATTGTGATAGTATCTGTGCGGTCAGCCCCTGCGAATCTGACGGTAAAGTAGACGTACTGCACAAGTTTCCCGTCGCCGCCAGACCAGCAATCGACGTATATGTCTCTCGCGCCAGTTCCCGTCGCGTGCCGCCTGATGTGCTCTATGAGGGCAGCGCCAGCCCCTCTACGCTGGCTTTGCGGCACACGTTGGTCTGCTATCAGCACATCGATATAGGAATAGCCACCTGGTAGGTTCTCTGCTTCGTCCACAACTGGCTTTAGAGAGCCGATAGACGACACATGCTGCGAAAAGTGCCCTTCCCGGATGGTGATAAACGCGACCGAATCACGAGACTGATCGTCTCTGCAATGAATGTGCGAATACGCTCACCGTGGCCTGTCGCGCGAAAGTGCTCTGACTGGGCAAGGTCGTCATGTGTTGAGTCCACAAAGCCGCTCTTGTTGGAGAAGAGTTCTGTTCCCCACTGGCCACTGTTGCCAGCCGAAATGAGCACCGGGATGACCGAATCGAAGGCGCCGACGACGAAATGAGTGTCCTCCATCGTTGCTGGACGGATTTGAAATGGTGAAAGCGAGCTATGTTGCTGTTGAGGCTGCGGCGGCTTACGCTTATCTAGCGGCCGCCACTCCGAAGACAGACGATGCATCTTGGTGAAGAATAATCCTCCGCCAGATCTGCCAAGGAAAGGATGTGCCGCGAAATACCGCCGTTCTTTCAAGCCCGCACTAGGAAGCGGAGTGGGATACCGTGATTGATGCCCTCATTGTGCGTTGCGGAGGCAGTGTGAAGCTTGCTTGTGCTGTGTCGACCTCATCGGCCTCCATCCTACTGATGCAAAACGTAGACTTCAAGATGCCGATGGCAGCTTATCGAACCTCATCTCACTGCTGGAGTCAGATTCGCCCACTATAAAGCCTCGCGAGGACGAATCCCGTCTTTATCGCAGCGTGTCCATCGTGACTGAGCTGGGCGTCATAGCCCATGTCACCACGGGCCCATGCATCCCATCTTCAGCGTCATTGCAAAAGATTTCTGGGCAGATACGGACAGCCGTCACCACGGCCATCGCCTCGCTCCCCCAGTCCTTGCATCGGCACGGCGTCACGCCAAGGTCCCGCCGCGTCTGGGCCGGCACCGCCCGGGTTCGCACCACCTTGGGCCCCAAGCGGAGCGAGTTTGGTAAAACGCTTGAACTTCTGTTTGGCGTTCTAATGTGGGCTGCGAGTCTGCGGCTGACGCCCAATCCGTCTTTGCTGTCTTGCTGCCTAGCGGAAGACGAGGAAAGCGAGGCCGGCATCACGTGGGTGGCTGGCCCAGGCTCTGTCGCGGTTGCGTTCCGCAATACGGCGTCCTCTGGCGGAGTCCTGCAGGCCAGCAAGCCCCCATCGAGGCGGACTTCTTGCGCCAATGGCGCGGCGGAACTCTTGTGGACGGTTCTGCCGATGACGGGCGGAACGGTGCCGAGATTGGCGATGGGAGCGTGGCGCTCATTATCACCAATGCCGCGTTTCGACTGCTGGCGGCGGCAGCGACTGAAAAAGGCGACGCTTCGAGGACGGAAGCTTGGTCATCTTGCACGAGGCTGCTGCGCAACTTGTCTCCCTCGTGGCATCGCTGGGCGTCTCTGTGATTCGGGCAAGACAGTCTTGATCTTGTTCGGTGCGCTGATGGGCGTGGACTGATCCCGAGAGCTGGTGCTGTAGAATTGTAGGGAGCGGAGGCTCTAGTTACCAAATATTAGATTTATTCTAGACGTATCAGGGTATGCAGTCATTCATGTCAAGTTTCCTAGAGACGAGCACGGTGCGGATTAGGGCACTACGCCATATACTACTCTATTACTGAGCAATTCAAATACCTTTGAGTATATGCATTCTAGATTCTCCGTTTCCACTATTCGCCCTTTTCTATTTATGAAGGCGGACGGGAGAAGAAGCAATCTTCACGTCTCTTGTAAGCCAAGGCTGCGGCGACACGTTCTGCTTTTTCAATTCATAAATACGCCGCGCTGCCGCAACTTATCATCCGCCTCTCTTTATTAGAAAAGAAAAATACAACGAAGACTTAGAAATGATGAAAATTTTTAAATCTAGTGAAAGACGAATTTAGTGTCACGTATCATTAAAAGAGATAACATTTCTCTGACAGCTTCAGTCTGCTGTGCGCCGCCCAGAATCAGTGAATGCTTGTTCAAGTCTCGTAAACATTGTGGAGGTACAGAATAATACTAGACCATAGTAAAACTGTTTTTTAAACTCTCTTTTTAACTCTGATTCTTTTATCGACAAACGCCTTCGCTTAATCGTAAACAACTCACCTTGCAGCCGTGGCTGTGCCTACAGCGTTTCGCGTGCTTTGCGTGCTGTTGGCCTCTTCTTGGCTTCCTACCTTGCCTGACACTTGCTTATTGCGCGAGAGGAGGGGGTGGTCGCCAAGGCGCCTTGGCTACGGGCCATACGACCTTCCCCTCATTGCCCTAAATGCAGAAAAGGAAGCTTCCCATCAGGCCCACGCGCCAAGACCGCGGCTTGACGAGGCTGTTGGCTAATGGCATCCCGGGCCATACAAGCGAGGGCCGGCCTTTTATCCCGTTATGGCATCTGGATGCTTACCGATGATGTTTTAAGCCTCACGACAGGGTTGTTCCCGGCGCATTGTGGAGAGAAGTCGGAGAGCACTCTTGAGTGTCATAATGAGGAAGGACAAATACAAAGTGCAAAGGCAAAGGCTCGAACATGCCAAGAATTGTCGAAAAGGGAAGGACGCTGTGAAATGTCAAAAATAGGAAGGAAGGAAGGAAGGTGTATTTGAGGTCAATGTGAAGATTATTTTGACAGAATACAGTTTACTTCACAGGCCTTCAAGTTCAAGTATATAAAGACATCCTAATGCACCTAGATGTGGCTCAACAGACACAAATCTATCCATCTCCTCACACATCAATTATCTATCCGCAGATCTATTGCAATATTCTTAGTGGTTCATCATGAAGCTTTCCTTCGCCGTCCTTGGCGGCCTATACGCCCTCGCCGCGGCGCAGTGCGGCACCATCTCCAACGACAAAATCCAGGCCTTACACGCCTCGTACGCTGCCGCCGAGGCCGAGGCCCACGTCTTGGGCCGGCGCCAGTCATCTGCCACGTACGAGATCCCGACCGTTTTTCACGTCATCACCGAGAGCGGCACCGTCAGCGGTGGCCATGTCCCCCAGGACCTTATCAACAGACAGGTAGGAGACAATTACCATTCACTCACCTCTCTCGTGTTGGTGGCTGCTGCCTTCTTCTACTGCTACTGCTACTCCCCTTTCTGCCTTTAAACGCGTGGTTTTACTCATCACTTCATTATTTTTACAGTTTGACTACCTCAACACCGCCTTTGGCAAGCATGGCTTTTCCTTTGTCCTCAACGACACCGTGTATACCCGTCAGCCCAACTGGCGCAGACTCGACACTCCGCTGGTAGGCGCCACTGCGAGGGAGATGGAAATGAAAAGGGCGCTGCGCCGGGGCGACTATGCCACACTCAACGTCTATGTGACCAGCTTTGCACAGGCCGGCCTTTTGGGCTGGGCGTAAGTTTCTTCTTCTTTGGCTGCTGCTTCTGCTGCTTCTTCTTCTTCTTCTAACTCTCCTCATATAGTTTCTTCCCAGAAGCCCAACCCACGGCTTCTGAGCTTACCCGCGACGGTGTCGTGATCGCGACTGGATCCTTACCCGGCAGCAACTTCAATGGCGGCACATTGATCCACGAAGTCGGTCACTGGCTGAGCTTGGAGCATACCTTCCGAGGCCGCACCCAAAACGACCCGCTGGGGGGCTGCCGTGGTTCTGGTGACTATATCTTGGATACCCCCGCTGAGTCTTCTTCCGGGGGTGGTTGCCAAATTGTAAGATATCCTCTTGCATCATTCTACTTTGCCCTTTATTCGATCTGAAGCCTGCTAACGTCAACGCCGGTCAGGACCGAGATACCTGCACGGGAAGCCTGGAAGTATCTAACCCCTCGTCGATTCCCGGTCCGGACCCCATCCACAACTACATGAGCTATTCGGCAGATTCCTGCATGTCAGAATTTACCCCCGGTCAGAAGGAGCGCATGCTGAACGCCTTCGGCGATCTACGTGCCAAATAATTTGATGCAACATGAGGAAGTGACTGGTAGGCGATAGCTCCCGAGGTCTGGTTCGCCAGATAAAATCAGTTTTTTTCTATTATAAGTTATGTATTGTGCCCATCCATGGCAGACATGATAAACTCGATCCATCCTCCACATCAACTAGGCTGCAATCCATTTAGTCTATACATTATCACACCAAAATACCCTTCAGACCTCCCTCCAAGGCCCGCGCTATCGTCGATATCGTGTACATGGTTGAACTATTGGAGAATAATAGTCAGTATCCTGACAACCCGTCTCAAGAATACGGGTGGTTCAGGGTTGAGAGGTACAGTACAGAGTACGCAACTTTATTTAGTACCTATTCTACAACTATTAGGGAGGAAATTAGTGATTACAGCTGTTAAAAGTCCGTGGCCGGCGAAACCCCGGCTAAAGCCTACGTAGCTCGGACATTACGGCTTGTGGATGTGGACCAGGCCATTAGTTAGTTATGTATGTATGCGCAACCACCATCACTATCCCGCCCGCCACTGTGGAGGCTTCAAACGGGCCTGCCTGGCAGCTTCGCACCATCGCCATCCCGCATTTTGACCTCCGCATTGCGTCGTTACGGTAACATCCGACACTGTTTAGTATAGGTCGGTGACTACAACTTGGTGCCTAGCACGGGATCGCCATGACAACTCCTGCACCGCCCGAGGACCAGGCGCGCCTCCTGGAGGATGCCCTGGTCGCCGTTCGCCAGCAGACGTCGCTCATGCGAAAATGTCTCGACACGCCCGGCAAGCTTATGGATGCGCTGAAATGCTGGTAGGTCTCTACTGATAGCCATTGCCGACGTCGCGACTAATCATACCCAGCTCGACCCTCGTCTCGGAGCTGCGAACCAGCAGCCTCGGCCCCAAGCAGTACTACGAGCTCTACATGTCCGTGTTCGACGCCCTGCGCTACCTGTCCGTCCACCTCCGCGAAAACCACCCTGTCAACCATCTAGCCGACCTCTACGAACTCGTCCAGTATGCCGGCAACATTATCCCCCGCCTCTATCTTATGGTCACCGTCGGCACCGCCTACATGGGCATCGCAGATGCGCCCGTCAAGGAGCTCATGAAGGACATGATGGACATGAGCCGCGGCGTCCAGCACCCCATTCGCGGTCTCTTCCTCCGATACTATCTGTCAGGGCAGGCTAGGGATTACCTTCCCACCACCGATAGCGACGGCCCGGAAGGCAACCTCGGCGACTCTATAAACTTTATCCTCACCAACTTCGTCGAGATGAATAAGCTCTGGGTTCGTCTGCAGCACCAGGGCCACTCTAGAGAACGAGATCAGCGCATTCGAGAGCGCAAGGAGCTACAGCTTCTCGTGGGCAGCAACATTGTGCGCTTGAGTCAATTGGTTGATCTGGAGACATATCAGTCGACCATTCTCGGACCGCTCCTGGAGCAGGTTGTCCAGTGTCGCGATGTGCTGGCTCAAGAATACCTGCTCGAGGTTATCACCCAAGTATTTCCCGACGAATATCACCTGCACACGCTCGATAAATTTCTCGGCGCCGTCTCCCGTCTCAACCCGCACGTCAACGTCAAATCCATCGTTATTGGCCTAATGGACCGGCTGTCCGAGTTTGCCGAGCGGGAGACCTCGGCCGAGAAGTCGCCCGAGCAGGGGGGCCGTGAGGCCGAAGCTCTCGCCAAGCTCCTAGAAACCGCCAATCTTAAGGACACCAAAGGCGCTGGCGATGCGAAGGCTGAAGGCGAGGATGGGGGCGAAGGCGAAGAACCAAAGAACAAAGATACAAATGGGGATCCTGAAACTGAGACACCTGTTGATGCAGCGGAAGAGAGGGCTGCTGAAGGAAAGATCTCGACGGATGGAAATGTGCAGCTCTATGAGGTGTTCTTTGCCCAGGTCCAAAACCTCGTCGAAGTGCAACACTTGCCCATCCCAGATACCATTGCTCTGCTCGTTTCGCTGCAAAACTTGGCCCTCAACAACTATCCTGACCGTCTCGACTTTGTTGACCAGATTCTGGCCTATGCCGCTATCAAAACCAGGGAAAATATGAACAATGCTGACCTGCACTCTACCCCCGCGCAGCAAAGCCTGTTGGCTCTCTTGCAAGCGCCACTAGACCGCTACGTTTCGATATTCACTGCTCTGTCGCTGCCGACATATGTACCGTTGTTCCAGGCCCAATCCTATCCGACCCGCCGTGCCGTCGCCGGGAACATTATTCGCACTCTCCTGAAAAGCCAGACCAAGATTGTCAAGACAGAGCAACTCGAGAATGTGCTGGAAATTATGGCTGTTCTCATAAAGGAAGGAAACCAGGCCGCTCAAGGGTATCCCGCTGCTCAGCGCCGCGTAGCCGAGACGGATGAGACGATGCAGGAACAGGGCTGGCTGGCGAGAATGGTTCATCTGCTGCAGGCCGAAGATAACGATACACAATTCAAGCTGCTTCAAACGACGAGGAAAGCCTTTGCCGACGGTGGCGACCGCATTCGCACAACGACACCACCGCTCATCACAGCCGGGTTGCGACTCGCGCGCAAGCTGAAAGCGAGGGAGGGCCTGGATGACAACTGGGAAACGCAAAGCAATGCCCTGTTCAAGTTTATGCATTCAGCACTGAGCACTTTGTATACGCGGGTCAATGGACCTGGGGCGTCGGAGATGGCTCTACGGTTATTCTGCGCTGCTGGCCAGGCTGCTGATATGACTGGCTTCGAAGAAGCGGCCTATGAGTTTTATGCGCAGGCATTTACGGTGTACGAAGAAGCCGTGTCCGACTCCAAGGCGCAGTTCCAAGCCGTGTGTGTGATTGCGTCGTCGCTACACCAGACGCGCAACTTTGGCAAAGAGAATTACGATACCCTCATTACCAAGTGTGCTCAGCATGGTAGCAAGCTGCTGCGCAAGCCGGACCAGTGCCGCGCCGTGTACCTGGCGAGTCATTTGTGGTGGGCTAATGCGATTCCCGCCAATAGGGAAACTGAGGAATCTGATGTAAGTGCTTTGATGACGTCGGTTGATGTAGGTTGTGCTGACTGAAATAGCTGTACCGGGACGGTAAGCGAGTGCTGGAGTGCTTGCAGCGGGCTCTGCGTGTGGCAGACTCGTGCATGGAGACGGCGACGTCGATTGAGCTGTTTGTTGAAATCTTGGACCGCTACGTATACTACTTTGACCAGCAAAACGAGTCGGTAAGTCGATTACAGCTACATACCGGTATTCCATTTGCTCATGGACTGACAACGCAGGTTACCACGAAATATCTCAACGGCCTCATCGAGCTCATCCACTCCAACCTGGCCAGCAACCAGCAAGAGTCGGCCTCGGTCGAGACGAGCAAAAAGCATTTTCACCAGACGCTGGAGAATATTCGAAGCAGGCAATACGAGGGAGTGGTGTTGTATCCGAGCTAGATGTACGATTACTGCGATCTGGAGAGGGTGAAATGCATCTCAGAAATCCTGCATTGTAATTATCTTGCACTGTAAATTCCACACAAGTTTTCTGCCCATGGCCACAGTAGTTAGTTGCCAGTTATTCTGCGTCCATACTTTTTAACGTGTCCAATGAGTGCTGTCTGTTGCGTCTTGGCGACAGTGGCCTGTCCACGCGGCTCAGGCTCAGGGGCCACTAAAGTCGGGGCTGAGCCACCGTCACGGCCAAACCATGGGGAGCAACATCAACGGCCATCCTACAACCTCGGCGATCCATCATTGTCTTTTTCTGTATCTATCTGTTTAATTCTGCATCCTGTATTGACTTCTTCTTTGCACACATTCCCTTTGTTTTCTTCTACTTGGCTTGGTTACCGCCTTCCTCGCTCGTTCCCATTTTTTTGCTGCATACATAAAGCTTGGTTTCAGAAAAGGCGCTGGTAACCTGGTCACGCAAACTCGCCCGCTTCTTCCCTTCCTCCCCCCTGGGTAGACACACACACACACAATAGATGGCCTTGGGCGCCGAAGATGCCTTCGGAAAAGGTGCCCTTTTACGACCCGACGCCGCCGACTTACGATGAGGCCCTCGCCGGTGGCAGTCGATGGGTGCCGCCCGCCCGCGACGCTGCCGATCAGCGCGGTGCCACGCAGACGGAGCAGCAGTCGCTGCTGAGGCAGCCCGGGAGTAACAACAACGGCGAGTCCTCCCGCAGGACCGGCTATCGCCCACCAACGGTCGAAACTGACGACGAGTCCGATGATGATGGCCTGCTCAGCGACGACGAGTCCGAAGAGGACCAGGTCCGCCGCGAGATCGAGGAGATGGACATGGAGGAGCCGGATCGCTCGCTGGGCTCGACGTGGCGCAAGCGGTTGCGGATTCCATCCTGGAAATGGTCCTGGCGACCGAGGTTACCGCGCCTGCGCATCCAGCTTCCCTCCCGGCCGGCCGACACCGAATCCCAAACCCAGTCGACGGCACAGACCGAGGCGACGCCTGCAGCGGGCTCCGGCTCCGGACTCCGCTTCAACTTTGAGCGCTTTCAAATACCGCAGGTCAATAGCATGTTCCTCGTGCTGACGTTTGCGCGCGTGCTTGCGCTCTTCATCATCCTCGGCTTCTTCTGGTTTCTCTTCACCAGCGGCCTGTTCTCCGGCCTCAACTCGCCGCTCACGAGCGGCATGCGCTTCAACGCCGAGGACCTGCGAAACTTCCTGCAGCAGCGCGTCGAGCCCATGCGCATGCGGGCCTCGGTCCAGCACTACTCGAGCTACGCGCACCTCGCCGGCACCGAGGGCGACTACGCGGCGGCGCGGGACGTGTACGCCATGTTCAGCAAGGCCGGCCTCGACCGCGTGGCCATGGACGAGTACTTTGTGTACGTAAACTACCCACGTCAGGACGGCCGCAACGTGCAGCTCCTGGACGGGAGTGGTGCGGTCACCTGGACGGCGAAGCTGGACGAGGAGGAGCGCCACCACGAAACGGCCGGTCGGCAGACGTACGCGTTCCACGCGCACTCGAAATCGGGCGACGTGAAGGGGCCGCTGGTGTACATCAACTACGGCTCGAAAGCGGACTACGAAAAATTAAAGAGCGACGGGGTCAAGATGGAAGGGGCGATTGCGCTGGTGCGAAATGGAGGCACTGAGAAGAGTACGGCTTTGAAGGTGAAGCTGGCAGAGATGTATGGGTTTGTCGGTGCCCTGGTATATAACGATCCGAAAGATGACGGCTTCTCCCTGGGAGACGTGGCTCCCCAGGGTAGGTTCATGCCCGCCGATGGCGTGCATGGCGGCTCTGTGAGCTTGATGAACTGGATCCTGGGAGACGTGCTTACCCCGCAGTGGGAAAGCGAAGAGCAGTCTCCCCGCGTCAAGGTGAGCGACGCCGTCGGGCTAGTCCAGATCCCCAGCCTGCCGCTCGCTTGGCGGGACGCGCAGCCGCTGCTACAGAGCCTCAAGGGCCACGGTCAGAAAGTGCCGGCCGACTGGGCCGGTGGGGTGCCCGACGTGGAGTGGTGGACGGGCGACGCGGCGGTCTCGCCGACAGTGCGCCTGCAAAACGAGCAGGACGAGATGGAGAAGCAAAAGATTTGGAACGTGTACGGGCGGATCGAGGGCATGGAGACGGCGACCAAGTCCATCATCATCGGCAACCACCGGGACTCGATGGGCTTTGGCGCGACGAACCCGCACACGGGCACGGCCATCATGATTGAGATGGCACGCATCTTTGGCGACCTCGTGGACCGCGGGTGGAAACCTCTGCGGTCCATTGAGTTTATGTCGTGGGACGCGTCCGAGTACAATCTGATTGGGTCGACCGAGTTTGTCGAGAAGAACCTGGACCGGCTGAAGAAGGACGCGTACGCATACATTGACCTGAGCGACGCGGTGACGGGGACCAAGTTCACGGCAGCCGGGTCGCCGCTGCTCGAGCGCGCGCTGATGCACGCTCTGGGCAGGGTGTATGATACCAACGCCAACGAAACGCTGCGGACGCTGTGGGACCGCGACAGCGCGCAGCTGCTGGACCTGAGCACGGGAGCGGACCCGAGCGACTACATCCCGTTCCAGGACGTGGCAGGCACGAGCTCGATTCATCTGGGCTTCGCGGCGGACGGCCCGGGAGCGGCGTACCCGTACCGGTCGAGCTACGACACATTTGACCTGGTGGACCAGGTGATCGACCCGGGGTTCGTGTATCACGGGCTGCTGGGCCAGGTTGTAGGTCTGCTGTTGCTGGACCTGTCGGACCGGGCGATCCTGCCGTTCGACACGAAGAGGTACGGCGATAAGTTGAGGACGTGGCTGGAGAACCTGGAGCGGTGGGCGGGCAACCGTGGTGGTGCGGCCCGCGACAAGCTCTCGTTCGAGGAGCTGAAGGACGCGGCGGGCATGATCCAGCACAATGCGGACAAATTTGGGCAGTGGGAGCTTGAGTGGGATGCGGCGGTGCTGGCGAGCAACGGGTGGGAGTCGAACGAGTACGGGGCGGCGCGGACCGTGTACAATGACAAGATGGCGCAGTTTGAGACGGCGCTGCTTGATCCAGACTATGGCGGTGGTGTAAGTGCAAAGCTGCTTATCCTTCCCTTTTTGCTGATGATGTATGTGTAAGTCATGCTAACCAACCTCCGTAGATACCTAACCGTACGCAGTTCAAGCACGTCGTCTTTGGCCCGCCGCTGCTGTCGACAAACGACGAGGCCCTGTTCCCGGCGATCCGCGACCTGATCGAGGCTGAGGACTGGGTGGCGGCCAAGGAGGTCATGGCCAAGACGGCGGGCCTGCTGAGGCATGCCGGCGCGCTGCTGTCCATGTCTGCGCAATAAGTGTTGATGTATTCTACGCGGGCATTCACGGAGTTGGGTATATATTTCTTTCTTCTTTTTCTTCTTTTGCGGTCTTAAAGAATTAATTGATTTCTGCTTGAAATGCCCGTGTTTTCCAACGCCATGCCGTATCGGCGAATGCAAACTCTAACCCGTGATTTCAGTCGCCCAACAACGTCATAAACCTGAACGTGCTGACCGTGTGAATCTAGACAGATTTTTATCGTCTAGTGAACCTTTAAATACAAATCCTAATTTCATGTACGCCATTGGCTGCCCACGTACAATCTACCACTGCAACACCTTTTGCGGGAAGAACTTGTCAATCAGCTCCATGTAGTAGGGCTTGAGCTCCTCGACGCTGGGGACGTCGTCACTTTTGCTGTACAGGTCGTACGGGTTGAAGGCCTGGACGGCCTTGAGCATGTCCCAGTCCTTGGGGCACATGAGGTGGCGGTAGGCGCCCTCGCGGTGCCAGGGGTAGAAGGAGTGGTAGCGGATCATGGCGAGGGCCTCGTCGGGCAGGGTGGACTGGTCGCGTACGACGTGGTAGAGATACTCGTCGTGGCCCCAGCTGAGCATGACGTTGTCCAGGCCGCACCCTTCCGCGTAGATGCCGAGCGGCGTGCTGTAGGTCGGGTCGCGCGCGTCCGGGTTGGCCGCAAAGGTCTCCTCGGCGAGGACGATGCGGGGGTCAAACGCGCAGCCGACGGGGAAGGTGTCGCCGACGACGTCCCACTGGCCCTGGGTGCCGAGGTCGTCGAAGAAGAGCATGAGCTTGCCGAGGTCGTGGATGAGGCCGGTGACCTGCATCCAGCGCGGCTTGCCGTCACGGCGGATGGCCTCGGCGGACTGCAGCAGGTGCTCGATCTGGGAGAGCGACGTGTCCGGGTCGGACTCGTCGACGAGGGCGTCGAGGCGCTCCATGGCCTGCCAGACGGTGAGGCGCGGGCGCGGGCGCGCGGCGGAGCGGAAGCGCGCGCGGGCGGCGAGGTTGTAGGCGACGGTCTGCTTGGCGTGCTGCTCGCGGTAGAAGGCCTTGACGCGGTCGCAGGCCGTCTCGTACTGCCGGAAGGCGGCCTTGTCCTTGGCGGCGTCGAACTGCGAGGCCGAGTCGTACTTGATGCTGTTGACGTCGTCGATGGCGTCGGAGAGGTCCTCGAGGGCTTTGCCGCTGGCCTTGGTGACGGCGGCAGGGGGAGGAGTGGGAGATTCGCGGAGTGCGGTAGGTGCCATGTTTGATGTGTGATGATGTTACAAGGGACAAGGAGAGAGATGCGATGGGTGGTGATGGGAGGAGTTGCTTGTTGGATGACGGGGTAGACGAGGAGGGTTTTGCATCTTATATCCTGAACCACATTCGCTTCACCTCACCAGCAAATGCAAACGCAAACCACACCCCGAAACGGGTAATTCGACGTCACCTGGTGCATATCGGTATGCGCCCGCTGACTATTCAAACGGCGGGGATCGCTTCATCGAGTTTAACACTTGGCTAAGGGAAGTGATGCAAGTCTCGGCGAGTATTTCCGGATGAGGAAATTTTTGCAAGGCTAGCGCCGACGAACCCTCCAGCGAACGATCCCGCCCGTGGGAAGCCGGCGCGTATTGCCGGAATAGGACATCTTTTTTAACGTGCAGGGAACAAGGGATCAAGAAATAGACAAAGGAATATTTCTAGATTGTTTGACTTGGCCGATGGAACCCCCACGGTCCCTCTCCAACCCCCAAGAACGGCCGCAGGCTTCGCTCAAAGGGCAGATGCGGCGCTTTGAGTTTGTCATGCCTTTATTTTTATACTGTTTTCTATGTTTTGAATGTCGTCAACCCGCAGCAGTGGGGAAAGGAGATAAAACAAGGCGTCGCCGGGGGAATGTTGCACATCCCGTCTGCGTCTTCCCTCGCCTGGCTTTCCCTTGCTCTGTCAAAAGCGCGTCCTTTCGCCGAGAGTTTCCCGGATGCTTTGCTGGCAAAGACGCGTATACAGGTTCTGATTCTTCTGAACCCTGGGCAGCTGCGACATTAGAGACAAATTGTTTGTGCTCGCTCTGCCGGTTCCCGTTCCGTGAGGCTGCAGTGCTAGTTGGGTCGTCACCGTCATTTGAAGAGGCGTCAGCGACAAATTTGAGGCGATCTATCACTTCTACTTCACAGGTAACGTCGGATAGGATTTTGGAATTTTCTTATATGAAATAGTACAAAGATGCACTGGTGTGGGCGTGATGGGTGTATGAGCCTTCGCGGCGGGTGGCTGCATAGGACGGACTGGGCTGTATTTCGGCGCCTAACCTTGTAGGCGCATGTATAAGACTGTAACCTTTCTACACGGCACATATTATATTCTGGTATTATTCGTCGCCCAATTTGCTGTCCCTCTCTGTCGATACCACATAGAGTCGACACTGTCACGGAGCAGGTCTGAAGGGCTGCAACATATGAAATGATAGTAAAGAAAATACGTAGAGTAAGGATTTAAGATAGCAAAGATAGTACGAATAGTAAGGATAATAAGGTTAGTCCAACATATCTAGGCGCAGATTTCTATCGAAGGCTTTGCCAGGCAACCGAATCTTCCGAGACGAAGACGGCCGTTGCGTTGCGAGGTGGCAATGAAGTTGACATTACATTGTCCTTGAACAATGCAATATGTCTGCAGGATCTCAGCAACCGGAAATGGCGTTGTCTGAATATATAGCCATGTCTGGAGCTGCAACGGACTTTGTTCTCGCGAAACCTCAAGATTTTGAGCCGGACACCAACGTCAGTTTCTAACACGAACTCATGCGACTCCCTTCAGAGCCGAGAACTTACTTGTTTCTCCCCCAGAATCTCGATTACTCCTAACTAGGCAATGCCGATCGAACGATAAAGTGATGAAGGAATCAATCCGGCTGCTAGCGTTGACGGTATGCTGCACAATCTGCCTTAGGGCTTACATTTCCCCGAATACACGTCACTCTGCGCGCGGCATTGGCAGTGTTAAATAGATACGGCCGTCCTCTGAATCTCTTTCGGTGACATTCTTGACAAGCCTTACCGTTTCTGAGCCATGGCGCCATCCATCTTGATACTGGCTCTCCTGGGCCTACCTCACGCCTCAGCCTGGATCCCGACCGTCAAGTCGGTGTACGAGTTTGGCAACGTCGCCGACCCGGCGCTGAACCGGGACTCGTGCGGCTCCGTGCGCGTCGACGACCGCATGCTGTGGACGTGCCGCGACACGCAGGGCTTTGGCGGCGACGGCAAGCCCTCGCTGCCGATCTGGTCGAGCAGCGCGGCCTGGACCAACTTCAACAACCTGGCGCTGCCCGACACGCGCATGTACGCGACCAGCAGTGACCGCCAGCCGTACTTTGCGCAGCTGGCCAGCGAGTGCCCGGCCAACTCGGCCGGCGGCTGCCCGGACGGCACGCGCTACGCCATCTGGCCGGACCAGCCGCCGGCCATCACGGCGCGCGACGGCAGCGTCTGGACGGGGTACACGTGGATCGCGCGGCAGCACATCCGGGGCGACTTTAGCAGCGTGGTGAAGGACCCGGAGGTGTCGCTGTACAGGTTCGTCTACGACGTGAAGAGCGCGGACCGCAACGCGGTGCCGCGGATGACGCTCGTCCGCGAGGCGATTTTCCCGCAGGGCAGCTTCCCGTTCGGCACGCACGGCAGCGCCGTCAAGGACGGGCTCGTGTTCCTCTGGGGCAAGGCGTCCAACGGCCGCATCGCGATGGCGCGCGTGCCGGTCGGCGCCGTCGAGGACCCGCGGCGGTACGAGTACTACGTGAGCGGACGGTGGACGGCGACGCGGCCGGGCCCGAACGATGCCGGGGTGGAGGTAGCCAACTCGAGCGCGGGCGGGCAGGGCACGTACTTTTACTCGCCGTACTGGCGCAAGTGGGTGTGGATCGGGCAGGCCGGGGTGAGCGTGGCGGCCGAGTTTTACATGACGACGGCGGACATTCCGGAGGGTCCGTGGGACAAGCCGCGGAGCTTCTACCGAGGAAAGGATGGGAGCGCGCCGTTGGCGGCGTACACGCTGCAAGCGCATCCCGGGATGCACTTAGCGGGGTATCATGACGGGAATGACGTTTTCATTTCGTATACCAAGAATGATGATGTGTATACGACGCCGCTTGTCCGCGTCTTCTTCAACTAGGAGTTTTGATGGGACACGGGGTGGTTGACGGGGACCGACGATAAGTGCGAGGGAAGATCTGGCGTCCCTTGAGTAGTCCAGCACGACCAACAGGCAAATATTTACAATATTCAACTTTAATCACACAATGATCAAGAGCAGATTCCCATTCCATATGTTATTTATTGATGCGATCTAGAACTGAACATTTGGCCAAGCTAAGAGTCAAATGTCAAAACACCCCAGTTGTTGGAGATGTAGTTGTCTGTGATGCATGTTAGCTAGAGGCGCAAGCTCATTCCGTAGGTGAAAGCGTCGCATACTCAAGTTCAGGACCGTGCGGACATCACGTCCACCACCATTGCCGCACTTGGCAGATAAGACACCATTCCACGAGTTGTACACAATCTCGGAACAGCTATTCTGGAAGCTAACTCTGTAGCAAGGGTGGTGAGCCGACCATAAATTGGTATACACAAAGTCGCTGTTACGCAACGAGCGAGACAATGCAGCACGACTTACCCGCCCCAGGTCAAAACTCCCCAGTTGTTGCCAACTTTCTTACTCAGGTCAAGGCTGCTGTAAGGATTGTTGCCCTTGTTGTCACCGCAGTGGCCGGACAGCGTGGTGCCAGACAGATTGGTGTCAGCACAGCTGTCTGTGTAGTGAACGCAACTGCCCAGAGTAGCGAGAGCCAGAGCGGCAGCAACAGTATTTCTCGTCCAGCGCATTCTGTTGAAAATATTGTGAAGATATAAGGGAAAATAATCTTCAGTGTGTGGCGAGCAGCAGGGCATCCGTTGTCTGCGTCGATCCTTTATATCGTGCTCAACGGTGTCCCTCCCTCTCTACTAATCACCAGCATGCCCAACCTCGGGATTTGACGAAATAGGTAGGTGACTCTGGGGCAGGATTTGGTCGAATGCAACTGCGAAATAGCCTAATGAAGCTCTGAAGGATTAGATCCCTGCACCGTCGCTGCTTACACCATAGAGCTCCGTCAGCCTGCTTCTATATAAGCCAAACGATGATACACAGTATCAACTAGTTAGCTTTATCACAGCTACTACCCCAGAGTTCCACAATTAGGCGTTCTTCCGCATTGAATCAGCCTTGAAAGGGAAGAAAATAGTGAGACAGGACTGGTAAAGATGAACAGAGTCTATTTTTGTATTGCCTTGGATGGACCCAGTTGTGGGTTCTGCGCCATGATAAAAGACGAGGGCTATTTCGGGAATCTCTCGATGTAGAGAACCCCGAGAATAGTAGCACTCCACTGGTCAGCCACCAATTTTACCCGCAGCTGACCATTCTTTGTTCCGTGTGTAAATATAGCCTTAGAATAAATTTCTTCTTAGTAGGGCAAATGCGGGCTAGTGCTGCGCAATCGAATCCAGTGGCATTCCTAGACTTACAAGGTCGCCTGTCCTCGGTTGGCTGCCATGACAGGTCGGTGCGTCCCGCATGCATGAAACCAACTAAAACGTTTAGATAAAAAGAACTCCAAGACGAATTAACTATCAGCTTTAAGAGAATATCTCGGGGCTCGTGGGCCTAGGATAGGGTTTGTCCAAGACCTCCAGAGCGCTCTAGAGAAACCTTTGCATTGAGGTCAGCGAAGCGTTCTGAAAACTTATCAAATCAACACCAAGTACTTTGTATTGTTGACGAGGGGTAAAAGGGGAGAATTTGTGCAAGTGGAGGCTATTTAACGTTGAATAGATGCTTGGCAATTTATTGCCCGACGGTGGAACTTGAGCTCGGAGAAGTCTGGAAACGGCCACGGTGATCCTCGTCGACGGGGCTACGGCCACATAGATATGCATAAGCTACTAGACAAGGGATATAGATTAATTAAGAGGCTAACCATGCAACAGACAATTAACTAGGCAAAGAAGAAATATGCAGTGGAGCGACGAGAGACGCTCATTGCTCTATGTATCCGGCATTCGGTCGAACCCGAAAGCAGACATAACAGGCATAACAGACATGTAGGTTTACACATGTGATGCGGGGTGACCCGAGAAACCACACTATATTCTTCACTATTATTGATTTATTAAGAATAAGGGCCCAGTTTCTAGCTGCAGGGCCGATTTCAGCCGTAGCCGAGCGAGACATACATCAAGATATAAGCTTGTAGAGTTGCCATTGCCTCCGTCCATGTCTTGCCTGTCATATAATTGTCGAGTACAGAGCCGCTGATATCCCAATTTATTATAGTAAATATCTCTTGCTATCATGCTTCTTGCTACCGCTGCTGCGCTTCTCTTCTCTGTGGCAGTGGCCCAGGGCGACTGGAGCGCACCTCTCAGCAAGCCTGCTATCCACCCCAACCTGGACTTTGTCGAGGATGGCCTTCAGCGGTATTTGCCAGAGATTTCATTTACGCTGAACAAGTGGACTGATAACCGCATTCCTCAAGAGTATGGCTTCCCGTCAAAGACGAATTTGGGTAGATCTAGAACGTGCTAACACTGCCCCCCACCCCCCAGATGCAAGAGCCGGGTCAGCAACGCCAACGACTTTGACATTTACGAGATCCATTATGATGATGTAAGTTGAGATGCTGCCCCTTTTCTAGGCGGCTGAGATAATACACTGAATACTAAGACGACCGCAACAGTGCGCGGAGCCTTGGCTTCTCTGCCACAACCGAAACGCCCCGGTGAAGCCTGAGACGGTCGCCAGCCAGTTCAGCAAAGTGCCCATCGGCATGCGTCAATGGGTGCGGCTCCTGATCGACGTCCCGGCCGGCTACACGTCCGCCTACAACGCCGGCGGCACCATCCTCATCAACAACGCCAACGCCCGCATGATCAGCGTCCTCGTCCACGAGACCGCCCACTCGACCAACATGGGCGGCTTCCCCGGCGACAACTTCCAGGGCCTCTGGGACGGCTACGCGCAGGACGTCGGCGTCCCGGACAACTACGCAAAGTCCAACATGATCGAGAACCTCGCCCAGGTCACGGTGGTGTCGGTGTTTGACGAGAACGTGCCCGGGGGCATCGCGGGGGTGGACCCGGACTGGTGGAAGATGCAGAACCAGATTCGCGCGATGCAGAGGTATGGTCGGATGGGCGGTTCGACCACGACGCTTCATGTTCCGGGTCAGGACAAGGAATGTGTTCACCATGTGCCTGTAGGAGCCATCACGACGAAGTAGGCTGGCTGGCTGGTTGTCGGCTTCTCTCGTTGCTATGCTGCTATACTTGTAGGTGACATTTTGCATAAATCTATGCTGAAACTACATAATCAATAGACAAGTCCTACATGCAGAAGTAAGAAGGTTGAAATAATTCTTCAACGTTCTGTCTTTCCATTCTTGCGCAAGTCAAACTATTCTGACTAATTCGTACCAACGTTGGTCACTTAGGCCAGAAATGTGCCTTTCCATGGGTGTTCCCCGTGATTACCGAGTCCTCTAAGAACTTTGATAAGAAGGGGACAGTTTTCCACTGGAGCAATAATTATGAGCGATTCATTCGGCTCCTCACTACTCAACTAAGCCCAACGGGTGTCTCATACGGCCTGTCGAGCCCTGACTAACATTAGCTGCCTTATGAGCGTAGATGTAAATGTGCTTTATTTATGAAACTCATCAGAATAACTCAGAGATGAAAGTATATACCAGAAGGAAAATCTAGCAAGATTGAGCAAAACACCATGTCCAGCATCGTAACCAATTTTGGGCCGTCATTCAAGACTCATGCCTACACACCCTCCATTTACTTGCGGGGGTCGTTGTTGTAGCGCATGCACTCATCGCCGTGACCAATGCAGCAGACGTAGCGCTCAGAGGGGCAGCCGTTGTAGAGAGTGTTGGCATCGGCACGGGGGTATGTGAAGGCACCGCCATGGTAAGTGCAAGGGGCGAAGAACTCGGTGGGCGAGGTGGCGTGGTCGTCGGTGCGCCTGGGGTTTCTGCAAGAACCAACACCGTTGTCATTCTAGAAGATGTTAGCGGAAGCGTCACAAGGAGTAGGAGACTGTGAAAGGCCCTTTGACTTACAGGGCAGTGGTGGAGGGCCCAGAGCTCCTTGGAGCAGCCGACAGTGCGGTTGTTGTCAACGCACTTGCAGCTAATGGAGCGGGAGAAACCGTCACTGTACATTGAAAGTCAGAATCTTCGAATTTTCATGAAGTAGCTTTTGCAAAACTCACACGTAGCTAACGTCAACGTCACCAGCCAGGCCAACCCCTGGAGAGTTGACGTAGGAGACTTCAACACCAGACTCGTCGGCCTTGGTCAGACGGCTGCCTCCTGTTAGTGAAAAGGTTTCCAAGACTTTATCAGTTTGTCGCAAGACTCACTATCCAGGGCTATCCAGGTTGATGTGAGCCATGCCGCGGAAGCCGTTGAAGTACTCGAGCGTGCGGTCCTGGCCGACGCCAAGGTGGAAGTCGCCGTAGGCGTTGGCGTTGGGGGAACTCGGGTCCAGCGAGTGGCCGACGATGATGGACGTGTTGTCTCGGTTGATGTAGGTGATCCGGACACGGTACGAGCTGGTGTGCATGGTGCCGGCGGGGGCGGCGGTGCCCGGTTGGGCGACCTTGTCGAGGGCACCGCCGATGCCGTGCGGGAAGCTCTCATCAATCTTGACGATCCTGGGGCCGTTGGGGGCCTCCGAGGGGGCGGCTACGGCCAGTGTGGCGGCCAGGGCGGCGACGAGCTGGAACTGCATGGTTGCTGAGAGTTGAAGAGCCTGTTGGTTGGCGGCAAGTTTGGGGATTGTTGAAGCTCTGTTGTGATGGGAAGCTGGGCGCTTGCTTTACTGATGATGATGAGCAACATGGTAAGTTGGAAGCGGGAACGACGGTTTATATAGACGTTCTTTCCATCGCGACTTGATGTCAAGCTGCTCATTCAATCCTTCGGTTGCTACGGCTTATTATTACAGACTAGTATAGCGTCACAGACGAGCCTCGAGCGAACCATGGTGAAAGTAGCAATATCCGGCTGTAGGACGACCTACTGGAAAGAAAAGTATTCTGGAGCAACAGCGGGGGCAAGTCGTTGAGTGGATGATCTGTCTTGTAAACGGCATTTTGAATTACGGCGATGCGGCTGTTCGTGGGTGGCGTGTGTCTGAGGGATCAGGCCCGCCAATCCAAAAATCACTCACTCTATCATGTACGAGTTAAAAAGAAATAGCGACCCCTTTTATATCTAGAAATTTTCTTTATGGTTGTTTCCCAGAATTGTAAAGAAGTCTAATAAACACCTGTCTGTACCTGAATCGGTGACGATTATTTAGCGAATACAACGGCTATATTGCCAACTCAATCGAGTTGGTCGCCGCCAGCCGTCCGAGGACTTAACGCAGCGGCCATTGTCCAAAATGAATCTAGTTGCCAGGGAGTTTTTGTCGGTTTCAAGGCGGGCCGAGCCTGTAAGAAAATAAAAGCTCGTCCAGCTGCCATTCCACTGGTCGAGAACAAGGCTCGTGCAAGGAACTGAAGAAATTGGACAAGGCTGAGGTGATACAAAAACAGCCGATAGATTTCCAGAATACTCTATCCAGGTTATCCTTATTACTAAACCTAGCGAGCCCAACCGAGAACAGTCTTCAGCAACCCGAATACAGCCGGGCGCGGTCAGGCCGCCGGCAGGTTGCCTAGAAAGGCAATATGGTCCTGTCCACCACAATGGAGCTTCGGTTCCTGCAGGAGCTCAACTGGGCTGTTTTACGTATCAATAGCGGATGTGAGCCTTCCGAGTTGACGGCAGTATCTCGATCTTGTGTCCCAGGAGAAAGGAAAGCCCGGCATAGTCCAATCATCGAGTCCACATGACAGCGCGTATCACTAGGTATTGAGGTGGTCTGTGAGAAAGGCAAAAATTATAAACATAGCATCGCAAATATGAAATTTCCAGTACCACATAATGTAGGAATTTACCTAAACCACTGAATCAAAAAGAGATACTCCGAAGCCCGATGAACCCCAACCTGTCTACTTCATGGACCGACTACTTCCGTGCCCTTTAACAGCTGAGCTCGCTACAACCGGATTCTTGCGTTCCATACACTAGCCAAATTTCGCGAGGCGGGCAACGCGACATTTTACCTCGATGCGACCGACTTTCGGCGAATTGTTAGCTAAAATCCACGAGCCTTGCTCAACAAGCTTGTTGAACCCCGCTGATGCTGACAATCAGGACGACACTACAGCTCCCGATGGGCAGACTAGAGTAGCTTTTTGAACATTTCATAGGCAGCTTATTAACTCGTTGCGAGAATAAAGAATGGCTCATGCTCTAAACCGGTAAGTCGGGTGCCAGTGTATATCCGCAAGGCCAGTTCATGTTCAAGCTGCAGCATAGTGGAAGTGTGTTGGGCTTTTTCGGAAGAAGGAGTAAATCCTTAATTCGTAATTGAGGCCAATATGTGAAGATGGTTCTTCTCAATCATTATTTATTTCCAACTTGCTATAATTTTCTCGAGTCCGTTCTTTAACCCACCATGCGCTCTAATTATGAACCTCGCTCACAAGTGTAGCCGTGTTGGTCAAGTCAACCTCACCGTGTCGCTGCGTCCCCAACCGAACATGTCTCTGGTTCCAATCTTTATTCACGCAAACCGTGGGACCATCTTTAATAATCCTGAACATATTTTTTTGCACAAGTTCAATAGTGTATAGCCTGTAAGCGAAGAGATCCGCCTTCAATGGTCGGTCAATGCTTACCCACTGGCTACTGGTTGGTGTCAGCAGCCCATCTGACTTCCTCTCCTTTAATTATTATTTTTACTAAATAAAAAGAAAGAAAGAAAGAAAGACAGCAGAAAACCAAAGAGCCTCGCGCTCAATACTCCATCGAATTCCGAGTTTATAGTCCGTCACAGCTATACAGCCTTGACGGGTTACCAGGTCTAACCCATGCAGTTATGATAAACAAAAGGGCAATGACGGCGAGCGCTGGATTCGGAAAGGCCGCCCAATGATGGTGCTGCCGATCCGGCGTGCCTGGATTGATCCGGAAGCCGCGGACGAATAAACATGAACGATAGACAGGCACAATCTCGCCTTGTCCGTCAGCAGAGCCGGCATTAATAAGGAAGGATGAAGTAACGTCCCATTCCCCACGCACCAAGTACGCCGCTCCGTTGCCGATCCTTCACCTTTTCGGCCGGGCAGCTTCCCCTTCTGGACTCTTTCTATTGTGTCGAGTCGTGATAGGTTTCGTAAGAGGAAGGAAGTCGATTTCTCCGGTTGAGCGGCGGGCACTTTACGCGTTCCAAACCGGCATCGGCCGCGCGACCACACTCCACCTCACCACTCGACTACTGCATTATGTTCTCACATGCAGCAGATGCTTGCTCCAGAAAGAGGTCTGTATGCCTTCATCAGCTTCGAGTCGGTCCGAGGCTACGCAGTGAGACGGACAAAGGCATGGTTTTGAGTTGATGACGAGCTCAAAGGGGATATCATGTCTGCCGAGAGCGACGGCGACTTCAATGCCGGCCGATGCCGAGTTCGCGACCACTTTGTGATTATTTAAACTGACGATGCGTCGCGTCTTGACTTTGGAATATGTTCTATAGTCAAGCAGCTCCGCTAAAATACTCTATTTCCACGTACACTTATACCACCAGAGTGTCAAGATGCAGCTCTCCTTTGCTTTCATCGCCGGCCTCATGTCGACCGGCGCCTTTGCTCTGGCCGTGCCTGGCATCGAGGCTCGCGGCTACCCGGGCTTGAACGACTTCCAGAGCCGCAACGCAAAGGCTGCCATTGGCGAGGTCCGCGCCGAGGGCCTGAATAGACAAGCTTGCCTGGCCGTCATCAGCACCGCGCTGCAGGAGTCTGAGCTCCAGATCTACGCCAACTCCCGGGTCCCGGCCTCGATGAAGTACCACCACGACAAGGTCGGCGGCGATCAGGACAGCGTTGGTGAGTGATGATTTCCGGTTTCCCAATTTCAGGCATCAGGTCACTAAAACTTTATGCAGGCATGTTCCAGCAGCGCGCCCAGTTCTACCCCAACATCGCGACCGACATGTCCGCTGCCGGCAGCACGCGCCAGTTCCTCGCCGTGATGAAGGGAATCAAGGGCTGGCAGACGATGGAGGTTTCTGCCTTGGACCAGGCTGTCCAGCGGGCTCAGGCAGGAAACTTGTACGGCAAGCGCATTCCTCTTGCCAAGCAGGTCTGCAGCGCTGCTGGATTCTAAGCGCCCCGTGCTGGCGGACGCAATTCAATTTGTACAAATTTACACATTCAGTTGTATATATCTAAAGTGGTAAACAAAGAGACATTTTGAGACCAGCCCATGGAAACTAACGCACTATTTGAATGAAGAAGTGGCTAGACAACAAATTTACTGACAGTATCAACGGCACCATCAAAGTCCACGAGCGGAAGCATTCTCTCCCCCCACTGTCGGTCAGAAGACTCACTCATCACCGGCAAGTCAATCGCCCAAGTCACAATACGGAAAAGTAGCGCTCTCACGAGGAGCTGAGTGCTGTCTGCATCCGTACCGTACATTCTGACAAGCTTCTCACCCTCCTTCTCCCACAGCAGCCCGTCAGCGACCATGATCGCAGCGGCGTACCCGGCCGGGCGCCAGTAAAACGTCATGTCGATAATACCGGGCGGCTGGCCGCCGCTCTCGAACAGTATGTTCCCGCCGATATCGCCGTGGACCAGCTGCTCCGACAGCGGGCTCTCAAACGGCCGTTTGAGTTCCGCAAGCCTTGCAAGTGGGCGTCTTATTCGCGAGAGCACATTTTGATCTGTCACCTTTGGCAGCATCTCCAGCGCTGTCTCCCCCCACGCGACCCGATCCGCCTGGCGGAAGCGGTTCAGCCGACGGTCGAGGAACTCGGGCTTGTCGAGGCCGATGCGTACGATATCCCTGTGAAATGCGCGGCATGCGTCCAGCGACTCGGACCAGACGGTCGTGTCCCGTCCTTGGCCTGACAAGAACGACCACGCCGTCCAGCCGTCGCAAACGAACTGCGTCGGACACGACGCCACGGGAATGGGCCGGCTTACGCGGTATCCTGCGCCGGCTGGCATGATTCCCCTCAATTTCGTGATGATTTGGGCGATTTGCTCCGATTCAGCATCGTCTTCGGATGGCCGGAAGACGACGTCCGCGCCAGCCAGGTAGCAGACGAGACTGCCACCGGGGAGCGCCTTGAGCGGCGCCTCGCGGTTGATTCCAAAGACGTCCAGGACTCTCTTGGGAACAAGGCTGTGCGATTTCATGATGTTGGCTGTCCATGATATTTCGAGCGCAGAGGCGAAAGCGAGCTTGAGACTTGTACTGCCTGATCGTCGACAGAAGGGCGTGCTCAAGCCACTCAGCTCCCTCCCACCATTTGCAAGACAGACAGTCACTATGCAGTACCGTGAGAGACTGACGAAGTTCTTTTATCTTGGCGGTTTCATGATTCATTTAAAAGAATGACCTTTTTCATTTTTTAAACCTTTTTTCTCGTGTTAGTCAGCGTTTGTGAGGGCAGTTTCTTGCAACGCTTGTTCAAGCACGTTGGTGGCAGGTTTTCTGTATCAAAGGATCAGGAATATTATGTTTGTATCAATTCTTCCTTTCAACTCACATTCATTAGTCCAATACTTGCAGTAAATCTATCTATGCTTACCTTGAAATTCTTCGCCCTGTGGCGGTGTTCGGCCGGCTGTGGCGTCACCTGTAGCTCTCTTCTGAAAAATCACACTCTAGCCACCCAAGCCCAATCCTACAACAAACAAGAGCAAGGTGATGGCTGAACCTTGGATATAACACCATCCAAATTGGTCTCGTACGCCACGCGACTTGATTAGCGATGGAACTCACTATCCTTCACTTCAACGATGTGGTGAGTTCCGCCGCTCGCGAAACTCACAAACGGAGGACGTGCTAATGGAAGCACCTCGGCGGCGTGCAGTATCACATATCCGACTCTGAACTCGTTGCTAAATTTGCCTCCGTGCTTTCGAACCCCAGCCATGTCACTGGCGATAGCAGCGCCCAGAGCGGCCCCATCTTGCGCGTCTTCAGCGGCGATGCCTTTTCGCCGTCCTTGGAAGCGGCCGTGTTGCGCGGAGACCACATGGCGCCGCTCTTGGATGGTCTTGGAATAGACGTAGCGTGCTATGGAAATCATGACTTTGACTTCGGTGAAGACCGGCTCGTGGAGCTTGCCAGTCAGATCACCTTCCCCTGGACCCTTGCCAACGCAGTTGCGCCGACACAGGATGGCGAGGGACATGGGCGCCTACTTGCGGGTGCTCACGAGTACGTGATCAAAGAAGTGGCGGGGTACAAACTGGGTTTCTTTGGATTATCTGGCAGGTGAGCAGCTGTATTGCGCTATCCCTCGTCGCCTTTGCTGATTCAGAACAAGTGATTGGCCATCCAACTGCCAGCACTTGCCGGAATGCACGATACTAGACCCTCCCACGGTCGCCAAACGGGTAGCCAAACATCTACGATTGGTAGTAAAGTGCGACTTAGTTATTGCAGTAACCCATATGCGCCTGGTAGAAGATCTCGAAACCCTCAATAGCACACTGTCCGGCCCAGAGCGGGTAGATCTACTACTGGGGGGTCATGACCACCACGTCGTGCACCGGAATGCCTCAGACACGAATGCGAACCCCAAGGTTCTTCATCCCGGCTTTGATTTCCAAGACTCTGCTATGACCGAGCACGATGGCGAGTTTCGAATCGTCAAAAGCGGCACCAACTGGAGAGGGCTTTCGATCATTCGACTACGACTTGGCAGCAAGGATGAAGGCGAGCCGCCGATACTCGGCATGTCTTGTATGCGCAAGTCCAAGCACCTCATCATGGCAACGTTTTCTAATCCATCACTCCAGTGCGCCAAATCGTGGATTTTAAACGCGTTCCGAATTACCACCACATCCCCGTCTGTCAGGCAACGCTGGACATTCTACAAGAGACTCACCACAAGATTGAACGGGTTGTCACGCAGCCTTTATTCCGCACCGACTCGCCACTTGACGGGAGGGGTCATGTAATCCGAATTCAGGAAACAAATCTAGGAAATATGCTCGCCGATGTCGTCAGAGCATTCCATGACACTGATATTGGCTTCGTCAACAGCGGCGCCATACGCTGCGATCGCATTGTAGAGTGCAACAACGGCGCGGCTCTTTGCATCCGTGACGCGATTGAGATTTTCCCTTTCGGTAACGCTTTGATTATCAAGCGGGTCAGTGGAAAAGTGCTCGCCCAGGCTCTGGAGAATTCCGTTTCCGATGCCCACACGGACGGAAGATTTCTGCAGCTTTGCGGTCTGAGCATCAAGCTGGACTGGAGGTATCCAGAAGGTTCTCGGGTCAGAGAGATACTTTTTCATCCACAGAACGATGTGGCTCGGCCCTTGGAGCTAGATCGCATGTACACTGTGACTATGGCAGACTTTATCGGCTCCGGTTTCGATGGATACACTTGCTTCCGGGACTGCGAGGCCTTGGTTGATGCCGAAGGAGCCATCACAGACACAAATATGCTGCTTGAGATATTCAAAATCAGTAAGGAAGATCCAAATGAATTGGCTCTTGTAGATCGGCATGCAGAAGGGATACAGAGGGCTAGGGCAGCAGTGTTTTCCGGGTACCACCCGCAGGATGGGCTTCCTATGGTAAGCCCGGTAGCAGAAGGCCGGATTCAGGTGATAGACAGTGAATGGAAAGAAATTTAGAGATAGAATTTATGGACAAATAATGTCATCACTGCGATCTCTCTCAGAGTCGAAGATGCTGCGGCTACTGGGCCAGACCATGTTTACCACGCCAGGACAAAAGTCTAGGCGACAATAGAACACGAGCCGGATAATTCTGAGGCGAAGGGCTTTTCAAATAATACATTATTATTATATGTTGTAGTACCGAATCCTATGTCGCACGTCCTACCAGTTCATCCTCCAGCCACCATCTAACACGAAAAATAGGGCGCATCTCAACAATTAAAGAGCATTCCAGGCCAGCGCAGCGGCTCCCATGACTATACCATGACTCAGGGCACGAGCAGTCGGCGCGGAGTTGTGACTTGTCGTGGCCGCGACAGAGTCAGCCGTACCCGACCCGCCGCCAGACTGCCCCTTGCCCGCCGCCGAAGAAGCCGTCGCCGACGCCGACGTCTTGGGCGCCGTGGGCGACGGGCGCGGACACGTGTTGTTGTACACGTACAGCTGCGGCGCCACGCCGTCGCCGCACGCCTTGCCCGCCGCGCCGTCGTACGATCCCTCCGGGTACATCCAGCAGGTGCCGGACGCGTACGGCGACTTGGACGAGCTGCCGGCGCGGAAGACGGCGTACGCGCAGCCGTCCGCGCGCATTGCGCACTGCGCGAGGCAGTCGGGCGCGCCGGCGCTCGCGGCGCAGCTGTCGCGGCAGTCGTTTGGCGGCGTCGGGTAGTCGCAGAGCGCGGCCAGCGGGGAGGGACTGGCCACGGCGGCCGAGCACCCCGCCGGAACGCGGTCCGCCGGGCTCGTCCCGCCGCCGCCGCCGCCGCCGCCGGCGCACGTGGGCTTGTCGTAGACGGATAGGTACGGGTTGGCGCAGCTCGAGCCGGAAGCGCCCTTGCTCGCGTCAAAGGCCTGGCCGGGGTACACCCAGCAGGTGCCGCTGCCGGTGTAGGGGTTGCCGGCGGCGAAGACGATGAAGGAGCAGGGGAGGGCGCTGCGCTGGCAGTAGCCCCAGCAGAATTCCCGGCCGGAGCTGGCGACGGCGAACTCGGGGCCCGGCGAGGGGTAGTCGCAGAGCTTGGTGAGGAGGGTGGCCGTGCATGACGGCGCCGAGGCGGCTGTGGTGGGGGAGGGGTTGTCGGAGACAGATTGGGCGGCCGCGGCGCCGATGCTGCCGGCAGCGGCCCAGATGGTTGCAGAGGGCTTCATTGTTATGATTTGCGCGGGTTGGAGAGCATGAACGAGCGTTTGACAGCAAGAAGGTGGTCCTTACGAAATTCAGGGGTTGAGAATACACAAGGCTAGGCAAGTCTCCCTCGTCGCCAAGCCAAGACCAGGCTGCCGAGGAACAACGGAGCTCCATGCTGGCGAACCGGCGCATCCCAGTACCTACCCTGCAAATCTTGCAAATCTTGGGATGTGGGTTTAAATGATACTAAACGACAGCGACAGCAGGCCAGTGTAGTGAGGGTACCTGAGTCTGCGGTCAGAGTCATCTTCTACGACAGACTTGTGGCGAATCAGACGGCTGGTAAGCCAATTACTTATCCTATTACGGAATGTGCAGCAGTGGCACTGCCCAAGCCACCGAGCCTTTTACCGAGCTGCGGATGGTAAACACTTAGCAGTATAAATAACCATTGCATTGCTTTTTTTCGCTTCGCGAATTTTCTGGGACTGCTTATATTGGTTGGATTCGTCTCGTATATCTGCTATCATGTTATGGAACGTCGCCGCCTTCAGTTTCCTGTCAGCCGGCTTGGCCAAGCCGACAAATCCCTACCAGTCCAACACGGCCTGGGATTTTACCATTTCTCACGACAAAAATGGACGCTCTGCGGGAACAAACTCGATAATTTCAAACTATAAGCTGCGCGGAAAGACTGTCGATCCGTCCGTACTTGGTGTGGACGCTGTCCAGCAGTACGCGGGCTACTTAGACGACAATGACAAAAACAAGCATTTGTTCTACTGTATGCAGCGGAATTACCATTGCTCTTCGGCCGTCCATGATACTGACATCCTTCAGGGTTCTTTGAGTCGCGGAGCGACCCCTCCAATGATCCCTTCATTCTTTGGCTCCAAGGCGGCCCCGGCTGCTCCGGCATGTCCGGCCTCTTCTTCGAGAACGGCCCTGCCAAAATCACCGAAAATCTGACCATCGTCCGCAACCCCGACTCGTGGAACGGCAAGGCCAACGTTCTGTACATTGACCAACCTGTCAACACAGGCTTCTCGTACGGCGACGCTGTCAACACAACGCTCGCCGCCGGCAAGGACGTGCACGCCCTGCTCACCCTCTTCTTCCAGCAGTTCCCGCAGTACGCGAAACTCGACTTCCACATCGCGGGGGAGTCGTACGCCGGCCACTACATCCCCACAGACGCTGCTGAAATCCTGTCGCATGCCGACAGCGGCATCAACCTCAAGAGCATCATGATCGGCAACGGATACGTCGACCCGTACCATCAGGTGCCGGAGTACCCCGACATGGCATGTGGCAAGGGCGGGCTTCCTGCCGTCTTCAACAGTACCACATGCGAGGCGATGAGGCGAGCAGTGCCAAAGTGTCAGGCCATGATCAAGCAGTGCTATGACCACCACGACGTGGCCCAGTGCATCCAGACATCGCAGCAGTGCACCGCCGTCGGTGGCCCATACGAGCTCAACCCGTACGACATGCGTAAGCAGTGCGTGGGCGACCTCACCAACATGTGCTACGAAGGCGTCGACTACGTGACGCGGTACCTGAACCAACCAGCAGTGAGGGCCGCGCTCGGCGTCGAGGTCCAGAGCTGGACGGCATGCAGCGACAGCATGGACAAGGCTTTCCACGCAGCGGGCGACGACATCCAGCCGGTGCACCGCCACGTCGAGGCCATCCTGGAAAGGAGAGTGCCGGTGCTGATCTACGCGGGCGACGTCGACTACATCCTCAACTGGCTCGGCCAGCGGGCATGGACCAACGCGCTGCGGTGGTCCGGGCGCGGGGCGTTTCACCGGGCGGCGACGCGGAACTTGACATTGGGTTCGTCGGGTGGGGTGTCGGCGTATGGAACGTTGAAGCATGCCAGGGGATTGGCTTTTGCGCGGATCTTCAAGGCCGATCACTTGGTGCCGATGGACCAGCCGAAGCCGATTCTCGATCTTGTCAATCGATGGGTGAGCGGCGAGTTTCAGAGGTGATGGGAGATGTGCATCTGTATCAGTATCTATTCGGGGAATAGAGCTGTGAGCCACGAATTCAAATGAACCGAGTAGACGTGATGTCAGTCATAAATCATCAAGTTGCCATTTCTCTAATTAGTCGCGTCTGGCTTATGCGTTGCCGTCACTCCCAGCAGCTTCTCCGCATTCTTGTACGCAAACAAGTCGAGGTCGTCGCCCGTGATCACGCCGCTCTCCTGAACCTCTTTCAGAAACTCAAAGCCCTTTTCATTCGCCGAAAACGGGTAGTCGACGCTAAACAAGACATGCTCGATCGGCATCGTCTCCAGCAGGCACCGCAGCGGCGTGAGGCTGAACATGCCGCTCGTCGTGACCCAGACATTCTCGCGCCAGACCTGGCGCAGCCCGCGGCGCTTCGCCGGCCAGCGCTCCGACACGGAGACGCAGCGGTCGAGCTGGAAGGGCAGCATCTCGCCCATGTGGCCGATGACGAGCTTGAGCGCGGGGAAGCGGTCGAAGACGCCGGCGGCGAACAGCCGCAGCACGTGCAGTCCCGTCTCGGCGTGCCAGCCCCAGCCGAACGCGCTGAGCGCGAGCGCGACCTCGTCCGGGTAGTTGCCGGCGTGGTGCGCGGCCATGGAGTCGGACGCGAAGGTCGGGTGCAGGTAGACGGGCGCGCCGAGGCGCTCCGCCGCGGCGAAGACGGGCCAGAAGCGCTCGGCGTCGTAGAAGACGCCGTCGAGGTGGTTCTCGATCAGCGCGCCGACGAAGCCGAGCCTCGTCACGCAGCGGTCCAGCTCGGCGGCGGCGGCGGCGGGCTCGCGACGTCCCCGGGCCCGTGGGAGACGACTTGCAGCGAGACGTGCCCGCGGTCGAGGTCGGCGACGCGCCCGGCGCCCAGGTCGGTCAGCTTGTCGAGGATGCGCGTGGGGAAGTGGGCGTAGTGGGCTTTGGCGTCGTCGCTCGAGGCGATGACGGTGGGGGAGGCAAAGTGCTCCTCGAGGGTGATGATGGGTCGCATGGTTGGTAAAGGGGGAGATGTTGATGGCTTTCGATGTTGTTTACGCGGGTTGATAGGTTATGTAGGTAGGGAGACGCCGCCGTTTGATGTACGTGGTCTGGACGAGACTGCTAACGTCGGGAATCATGACGCTCGAGTCATTAAGTAGCGGAGCCCGTCGGACTCGATGCATGGCGTTTCCGGAGATGTCGGGCTTAGTGATTCCGCTAATGCAATGGTGTTTGTCGAAAAGTCCTTGCTGTGTGTTGCAAGAGTTGGAATTTAGACGCCACCTAAGCCTGATCGGTGGCTGGTGATGAGGCTCGCTGTGCTGTGGCGATCCCAGTCTCCAGGTTACGAGGCAAAGAAGAAATACATTAAAAATATAAGAAAAATAATATTCAACTAAAACGCAAAAGTTCTTAGTGTACGAAGATAAAATTCACAAAAAATGCTTACAGGGTTGTGTACAGGGTCATCTCCGTTTACTTTCGGTTTATAATGGTTAGATTGTGGAAATAATGGTAACCATGCGTTCTTCAATCTGAGATCTAGAGCAAATTGGCCATGAACCACAACTCACAAAAAAGAAAATAATAGACTAATAAACGAAAACAAACTGCTACTCAAATAGAGACAAAAATGACCACAAGCATCCATTCTTGACAGCATTAAGGCAATACTTTTATATACAGCTTCACACTGACCACAATACTCGTTCAACAGCCCGCCGCCGCTCCAACCCTTCGGCGCTTCCTTGCACCGTGTGCATCGACTATCCTACGCTCCGGCTCAGCTACCCTGTCTCGGCCGCCATAGTCATCATCGGGCACAAGTTGGTCGTATGTTCGCTTTCGTGGCAACGCCCACGTTTGCTTGAAAACTGTCGGCGTTGGGAGTTCTGGCGGCGAGTTTGACTCCGACTTGGACTGGTCGAGGAGCGGGAGCGCCGTCGGCGAATCCTCAGGGTCGGTCTCCCAAAATTCGGGCGGAGGGCTGCCGTTGTACCAAACCCCTGAATCGTCTCGCGGCCACGTTGGTTCCTCTCCTCGCCGCTGTAGCTCCTGCCGCTCTGAGAGCGCCACGGCAAGGAGCTCTCGCAGGAGACATGGGTTCACGGGCTGCGAGGCCTCTCTGAAGAAGGCAGCAAATTGACTCTTTGGCGTCACTGAGCCGACGTATCCCATCCTGTGCCATAGAGGCACATCGATTGGAAGACGGACGGGTGAGGTGGTATCTTCGAACCTGGCGGCGGCGCCCAGGTCTAGAGTAGCGGTGGCCGTGGTCGATAAAACTGCCGTGCTGCCTGTCGGGCCGTCTATCGCGATACGCAACGGCAACTCCCGTGGCTTTTGAGCATTTACCAGATGTTTGATGGAAGTCGACATGATAGTGTTCTGGTTATCGATTGCTGTATTGTCTTCGCTCAGAACAATGTTGTTTGAGTGACGATGCCCCCTCTCAGGCAGCAACGGTCGTACAACGGCCCTTCATACAATAATAATTAGTAAGCGCTAATATATCACGGTACTACGCGATCGTGAAGTCTGCTTTTAGGTTGGATTTGAAAGACACGTCAATGCGGATGAGAAGGGCTTCAAAAAGAGCCCCAGAAGAACTAGGCCTCTGAGATGTTAGGAATCGTTTTAGGATTCCCTCATCTATCTCTAGAGTAATAGTATTCTAATGCAACATGACTGCGGAAACTGAAAACTTGCAGTGGTAGTAGGTAGCGGTAGCGGTTTGAGAATTAGTTGTCCTCACGATCCTCCTTGCCATCACTCCCCTCATATCCTCACTATACCTAGCCCTGCTGTCCCCATTCTTTACTATCCTTGAAATTTTTATCGTCCTTACTGTTTGAGTGCGCTATCAAGTAATACACGATGCCAGTTCCACGGAAACCCTAAGATACACAAACTGTAGCACACACAAAGCTGCATGTTATTGTCATATGAACACAACGACCGTGTCTGAAACACCACACGAGAACTCAACTCAAACACCATCTTCATACTCCTTTATCATCATCGTCTTCTTCATTATCATCATCTTCCCTATTATCATCATCTTCCTATCATTGAGCAATGGATCCCAACGTCAGCGTAAGCAGTTCGGAAACATGCTATAGCCCTACGATGGCGGTGCTCACGCTGACGCCATACAACGCTGAGGCCAAGCTTGAATTCTTCAGAGTCGCAGACTGGCTACAGAAGCAAGACGCTACAGACGTCGCACGAGTCCACGCCAGGAAATATATATACATTCGTGACGAGCCTGTACAGGATGTGGGCGTGGCGCAGATCCTTCGGCGGCGCTTGACTGGCATAGTCTCCCGTTCACCGTCCTCATCCCCTCCAGGCCAGCAGCCTCACTCGACCTCGCCCGTCAGAAGTGTTGATATTTGGTCCGGCTTCTACTACCTCGACTTGGGCGAGCCGCCGTTTAATCCGAAGCGAGGTTGGGTCGCAGGGAGACTCCGGCCAAACCAAAAACCAAACGACCTGGTTCTGTCTGTTTCTCAAGATCCGAACGTTATGGTCCGTCAAACCCACGCCGTTTTTCAGCTCAGCGATATGGGATCCTTCACTGTCCATTCAAGGGCAAACATGGCTACTGTCAATGAAGAGACGCTAGCGGACCTCGACGGCCCGTATTACTTACAAGATACCAACGCTATCATGACATTTGGCTATCTAAAGTATCGCGTTGCTTACAGCCCCTTTTGGGGGTCTGATAAATACCAGCCTGCTGCCGAAAAATACCTGAATCTCATTGGCAAGCAACAAAATGTCTTATGGAAATACTTCGAGACACCTTGGGGAGAGACCCCTATTAGGATCGGCGAATGGAGAATCTCCAGCTCTGGCACCGTCGCTACGGGCGGCTCAGGGCGGGTGAGCATCGGCTCCAATTCCGCGGGGCAGGTGGCAGCTTTGAAGCGCATCTCGATAAGCAATTCCCAGTCCCGGTATGGCGTCGCCGCTCGGCGAGATACGATACGCAAAATCACGCACCTTGCTCAAAAAGCAGGTGAAGATCGCGTGCTTTTACTGCTCGATATCATCGATGACGATCCTTCTGGGAGCAATCGGGCAGTAGACACCTGGTTTGTCCTACAACCTGTCGTCCCGGAAACCTTGGTGAAGACATGCAAGCGTTGGTTTCAGAAGGACCAAATGAGCAAACTGTTAGTCATTATCATCCCTTCTAAAGCAACGCGAAGGAACTTGCTAACATTGTCTCACTAAAGGAAACTAGTCAAAACGGTCATGATTGAGATCCTGGGGGCGCTGCAGTTTCTTCACTCAAATAGGTGGATGCATGGTGACTTGAAGCCAGGCAACGTCGGCATAAGAGATCCGAAGGCAGACCAGCTGGAGATTGTCCTTATAGACATGGACGAAGCAACCCCGGTGCCATCGACTGGCAAGGTTCAGTGCAATCCTGAAAGTGGCGGTACCCTCGGCTGGATCTCTCCAGAGAGAGAAATGGCAGACTACGACGAGAGCTGCGATCTTTGGTCGTTGGGCCTGTTGGCTGTCTGGCTGATCAACGACGGCAGGCACCCGTGGAAATTTTCTGTCAATCCCTGGCAGGTAGGGACGGAACACGAGGAATTGAGATCGCGGTTCCACGAAAAATATGAGCGCACGATGGCAGAGCTGGAAACGTGGCAGGACATTGACAGAGAGCTTGCCACTACTATACGAGGGCTTCTTTGTCATCCCTATGCTAGAACAGCCGAACAGCAAAAGCCAAGACTAACGGCAGCCGAAGCGATCGCTATACTCAATCCAGGGCGCCAAAAGCGGATTAGAACCACATAAGTGTGTTCTTTTTATAGTTATACTAATATTATACGAAGTCTTTTTTTGAAAGCCGTGTCTCGTTCTTTTATATGTTCGTTGTCTATTTTTCGTAGCCTATAGTTATCTATTCCTATTAAATGCCTACTAGAATCGTGTATTCATAGTTCATACGACTTGTAAAAGAGACATCTATAGATAGAATATAAAGGGATAGAAGACTCACCTATCTATCTTCAGCAAATAGCCTGATGTGAGTTCCCAGTCCATGGTCGCATCCTGAAGGCCGAATTGTCCGCCAAAAGGATTAAAGTCCCACCCTTGCCTGGCTGGGACACTCCTCCAGTAGCAGTTATTTCACAAGGCCATAATAGTAGGTACAATAGGCCCACGTTCTACTTGAAAATCCTTCTATATGACGCAGCGCGTATGTGGAATTAGTGTGGCGCGAGGTTAATAAGTAGTCCGCCCCCTCCCCAAAAGCGCAAATTCGGTTATCTTTGTCTCATTTTCGTACCAAGAAATCAAAAGCCGCCAGAGTGCAAAGTATCGCAATCGCCCTCGTCCGGCCACAAGAGGTATAGGGTCCTCGGACCACCGCAATACAACGATTACTACAAAAATCTGCACAAAAAGGAAAAAAACTCATGGCCGACCATAAGAAGCTGCTCCCCTGTATGTTAATGACTTGCATCTACCCCCCACCGCCGCCCCGGTCATCACCAGCGCCAACCCGGTCCCCGACGCCGGGGCGCCCACCCCGACCCTTGACGGTGCCGCCCGCCACGCCGGCGCCGTCCACCGTCATCGAGACCGTCTACATTTGGCTTTTCTTTTGCCCTCTGCTACTCACCCAAGTTCACAGAAGATAACGAAGTTTAGGCCACCTCACTAACAACAACCCGAGCTCGTGCAGTGTTTCTGTGGACAAGCGGAAGAATTTGTGTTGATGCCTACAGCGCGGATGTACGGCAAATCCGTACCCGAAAGGGGCGGGGGTGACCCGGGTTCGATTCCCGGGCTCGGGGCTTTTTCCCCGTCATTTAGTCCGGTGCTCTTGCTCACTCTCCTTTTGTCTATCTCTCTTTCAGCGTGTTCGTTGTATGAAATATCTGATGGGAGCTGTCCCATATGAACTTTCCAGATACGTAGTTGGGCCGGTGACGACCGGCGAACACCGGCTGTTGTATGTTTTTTAAGAAAAAAAAAGATCTTTGATATTGAATTCTTCTCCATTCGTATTCGAAATTCGAATCATGGTATGATTCGTCGAAGGGCCAGAACGTGCTCATATAAATTCATCCAGGGCCATATCTGCCGCCCTCAGCAGTAAAGAAAGTTAGGAGTAGCACGTGGCGCAACGACGCCATAATGTGGCGTCTTATTAGCGCCTGCTTTTTGTGCCTGGGCCGTCCCAAGTCGCATGCGCCAACTCCAACTAGAAGCAATCCTACATGCTACAACAGGAAATAGACCCGCGAATCCGCATATCAATTGATAACGGACGCGGATACAGCCTTGTCTATCCGAAATGGACAAAGAAATTCGAATTTACCCCTGTCTCCAGACTGCTGACGTAGACATGCGTCGTTACCGGCTTTGGCCCCCCTCTGCGCGTTTTCCCGTCGAAAAGCAGCCGCCGAGCTGGGATAGTCATGGATATCTAATTGTCTCCCACGGTGCAATATGTCGCGAAGAGCCTCTTCCCTCCTCCTAGCCCTGTTCACGGCCACGTTTTTCTACTTTGCGACGCATGTCCGATGGCGCGCCGTTCCGGCCCCGGCCCTCCCTAACTGGCGCCACCACTCCGGCTTGGCAAGCACCGCCGCCGCCAGCAACCTGACCGTCGACCTGGTGCTCGCGACGCTCGGGGCCGATGACATCTCGTGGACCGCGCAGCTGTCTATCCCCAACCTGCGCGTCCTCCGCTACGTCAGCGACGACCCGGCCGCGCCGCTGCGGCCGCCCGTCCCGCGCAAGGGCCGCGAGGCGCTCATCTACCACACCTACTTCCACGACTTCTACGACGACCTGCCGGACGTCTCCGTCATGGCGCACGCCGAGGAGCGGCCCTGGCATCTCGAGGGCGCGCTGCAGCAGTCGATGCGCTTCGCCCTCGACCGCCTCGACCTCGAGCGCGCCCGCGCCCGCGGCTACGCGAACCTCCGCGTCAGCTGGGCCGACGCGTGCCCGGCCTGGCTCGACACCACCCGCACGCCGGAGACGGCGGACAAGCAGGAGGAGCCGTACATGCGCGCGGCGATGGCGGCCAACTTTGGCCTCGCCGAGGCGGAGGTGCCGCGCGTGCTGGCCGGGCCCTGCTGCTCGCAGTTCGCGGTCAGCCGGGAGGCGGTGCGGCGGCACCCGCGCGCGCAGTACCGTCGCAGCCGCGACTGGCTCGTCGAGACGCCGTGGTCCGACTACGTCGCGGGGCGCACCTGGGAGCACATGTTCCAGTGGCTGTTCCGCGGCGCGGCGGTCGACTGCCCGCGCGAGGCGAGCGCGTACTGCGCCATGTACGGGGTGTGCTTCGAGGGGGACAGCGAGGCGGCGCGCTACAACGAGCTGTGGCAGGAGAGGCGCGACCTGGAGGAGGCCACGGAGGTGCTGCGGGAGGTCCTGGACCCGCAGGAGGGCGTCAAGGCGAGGCGGCGCATGGCGGAGCTTGATGCAATCCTGAGGCGAGATATTACCTTCGCGCTGGAGAGGGGCATGGACGAAGCGACGAGATCAGAAGCTTTTGACAATCTTTGGGCTACGTAACGTCGTGTGCGGGCTTGAGAGTGGTGCTGTTGCGCAACACAGCAGCGGCCGGCCAGCAATATACCCAGTCCTCGCTGGCCAGCGGCGTGAGTGAGCCTGCCGTCACCGCGGTAAGCGAGAAAATGTACATGATGGACGGTTTCAATCATGTGCTTGTTTTGTGTCGTGTCATCTAATTAACTATTGTGTATAATGGGGGATATTTGCACCCACACGCATTGCGCAGAAACCCGGCAAGGTTCAGTGGCTGTTGCATGCAAGTATACAGGTGATAATATCGCATTGGGAGAAGCGTGAGAATGTATTCATAAAAAGCAATTTATGCTGGTGCAGAATTAAATTATTTACAATAGTGAATACTAGCCATCCTGTAAAATATTGCTTTATTGCGCCATCATTGTGCTCAAGAGAGCTCCGCTCATTTTTTGAGTGACTTGGCGCTCTATGTTCTTGATCACCGCCCCGATTTATGCCAGCCTTTTTGTCAGAAGTTGCATCATACCTCGCGAATCGGGCCCTTGTAGTCCCTCTTCGCCCACACCAAATAGTACACAATGCTGAAGATGACGACCGCCCCTGTCATCAGTACACTAAAGTTCATGTCCTTGGCGTCGGACACCGGGGCCGGCGGCCAGAAGCTAAAGAACAACATGGTAAGTAGGTAGGCGCAGGCGAGGCTGTTGTTGACAATGCCGAGGACGCCCGGGACGTGCCACGGGCCCCAGATGAGCCCCTCTGCGTTGTCGCCCTCGGCGAGGGCCGGGAGGGGGGAGCTCGCGTCGGGCATCGCGAAGCCGCCGGTGGTGCGGCGGTAGAGCAGCGTGCAGGATGCGATGAGGTAGGAGGAGTACAGGCCGCAGATGGATAGCGAGACGAGGGCATTGTAGACGACGGTGGATCCAATGTTAATGAGAGCCAGAAGACACGAGATGAGACTCGTGACACCAATGGCCCAGATGGGGACGTGTGTAGTAGGGTCGACCTAAAGAACTCTGGGTTAGAAACATTCCGAGGTAAACTTGCGGTAATTCTTCATCGTGGCCGGCATACCTTGGACAATGTGCGCCAGGCTGGCAAGGCACGATCACGAGCAAAGGCCCAGAACATTCGGGATGTCGTTGCAATGACACCGACGACGGCAGAGATGGTCATGAAGATGATCAGAGAAGCCATTACAGCGGTGCCGGCTTTGGAGCCTGTTGCTTGGAAGAAGATCTCGATGAAGGGGTAGCCGCTCTTGGAATTGATGGCTGCGTCAATGTCGGTGGCGGCAAAGAGCATGGAAATGACCATGGCCAGACCCATGAGACCGTTGATAAGCAAGCTGCCCATGATGGACCGAGGTACGGCGACGGAGGGGTTTTGGACTTCTTCGCACATCTGTGTCGTGTTAGCAGGGGGGTTGCTTGACTTGTGATGTCAGCCAGCTTCAGCGTAGGCTTACGTGAAAAGAGCAGTCGACGCCTACGGCAGTTGTTAGCAGTCCGATACATGGTCAACAGGCCGACCGACATACCGGCAAAGGAAAAGATGAGTCCTAGCAGACCGACGAAGAAGGACAGGCCCTGGGTTGGCCATCCGCCGTTGCGAAAGTTGGCAAAGACCTCCGAGGCGTCGCCGTGCGCGCCAAAGGTGAGGAGCGTGATCAGGACGCCAAAGAATCCGACAATGTGCAGCACAAGGATCATGCCCTCAATTTTGGGCAGCGCGGAGCTGACGACGGTGTTGATGAAGACGGCGACGAGGACGACGGCCCAGACGATGAGCGTGCCCTGCCAGGTCTGGCCCGTGTACTGGGGCATGGTGAAGGCGACGACGCCCTGGAGCATGCTGCCGGCGAGGTAGGCGCCCGAGGCGGCGGTGCCCTGCCAGCCGGCGACGGTCAGCCAGCCGGTGATGTAGCTGAGGAAGCGGGCGCAGCGGCGCGGGGCGAGCATGGAGACCCAGTGGTACTGGCCGCCCGAGGTGGGCGCCATGGAGACGAGCTCGCACAGGGTCGAGAAGACGGTCAGGTTGCCGGCCCAGACGAAGAGGAAGCCGTAGACGAGGCCGGCGGGCCCGCCGTTGATGAGGCCCGGGGCGAAGCTCATGAGCGTGCCCTCCCAGGTGACGAGGACGGCGCAGCTGAAGCCGAGGATGGTGAGGAAGGAAAAGTTGCGCTGGGAGTTGCATTAGGGGGGTTACATTCTGTTGATCTCATGAATGAACGCAACGCACCTTGAGAACAGACTTCTTGCCGAGGCGCATCAGTTGCACGCGGTCTTCATACTCGCGCTGCGAAATCTCGCCCATCTGGGCCCTCGAGGGCACCTTGGCCGCCGGGGACACTTGGGTGAGCTCGTGGTCTTCCATCGTAAGGGCGAAAAAAGTTAAAAAAAAAAAAAAGTCAACTTGGACCGACGATGAAAGGACGTGTACGGGACACCCGAGTTGGTTGGTTGAGCCCGTTGGCACAAGAGGGGAGTCTTTTTGGCGTTATATGACGAAGTCTGCAAGAGAATCAGACAGACGCAATGCACGCCATCGCAACTCAATGCCGGATAACGAGACTGGGGGTACGGAGGGGCGCTGCTCAATGCGACGAGACAAACCCCTGTACACACTTTCACGGAACAACTAGTTATTAGAGACAGACCATTGGGGGGGGGCAAGACAGACAGCCAAGTCGTTTACGAACCACCTGTTAATATGGGCTCTTTTTCTGGCCACAAAAAGAGGGTATCTCTCTCCCTTACTTCTTCCCGTCTTGCCGTCCCCTCTCCACCGATGATGGACGGGTAAAAGGCCTAGTTTCTGGGCTGGGCTGGGACAGCTAACTCGCTTCCGGTCAAGTCGATCGCCATGCGAGAGGCGCGCCGTCGAGTCATTCATTTACATACATCCTACAAGCCAAGCATTTCACTGCCAGTAATAAGTCGGTCGTGCGAAAATGGCCTGACGGGAGGGCACCCCGAACTTGCGCAAAGCGACTCGCTTCTCTAGTTATTTAGTTAGTTAGCAGCCTGTAGCTGACCTCGTACGGCACGGAGTAGTCCAGTGGGTAGGCGTCGCCATTGACCTGGTGGCCTCCTAATTTCTTTCTCAAATCCCAGCTGTGCCCAGTTTCATGGGATGTCCTCTGGGTCCTTGCTGACCCTTGTTGGGGGCCCTACAGCCCCGTCCCGTTGCAGAAGCCATCTTGGCGGCGCCCCCTCCCCTCCCGCCACGCCACCAACCTTGTTTCTCTTCCTTCTCGAAGCTAATTCGTAAATAATTCTATAATCGAGCCCCTGTATTGTTCTCGTTTTGCTGGGATGAGGTGCCGAGAAGGGGACTATCGATTTTCTCGCCGGTCGGCTAATAACAAGCCCTGGTCCTCGTCCCATCTCAGCTAGGATGGTGGGTGTGAAGAGGTCAACAACTGCGTGTAACTGGAAGTTGTGACAGCTGCGGGCTGGGTGAGAGCCGTGTCTAGAAGCTGGGTGAAACATTCTCGATACCCTTCCTTGCAAGACTGGAAACGGCGCCGTGGATCGTAATGTGGTGGCGCCCTAAACTCTGAACTCTGCCGAAATCAGATCAGTTTCCCATGAAATCTGGAAAACAAGTGCATGTTTTCTTATCTCGTAGTTTGACTTGAGTATTAAATTATATTTCATGTACGTTTTTTTCCTAGTTCATGCGTCATGCCTGCGAACTGGGACGAGCCTCCACGTCCACCCGCCAAGACTGTTGCACCAGCACTGTCTGGCTCGACTGGCTCTGCCCATCCCACGAGGGCTGCCCATCGTCGTGTATAATCGTCGTCGTAGTCTTTGTCCCCTTGGGGTTTTTAACAATAGTTTCCAGTTCATACTGTTTCCCCGTCCTCGACCTTGTCCCCGGGTCACCGCCAGACGTGTTACTTGCGCTCGGCCCGGCGGTGGTGGTACCGGCGGCTTTCGAGTTGTTCGCCGCCGTCTTCCTCCGGGAGCTCTTGTTGCCGCTGTTGCCCGACCCGGACTTGATGTACAAGAGAGCGTCGCCAGCCCGCATCTGGCCGGACTCGAGGTTGTCCAGGAACGGCTTCAGGTACGGCACGCATGCCGTGGCTATGCTCAGACACAGGACTACCTGCCTGATGATGACCGGCGGCCAAAAGTCAAACGTCTCGCCCGTGGAAGAGAATGACTTGGCCGCCCTCGTAATGTAGACAATGTGGCAGATGGCGGCTGGGGCAATTCTGCAGGTTTCGTGTGAGTTGTCTGGTCTTGTTTGCTTGGTGACTGCGGGTGTGATGAGACATACAGGATGCGGCTGCCAAAAATGAACAAGACGAGGGACTTCATCGACTTTTGCGCTTGAATGTTCCAGACCAGCTCGGAGATGGCGACAATGGTAGCGAGATCGGTGGCGATGTTGAAGATTTCAAAATACGTCCAAAACGCAGGCTATCAAAGTCAGTTTATTTGGTGATAAGAAGAAGAAAGAGAAATGTCTTACCAAATTCACACATTTCCCCGAGACAAAGTTCCACGGCTCCGAGACTTGGCATTGGAACAGGACGGTGATGACGGCAGACACGCCCCAGACCGCAATGACAGCCATGACGGAAAAGATGCCGCGTCTACGGTCGAGCGGCGCAACATTCATGACCGTCATGCAGGCTGATATTTTGGTGACGGCAAGGGTGACGATGTACAGCACATTGGCCGCATACATGCACTGTTTCGAAAGTCAGCCACTCAACAACCACCACCATAGACGGCCATATCTCTCTTCTCCCGGGCGTAATTTACCTTGAGAATGTAGGAAATCTGCCCAGCGCTCAAAACGTCATTGTGGTGACCAAAACCGTTGGCCGCCTGTAGTATCACGACCAATGCCTGCGCAACGGCCAGCGCCTAGTTTCCCCCCATGTTAGCCCTCCTCATTTCGCTACCCCATGTTTTCGTTTCTTCATTCAAAAGGCCGAATTCTTACTGTCGCGGCAATCACCGTGTGGTCGTCGAGCTTCAGGCTGCCGGCCGTGAGCAGTCGTGTGGCGATGCGTGTGATGACGGCGAGGACGCTGAAGACCATCAAAAACGCCGTCACCGCGCGCACAAGCGGCGCCTTGTTGAACGGCGTCTCGAGCTCCCGTGGCGATATCATCACGCGGTCGGACCTCGTATCGTTTTTTTTTTCTTCCTTCTTCTTCTTTCCGGTCAACTTGTTGTCGAACCCTGGTTGAGCGGACCGTCAGCGATTCATGAACAAATCGCAAAAAAAAAAAGGTGGCCCCCAAGAAGCGGCGAGCGCGCGCCCAGCCGATTTTATGATCTCCGCCCGCAGGACGAGAACAGACCATAGAAACGGCGAATAAGTTCAGCTAAGGAAAGGAAAGAGAAAAAAAAGGACAAGGTTGGCGTCCATTTCGGCAGGGCGGGTGGAGAAGATAATAAGGCTCTTCTTTCCCCCTTCGTGGAGTTGAAGATGCCGAGCATTATGCCACTATGCCACGGACATTGACCACCACCCCCGGCCCCAAGCTTCAAGACAAGGATTTATTAGCTGGTTGGCAGGGCCTGAAGTCTCGGTTCGTCCGGTTTACGCAGTGGCATTGGTCAGTTGGACCACTCACACTATGAGCGTTATTCCTGCATGGCTTGTGTAGTAGCAACACGTAACAGATCGGCGACCTGCTCGAATTGATCCACCATCGACTCCCTCGAGCCCTACAGTCCTTCTAACGTTAGCTCATCGCAACAGTAACATTGGCTAACTAGAAATCTCTCTTCCCAACAGCGAGAGCCGTAGTTTATTTAGCGTGAGCCACATGGCCCCCACGGCGTCTCCAGTACTGTAGTAGGGGGCGGAAATGGTCAGCTTTGGTTTTGGGATTCTTTTGGTTGAACAATTTGTCGCAACGCAGTGGGGGACTGATAAACCTTACAGTACCTACAGCCCCTTTATCCGTAAGGGTCCTCTAGATGCGACAGCTGGTCAGCGCGATTGACAAGGGTTAATGGACTTTGCCTCAAGTAGGTCAAAGTCGAACGATGCAGGTCCCCGGCGAGATTCCACCAGAGAAACACGCCGGTCTCGAACCAGCGGACTCGCTTATCCTGTTTCGTGAACAAGGTTGCTGCTTTCCAATGCTACGCTGGCCTTGTTTTTCTCGAGGTCTGCCTTATCTGGATGGATCTCGCTGAGCGGATAATAACAAATGAAACGCAAAAGTCCTGTGCCCCCTCCTGTCATGCGAGCCCCTGCTGCTGCGGACCAGACAGCAGTCTTAACAGACAACACTTTTTGCTAATATTGATCACGATATTATCATCTCTTCTCTCGTCCACGCGGCTGCAATAAAACTTGGCGGTCGATATTAATTAGCACACGCGTACTATACTCACTTATAGCATGGAGGGCACAACAAGATGGCGCAGCAGCCGGAGATGACAGGCACGGCAGGGCTTGCGTTCGCCCTCCAACCGCCCTCATCGTCCCGGCGATTCGTACACCAAAGGCTGCCTGCATTGTCGCTCAGCTCATCATGCTTGAAATGCATAAGAACTTTGTTTTTATAAGAAGACATTTCTCTATAACCTGGGTGGCACCATGTCCCACGAGGCACCCACGCATAATATTAAGCATATCGTCTTGGCTCCCCCCGTTCATCCGACCCCTAGATCCGCGCGCGCGAACGGCCCTGTGATACATCGTAACTTCTCGCACTATCGATTTTTTTTCTTTCTCCCTTCCCGTCGCTCCGCGGGCCCTTGAACCTAGCGACGGCGGCCCGCTGGGACAGCCCCATCGCCCAGCCTTCTCCTCCCGCGGCTCACCTTTAGCCTAGCCGCGCTGCTGGTCGACGAATGTGCAAGAGGTCTTCGAAGCTTACTAGGAGTGTCATCGACTTGTTATTAAGAAGAATTGTGCATTCATTAGAGATAAGCGCACCGCGTTCAGTCTCTAAAATGTATTTACAGTGTCTAAAAAAGTCCGCTCTCGCTATATGGTAAAGTCGTATATGCTTCATTCGGGGGTCTGGTTCCCTCGTTATGAGTTCAAGTGCACTCGTCAGCTCGCGGCTCGCCCTATTTGCCATTCAAAACATGCGGCCAAAGCTGTGCGACAGCCAGAGCGTGTCGTTGCACTCGTGCGTGCTCCTCCACTCGTCCACCCTCTCCGTCAACCAGCCCGCCGTGTAGTTGGCCTGTCCGTCGGCCGTCGTCTCAGGCGCGGCCGCTTCTCCAACGCGCACAATCCCCTCGCTCACGAGGCAGTCCGCGCGATCGTGTCCGCGCCACGTCCACATGAGGCACTCCGGGAGCGACTGGCAGTGCGCCTCGCACTCCTCCTGCGTGGCAATGGCCACATCCTCGCCCTCCACCCTGCGCGAACCGCGGCCGTCGTTGCGCCAATTGTCGCGCCGGCTCTCCTTGCCGGGCTTTTGGAAGCCCCACAGGTCGCGGTGGCGCATTGCGTACTTCACGGCTGTCAGCAAGGCTTTGCTCCGTTGGATGCGTGTTCATAGAAGCCACCACTTACATCATTAGAGCGAGTCGTGAATTCCCATTGAAATACGGCGCGCATGTCGTCGAAGTTCGGCTTGTGCATGGTCAAGAGCGGCGAGCACCAGCGCATCGCGTCATAGGGCAAATTCTGCAGCGCGTGCTGCGCAAACATGGGATACAGCGCCGACATCTGGATGCCGCTCTGCCAGATGGCAAACCCCAGGGCGCTGTCGCCACAGCACTCGAGGTCGTGCATGAGGCCGTGGTGCTTCTCGGCGAATGGTGGGTCGAGGTAGAATCCTGTCGGGCTGGCTCTTCGATGCAGCAACCGTTTCACGGTCGCGCGGCTGAGCACATAGCCTGGGCCGCCGTTGGCAAACAGCGTGTCTCGTCCGAATTCATCCTGTCGGCCTGGGGATGCGGATCCCATGTATAACGGCGTGTCCGGATCGAGGGTGTTGAGGAAGCGAAGTAGGGGATCCCAAAAGACATATCTGCGGGGAAAAGAGTGTGCATTAGCGGGGAGTCGGGAGAGACACGCATCATGTCGCGCAGGCGAACTCACGTATCTGTCTCATAAAACACATAAAAGTCCCGGTTGGGCCTCATCTGCCACGCCATTTCCACTTGCGGAAGAAACTTGAACTTATCCAGCTTCCAGCCATCAATAGCCTTGAGCGCGGCCGGATTCCTAGAAGCCGCTCCGCTATCGCGCAGACGCTTCTGCTCAAAGTACGGCTTGAACTGCTCATAGTCGTGGTAGGACTTTGGCAGGGCCGCGAGGACGTCTATCACCTCGTGGCCCTCGTACGTGTCGTCGAGGTCGGAAAAGATGAGCAAATCGCTAGGTTGGAAGCAGGCGCTACAGCTCTCCATCTGGGACTGCATGCGCTCCGGATCGTCGGTGAAGCCTGTCTTGAGGACCGGTTGAATCGTGGCGAGCAGGTGGCGGGGGAAGCTGGCGCACAGCTCCTCGAGCGATTTGTTCTTCTTTCCTTCGCTGGTGGGGAAGGCGACGGGGTGAAAAGTGCTGGAGGTGACCATGGTGCGCGGCTCGTCGTCATCCTCGATGGTCGCGATGTGGTACGGCTTCGGCTTGGCCGGCCGCAGGCGCAGCGGGCTGCCGTTGTAGTGAATTTGCAGGAGCGCGACAAAGGCGAGGGCGAAGAGGGTAAAGAGGAAGTTGCGGCGGAAGTTCTTGTGAAAGGGCACGCTGGCCAGGAGTTTGCCGACGGGAACCATGGCGGGCGTCGTCTACGGCATGCGCGGCCTAGACAGCCCAAATACGGGATGCGGGATGTGGTGATAGTACGGCCGAGTCTTGACGAGGTAGGCGAGAGGAGGCAAAATAGAAATTGAGAGGCCGTTGAAGTTGGGCTTGATTGGTGATGGAACGTGTACGTAAGCCCCCTCTTTATAAAGTTAAAAATGGATTCGGAAAATAAATGAAAACCAGGTGGCAGTCTAACCTGAAGAATAGGGGAAAAAACGAATCAGAAGGAAAATCAACCGTCATTGGCATGTGGGGACTTGATACAGTAACGGCCGCATGCATCTCAAAGTGAAGTTGGACACGATGCAGATGAGCTGCGAACAACACCAGAAAAGGCCATGAAGAAAATTGTCTTAGATTTGTATCTCGTAGTTATTATTTTGCTCGAGTTGCGGGAGAGTTTTACGGCAGTCACCCCTGGTGAACCTTATAGTTTACACCTTAATGAATTATGTACATAAATACCTCGCTAGATAACAACCCACTATGCCCGCTATATTTCCGAGCCTACGAGTAGCCTCATTGCGTTAGTAGGCTAATGTTGGGGCTGCTCTGTAGGGCTTCGCCATCTCGACTTGGAGGGCAGACATCCTTCTTTTTGAACTCAGAATATCCCCGACATGCACGGAATTTGTCTCGGGTAAAAAGCGAAAAATTAACCTTGATGCGTGCTCTTTGACATATGACGTAGTGTACTGCCCATCACAACAACACTGCTACTATCGGGTATCAGTCAGGTTCTACGTATGTACACAATAAAGACGGTGTAGAGGGGGCCAGGACAGGTCAAGTTCTAAACGCAGTTGGCCATTGAAAAAACAAAAAAAAAGTAGGTTTCGCAGCCCGAATGCCTGGGGAATTAAGTAAAGGGATGGTTGGAGAATGGATATTCCCCTTGGGGCCATGTTTTTTCAGGTACCGGGTCATCTCGTATGTTAGTCTGTCTGGTCCGACGTCCAGGGCAGAGGAGGGTTACCAGCAGGACAAATGAATGGAAAGAAGCCTGATGTGAGATTGCAAGGTATATAAATATGCATTTGAAAGTATCAACGTATATTCTAAAGCTGCCATAACTTAACTGTTCTAAATTAAAGTAAAGATTAACTCGTAAGCTTTAGCTTGCGAAACTCAGCGGTCATGTCAGTTGGTTTAGTGAAGATTTTGCCCCAGGGCAAGGTCATAGGACCGATATGTGCTATTTGATGCGTATTTTTAGCGTTTGTGTTTGTTACCGTAATAGACTACTTTTCTCTCGTTTCTTCCACCTATTTAAAAGGCGGCACTGTTAGAGGCCCGTCTGCCTGGCATCAGAAGCTTTGGTCATAAGCTCGCTCACTACAGTACGTACGCCACGCTAGGCATTCATCATCTCTTTAACAAGCGACAAAGCTTAAATATTTCCCGCCCATCTATTGCTTGCTATTAAGGGCCTGATTATAGCAATAAAGATTGTGTAGGTTCCAGGGCCACCAACTCTATTAGTAGACCCTGGCTAGTTAGACAGACACACAAGAACGGATCAACTTCCTCCTCACATTCGACATTGACACTACATCCTTTACACAGTACATAATAAGAGTACAAGGGAGCCCATTCTTCACCAATACCCAAGTTAGCCACCTAATGAGATAAACGTGTTGCCATATAGCCAGCTAACGCGTCAAATTTGCGTATAGGCCACGTTGACACCTCAGATGCTTCATCGATGGCGTCTCTTGAAGAAGAATTGCTCATGGAGAGCGGCAAAGGAAAACAGACGGCCGGCCCTGCAGAACCGGGCACAGATCGCCGCACAGCACCCCCGTACAGTGGCAGCGAAATCTCGCCACTACTTATTTCGCCGTATCTCGATGAAGTCATCGGCGTTGGTGGCATGCACGGACGCTTTGCTGGCAGCAAAACTCGGCCAAGACTGTTTCCCGAGTCGCTTTATCTTTTGATCCACGATGGCGCTCTACACAGACACACTGCCTGCAGCATCTGGGTGCGCATTTGGCTACTACCTACCGCCTTCTTGTCCATCAGCGTCGTCTTTTTTGTTCTGCTTGTCCCTGTTGCAATGTGCGGTCGCCTCCTCTACTTAGCCCGCCATGGTAGACTGGCCGACCTGGCCTCTCTGTCGTGGTTTGCGCCATGCCTGATGTGTGTTTTTTTATTCGTATATTGCTCTGAACTGTTTTTTGTACGTTTCTTGGTTCAAGAACTCGGGGTGCAAAACTTGAGCGAAAGATACCACTTCCCTGTCTTGTATTTTTGTCTACGCGTCATAGAACATTACATGATGCGGCTACTGCCGATTAGCGTAATTAGAAGTCTCTAATATCCATCGAGTATCGCTATTCGCACGAGCAGGTGCTTCGGACTATTAGGGAAACACTTGGAATCCAAAGGTACTATTAGGAATGTGCTCCGTATGGACTTTTCTGTGTGCACCGGCACCTATACAGCCAGGTTCAGAAACATGATAGGAAGAGAGAGAGAGTAAATTGATTGAAGCTTCTATGACTGGCTACATGATGTGCCGATACACTGCGGTTCGGTGGAACGTTCACCTGTTCTGAATGGGCGAACACCACTGCCACCTCTACCACCTCTACCACCACTCTACCGCCGCCGCCGACTCTTAACACTCGCTAATTCGCTTAGAAAATCACCTCCGCTGGAGTGTGTACAACTTGCCGGAAAACGTTGATTCTGGACTAACTGCAAATGTCTTTCATAGGGTTCAAGCGGCGGCGGCGGCAACGGAGTTGAAAGTTGTTTTTGCTAGAAGGCATTATTGACAAAGGTGGAAAAAGGCATGGTAAACACGCCGCTGCTTGTGTTGACGAGAATTAGGAGTGTCTGAAAGGGTAATTTGTTTTGTCAAACGATGCTCAACTTATTCCTGGTACGGCTCGTGGATCCATCTCCCTCCGAACCAATCAAAGAATTTACGCATCTAGGATAGGAAATGATACAGCCTGAATGGTCGATTTGTAGCTGCGACAAGTTAGCCTTTCCACACAGCCACAGCCGAAGAACTAGAACGCCGCGTCACCAGCTACTAATCCGAATTATCTAACCCGAGAATATGTCGTACCGAATGAAAGAAAAAGATGACAATAACCACAAAGCAGAATATTTACACGATGTTTCAAGATTTATCCTCTTTAGCACTCACTACGCTTTCCATGAGCCTGCTGACAATCTCCGGTCCCACGCCTTCATGCATCCAACTACCACCAATCCAACTCTCATCACAACCATTGTGAAGAGGGTCCGAAGACGCCACGCCAAATCGACCGCCGGCTGCCAAACGTGCAAGGCACGTAAGATCAAGGTTTGTCGAGCCATAGGGCTGTCTCATCAGCCCTGCCAGCTGGCCGCGGGAAGCTAACGTTTGTTTTTCATGCTGCAGTGCGACGAGACGAAGCTGCAATGTGAAAACTGCGTCCGCTTCGGACTCCCTTGTGATTTCCTGCCTCCTCCAGAGCGGAAGGAATGGGTGAGCCGTAGCACCGTCGCCGCTCCGGGTGTTAGGCGTGGTCGGGGCCGACCGCGTGCCGATTGGAGCCGCTGGGTGGCCGATTGCGGTGATCAGACGCCGCGACCCGCGGACGACAGGCATCCAGTCCAGTCGTCGCGAGCGGCGGCAGAAGTAGTCCAAGCTCCGTCCCCGTCCCCGTCCCCGTCATCGTCATCGTCATCGTCCTCACTTGGGCTGAGCGTGGGTGATCTTGAGCTGCTGCACCACTACACGACCGTCACCTCGACGACCGTCGGCGACGCGCGTCTCTGGCGAGACGAGGCGCCGAGGCTGGGCCGTGAGCACCCGTGCAACTTCCACGCGACGCTGTCGCTGGCGGGATATCACCTGGCCAGGCTCCGTCCGGGAGACAGTCGGAGATACCTGCGCCTCGCGGAGGACCACTACGCGGCCGCGGCGAGGGACGCGACGCGGATGCTGCCGCGCCTCGACGAGGGCAACTGCCAGGCGCTGTACATTGTCACGGTTCTGATTTGCTTCACGGCGTTTGCGAGAGGTCCGTCGGAGGGCGACTTGCTGCTGGTCGCGCGGGAGGGATGCGTGCCGTGGGTGTCCCTGCTGCGCGGTGTGCGGCTGGTGCTCGAGACGATCGGGTCGTCTGTGGTTTTGTCTGGAATTCTCGCGCCGACGGCGCGATATGGGAGCGGCCAGGGAGGGCCATGTGATTGCAGAGTTGAAGATGCTCCTTGTTCGACGAGTCCCATGGAGGGGTGCGAGCCCAGCGTCTACGGTCGGAATTGGCGCACATCGCTGGAAAGTGTGGCTCGCTTGGCTAGGGTGGCCCCAGATCTAGCGCTTGCCAAGATGTACAACAAAGAGATTAGTTCTCTCGTCAGGTGCTTCGAGACGACGTTTTGCACAGACTGGGTTCCGGTGAGATGTAGACACGGACACGTCTCTGTCGTCATGGCCTGGGTTTATACACTGGACGCCCGATTCCTTGAGGAGCTAGCGCAAGGAGACGTAGTCGCTCTGAGGCTGCTTGGGCATTTTGCAATTCTACTCGAAACATTGGAGTCGTACTGGTTCATCGAGGGTTGGAGTACTCACATTTTGCGGCAAGTGAGGCGAGTGTTGGGAGAAGATGATGTAACTTTCTTCCTTGGATGAGTTATAAACGACCAACGTAGTTTGAGAGAGATATACCGTTAAAACGTCCGCTTGATCGCTTCGATCGTGAAGGCAATCCTATCTCTGTCTGTCGTACCTTGAAGTTCCTCCGGCCGGAAGTGAAGCCATTTCTGCCATTTTTCTTGCAAAAAATTGGTCTCAAAATGCTAGATGCAATACTGTATATAGATGACATCTAAAATTACTACCATCAGAGGATAAGACGAGAAACTCAGCCTGTAGTTGATCCAGTCACAGTGCACCAGTCACAGCCTTGTCGTGACTTGCGCTATATTCCGAACTACATCAAACCCCTCCACCATCATCAGAGCATCAGAGAAAGAGCGCCTCGGGCACAAAATGAGCACACATCTTGCCGCCGTTTCTGTGGCCCAAGGCCGGCCTCTCGAGGTCCGAAGCCGACCTACCCCGAAACCCGGCCCTGGCGAGCTGCTCCTCGCCGTCAAGTCGGTCGCGCTCAACCCCGCCGACACGCTCATGCGCGGCACCGGCCTCTTTATCCAAGCCTATCCCACCGTCATCGGCTTAGACGTCGCCGGCGTGGTCCTCGAGGTCGGCGACGGCGTCCCGACCGAGCCCACCGCCGACGGCGTCTTCTTCCGGCCGGGCGTCACCAGGGCAGTGGCGTACAGCGGCGCCGTGTGGCAGGCGTGCGACCCGGACTACGGCGTCTTCCAGGAGCGCTGCCTCGTGCCCTGGCAGCACGCGGCACCGCTACCGGAGGGGAGCGGATCTTTGGAGTGGCAGGGCGCGGCGACGCTGCCCGTGTCTGTGCAGGTGCCGCTCTCAGCGTGGGATGCACTGGGGCTGGAGTATGCCGGGACGGGCGCCACAAAGGCAAAAAGGGAGGCTCTGTTGATTTGGGGCGCCTCGTCGAGTGTTGGGACAATGGGCGTGCAGCTTGCTCGATTGCAGAAAAATGCCGGGGGCTCTGGTATTGGAGCTGTCTATGCCACTGCCGGTGCGGCGAACCTCGCATACGTCAAGTCGCTCGGGGCGGATCGCGTCTTTGACCACCAAAGTCCTGAAGTGGTGGACTTGATCGTAGCTGCGGCCAGGGAGGATGGGTTGGCCATCCGCCACTGCTTCCTCGGTATGGGGGACATTGCACCGTGCCAGGCCGTGCTGTCTGCCTTTGCGAAGACGGAGGTGGTGGTTGCGGGAGGGGGAGCCAAGATCACCTCCGCCCCGATTGTACCTCCCGACACCAAGGAGGTGGAGGGCGTGGAAATCATCTTTGTCATGCCCTCCTCGGACAAGACTGAGAGGCTGGCCCAGTTCCGGAAATGGATGGCGCAGTTGAGCAAGTATGTTGCTGCTGGCGACATCAAGCCGAGCCCGGAGCCAAAGCTAGTTGGCACCAGCTTGGACGCTATTAATTCTGGCCTGGACATGCTTTCCCAGGGAGTCAGCTGTTCGAAGCTGGTCATCCAGATTGCAGAATAAGCATTGTTGTGTATAGCCGTCGAGTAGGAGGGCCAGACAAGAACATGAATACACTTATGATAAATAGAAATTAAGGCAGTCTGAATCACATAAAGGTCTTTTTTTACCGTTTACAACTTCCATTTAATCCTGATTCATATCACGCTTCCATTGCTCCTTCACTTCCTGCAGCAGCCCCGGCACCGTGTACATGTCCACCGCCGTGCCAGCCATGGCTTTAGCCACCCTCATCGCCCGATCAAACGCGCCTCGCGTCCTCGACGCCTTCTCAAAATCCGGCGAGTGAGGCTGCCCGGCCTCCGGGCCTGGCGGGATCGCAAAGCTCACGTTCATGCTCGGCAGCGCGTAGCTCAGGTTCCCCTGGTCCGTGCTGGACCGCACCCATGTGTACTGCCCTGGTGGTGGCAGCGGCGGGTCCGGCGCGCTGGGCATCGCCGCCCAGTACTTGGCATACGACGCGGCAAGCACGCGGTTTGGCATGTGGTCGAGGTAGCCCGGGCGGACGCGGATGTGGGCGCGCGCGCCGGTGGCCTCGGCGCCGGCGCGCATGCACCCTTCGACCTTGGCCTGCAGCTCGCGCAAGTGCGGCGCGGTGGCGGCGCGCAAGACGGCGGCAGCGGCGGCGCGCTCGTGGATGATGTTGGGGCGGTCGCCGCCGTGCGTGATCTGCAGGCCGACGAAGTCGTCGGCGCGCGTCTGCTGGCGCATGGCGGAGACGGCGGTGTAGGCGACGACGACGGCGTCAAGGGCGTTGACGCCCTGCCACGGGTTCTTGGCCGAGTGCGCGGCCGTGCCGCGGTACTCGACGTGGAGCCCGGTGAAGGCGGTGGTCCGGACCATGGGGCTGTTGTTGAGGATGCCGGGGTGGGAGATCATGGATACGTCGGTGTTCTTGTATGCCCCCGCCTGCAGGCACTTGATCTTGCCCCCGCCGCCCTCTTCGGCAGGTGTGCCGACGATGACGACCTTGCCTGCGAGGCCTTGTTTGTCGAGTATTTCTGCGGTGGCAAGGCCGGCGGCCACTGATACCATTGCAATCAGGTTGTGTCCGCAGGCATGGCCAAGATTGGGCAGGGCATCTAATCGGCCGTTAACACTCGAGACTGCGACGAGATGCACCCAGGCTTACCCATTTCTGCGTTGAAAGATACAACAGGTCCCGGCCGGCCGGTGTCGAACACGGCTTCCCACGCGGTTGCCATTCCATAAGCTGAAGGGGTCACGGTCCAGCCCGATTGGCATTTCATAAACTTGGTCAATGCATCATGTGTCTTGAACTCTTTGTAGCCGAGCTCGGGGTTGTCATGTATGAAGCAGTTGAGGGGCCACAGAGCAGGCTCCAGCTGGGCAATAAAGCGGTCGATTTCGGCGAGGTGTCTCGTTGTGGGCTCAGGCTGTGATGGCGCCTCATCGGGCCTCGACACAAATACATAGTCGTCATCCATCCCGACCAAGATATTGTCTTGAATGGACTCGACTGATGAATGTTGCTTGGTGGAAGCAACTGAGGGCGAGGCACTAACAGGCCACGACCCAGCCCAGCCCCCAAGGCCCTCAAGCTAACTGAAATACGAGGCCCGCAGCGGGCACGAAGCCGTCGCAGCCGGTATGCGTCCTACTTTTTTTATTACAGGGCTTTCTCTTACTAACTTATTTTGGCTGGTAAACGTGGTGGCGTTCTAGAGGCGAAATGGAAACTCAATAGAAACAAGAAGCTGTCAGTGCGGCCCAGTTCGGGTAACTAGTTAACTTAAAAGCCAGGGGCGAGCTAGTTATAGATATCGATCTATGCCTTCTTCTTGCCAGGCCATTTTAGCCTCTTCATTCGCCAGAGTTGCTCGCCCAAAAAAAATCATCATGACTGCTGCCATTGAAAAGCACGACGTGGCGACCACGTTAAACTACTGGGACGACCCGGGTGACGGATCAAAGCCTACTCCCATTTTTATTGGCAAGGGCAGAATCAGCAACAAACGACCACACAAGGCTTGGGATTTCGTCGTCTCCGACATCAGCGGCGACGAGGACCAATACACGCTCGACAGCCACGGGTTCCAGTACTGCGAGAGCGCCAGCGCCGAGGAGCACTTCACCGACGAGGCGGCGATCAAGCAGGGCTACTACGCCGAGTGCTCGGCGCTCGTCCGAGAAATCACGGGCGCGCGCACGGTGCACATCTTCAACCACAAGGTGCGCCGGGGCCCGACGCAATGGCACCACCTCGGGCTGCACAACCTGGCGAACCGGGGGCCCGTGACGCGGACGCACGTGGACCAGTCGTACGAGGGCGCGGAGCGGCGTCTACGGTGGGAGCTGCCGGCGGAGGAGGCCGAGGACATTGTGCGCCGGGGGCGGCGGTACCAGATCATCAACGTGTGGCGGCCGATCCGGGCGATCCGCAAGGACCCGATCGCGGTCGCGGACGCGCGCTCGGTGCCGGACGCGGACCTGGTGGGCGCGGAGATGACCGAGGACGGGTTCGTGGGCGAGTCGTGGGTGGTGAGGCACAACTCGGCGCACCGGTGGCACTACAAGCACGGCATGACGCCGAGGGACGTGCTGCTGATCAAGTGCTTCGACTCGGTGCAGGACGGGGTGGCGCGGCGGGCGCTGCACTCGGCGTTTGAGGATCCGGCGTACAGGGACTGCGAGTCCCGGCAGAGCATCGAGGTTCGGTGCCTGGTGTGCTACGACTGATGATTTGATGAGTGAATATTGAAGAGGGGTAGAGAGGAAGAGGAGTACGTACTGTCCAAGACTGGACCCCCGCACCCCGGCACCACTACCGCCACCGTGCTACGGCGCACGGCAACAATTCGATAGTTGACTCGGAGGCTAAGAAATAGTTTGAATTGGCAGAGCGGGGTTCTTTCTTGCGCATTTCAATTTCATTAGTCAATTGGGGATGCATGCACAAGGTAGGAATGAATACGAAATGCAGTGCCTCTGATTAGTCCTGTTTCGATGTAGCAATGGGCAATCGGTCAGACTACCTATATAAGGCCAGTCTCCTCTTTGCTGCGGCCCAGTCCACTCGCTCCCATCCACAATCTTCTCCTCACCAGCAATTGCATTTGCATCAATTTTTATACAATATACATCAATTGACATTAAACCGTTGAAAATATGGCCCCCGTACTTGACGCTCCCCAGACTGTCGACTGGATGGGCAAAAAGGTGCCCGTCTGGTCGATGCCCACCATCAACTACGGCCTGCTGCTATCCCAGAACCCCAGCGAGGTCGAAAAGGTCGTCCGCGCCTGCAAGGAGGAGGGCTACTTCTACCTCGACCTGCAGGGCATCGACGGGCGCCGCATGCTGTCAGACCAGCAGGAGACACAGGAGCTGATGAAGCGCTTCTTTGCCGCGCCGCTCGAGGCCAAGAATGAGTTTGGTCTGATTTCTTCGCATCTGGGGTACTTTCCCCTTCCCTCCTGCTGCTTCCGAGCGGCCTTGGCTAATCAATCCGTGTTTGCAGCTACGAACCGGTCGGCAGCCGCACCGGCGTCGCTGCGGGCTCCCAGGACGGCTACGAGATGCTCAAGGTCTCGCGCGACGAGATCCAGCGCGACAGCCCCAAGATCCCGGCGCCCGTCAAGAACAGCGCCGACATGCGGATCCTGGAAAACGCCATCGGCAGCTGCAATACGGTCACCAAGGTGCTTCTGTCGGCGCTGTCGACGGGCATGGGCCTGACGGGCGCGTCTCGCTTCGAGAACTCGCACCGCAACGAGAAGCCCTCGACCACGACTGTGTGTTATTCCTCTTGAATTCTGCCCCCGTCTATCACTCCCCTTGTCTATAGTACGCTCGAGCCTCGTGCCACCCTAACATCCATCTCTCAGCTCTCCATGATGCACTACCTCCCCAGCGAGCTCGCCGGCGAGAACCGCATCGGCCACCAGAAGCACACCGACATCAGCACCCTCACGCTGCTCTTCAGCGAGCAGTGGGGTCTGCAGGTCCGCCCGCCCGGCACCTGCGGCGCGCGCGAGATGGGATTCGTGGCGCCCAAGCCCGGCTGCGCCTTCGTGCACGTGGGCGACTCGCTGCGCTTCGCGAGCGGCATGCAGTTCCAGAGCTGCATCCACCGCGTGGTGCCGTTTGACCCGACCGAGCACCGCTACTCGATCGCGTACTTTTTGCGCGCCGAGGACGACACCATGTTCATCGACTCCGAGGGCCGCGCCATCACGGCGGGTCAGTGGCACGACGAGAAGTTCAAGGCCTTCACGGACCCGGAGCAATGGCAGATGATGGCGCCCAAGTCGATGATCCTGGGCGGCATGAAGGAGGACGGCGAGGATGCGCCGATTCCGGGGCTGGTGAAGGCGCAGGCGGCGCCGCAGAGCGTGCCGGCCAAGGCTTAAGTTGTGGCGCACGTGTGTGCGCGGCAAGTTTTCATTCCTATCTACGTATAAAGGGAGATGAATTGAAGCCACAACTCAGACTATTAATTGTTCAGTTTAGGTGCCCGTCCTAGGATAATTTGTAGCATTGTCCCAGCCCCCCAGCCCCTGTGGGCCAAGCCCGCCAAGCTGTCATGCTGTCACTCACTATCAATGCCGCCACTAATACGGATAGATGAATGTCCTCTCTCTCTCTCCTATCCTGCATGATAATTTAGGCAAACACTTTCAGGTCCAGCGGCTGCTTCTCGCCCAGCCAGATGGCACGTTGCGTGTGGTCCCGCACCTCGGCCGCGTCCAGCGTCTCGCCGTCCGCCGGCACCGAGTTGGGGTGGACGAGCACGGGCAGCGGCCCGCGCCAGACGGCGAGCCAGGGAATCAGGGCGCCGAACTGGGCGGGCGTGAAGACGCTGACCTCGAACATGGCGGTGGGATGGGGACCGATGGGACGATCCCACAGCTTGTAGATGCGCAGCTCGGGGACTTTTTTACCTTGTCAGTACGGATATGCTGGTCCCTCAGGAGTTTGCTTTCCGGGCTTGTCACTGTGCAGACACTTACACTCGCGTCGGATGCGCTCATACAGCTCCGTGGCATAGCGAGTCTGATCCTGGTTCGTCTGGTCGTAGTACACGTGGACATCGCTGTTTGCCCGCCGCACGCGCCATAATCAGCACACCCTGGACTTTGCCACGCTGCAGGCTGATAAGGCTGTTGACTCACAAGGCTCCGCGCTTCTCCGTGTCGTAGGCCTCGATGAACTGCTGGTAGGACGAGCTGGGCGTGCCCGGGGGCAGGTTCACCAGGCTCTTGCCGTCGGCGGCTTTGTCGGTCGGCAGCGGAATGTCTCGGTTAACCCCGGTGAGCGGCGACGGGAAGTTGGTGTCTGACATTTTTATTCTTGGCGGATCTTTTAGATCAAAATGAACAGAGGGCTCAATATCCGTACTTGCAGAAGACCATCTCTATTTTAGTCCTTGACTCGTCCGGGTTTTGGCGGCGTCGATCGTGACAGATGACCAACCAAGTGCGGGGGAAGAATGGCGAATGGCGGGGGCAATCAAATGCAATATTCTGCCTGCTTTTCGTTGGCTGTCTCGATCGGCCATCCCATTGTTTCATCAGTACTTTTCTGCCTGCGCATGGTCTTGTCAGGACCAGCTATATCCTCGCGTCTTTTCTCTTATATCCGAGCAGGTATACCCAACAGTGCTGCGCTTTCCAGGCCACCAATCAAGCATCACTCTCAACGCATCACTCTACTCCTCCATCTCGCCTGTCCCTTGCAAATCATCAAACTGACACGCTCGGCATCAATCATCACTCTTCTTCCGTCTTCTTCTTCCGATCGGCGCCCAACTTCAGTACTCAGCATGCTGTATTCGGCAGGACGGCCGTCATCATCCATCCCGGAAGGTGGTATCTCTTTTAGTATCCTCGCAGCGCCGCCACCCTGGCATTTGTTTCAGCGCTCGGTCCATCATCATGCTAACTTTACAATACTCAGTAACTATAACCTTCCGATAGAGCTTCGACCAAGCTTATTTTCGCTCTTCCTTTCTCTCTGAAGCTAAACCCGGAGTCGCAGGTCACCTCGTTAGCTTGCCCTGCGCCAAGCCAGCGCGTGCGACGCAAACCCTCTTCCGAAGGCTAGTTGCAAGCATTCACACCACAAGCCAACGAATCACAATACTGCCAACAAAAGGTCCCAATGTCTTAATTACGCCGAAGCAGCCCTCTTTTTGACCTTAGCGATTGAGCCCAGCCGTCTGGCATCTGGACGCGGGCTTGCAGCTGATTTAGTGCGCGCTCTTTATTTTTAGCATTGATGCCAACGCTGGGGTGCATAGATGTTTACCCAAACAAGAAGGTTGCAGGATTCATGGGCCGATTGCCATCAAGAAAAAGCGTGACCGTGGGGGTCGAGATGTTTCCTCACTTGTTCCTTCCCTCTATAAGCTTGCCAAGTCATGCTATCATGCTTTGTCGTAGCACTGCCCAACAATCTCACAGTATAAAGCTATGCTCATCTCGTTCCCAGCATTGCTAGTTGCCACCTAGCTCTTCTTTCTTACCAAGCTTTGTTTGCTCCTTGCGCAGTTCTTGTAATCATTAGCTACTATGAAGTTCTTGGCCTTCCTCCCCTTCGCTGCCGCCGCGGCGACGGTGCCACAATCCGTCTCCTATGACGGCCACAAGGTCTTCCGCGTGCCCGTCACCGATGACGGATCCTTCCTCCGCTCCGTCCTGGAGAAGCTCGACGTGACAACCTGGCAGCCGCCCGCTAAGAAGGGCGCTTTTGCAGATATCCATGTACCGCCTCAGTCCCTGAAGCCATTCCAGGAGGCGCTTGAGGGCCACGAGGTCATCACCATGCACGAGAACCTTGGCGAGTCTATCCGTTCGGAGCAAACCTACCAAGTATACGCCGGTAAAGTCATCTTCAAATTAATCTCGCCGCAACATCTTGCTGACAACAGCTCAGCCGGAGCTGCCCCCAATAGCACTTGGTTCAACTCGTACCACCCGTACAACGACCATGTCAAGTGGCTCAACGACATGGCCTCAACGTACCCCAAGAACTCAAAGGTTGTCACCTCCGGCAACAGCCTCCAGGGAAATCCCATCACCGGACTTCACATCTTTGGCAGCTCTGGTGGTGGACAGAAGCCCGCCATCGTGTTCCACGGCACTGTGCACGCCCGTGAATGGATCGCCAGCATGGTACGCCTCCGTCCGTAATCCTCCGTACAAGATTGGCCGCTTACACGGGAGTCTAGGTGATCGAGTACTTTATCAACGAGCTCGTCACAAAGTACGGCTCTGATTCCCAGATCACTTCATTCGTTGACAAGTACGACTTTTACCTGTTCCCCATTGTCAACGTAGATGGCAAGTTCACCTCATCCCATCACGTTGTTTTCCAACATCTAACAAATATCAGGCTTCAAGCACTCACAGACATCCGACCGCATGTGGCGCAAGAACCGTCAGACCACCGCTGGCAGCTCCTGTCTCGGCCACGATATCAACCGCAACTGGCCGTACCAGTGGAATGTCGGGGGCGGCGCGTCCACCAACCCCTGCGCCGACGACTTCCGCGGCGCCAGCGCCGGCGATGCTCCTGAGACCAAATCCCTCTCCGGCTTCTTGCAGAGCGTTAAGAATGCCCAGGGGCTGAAGCTGTACATTGACTACCATTCCTATTCGCAGCTCTTTATGACCCGTAAGCCAATTCCCCTCGTACGTCTGTTGTATGTATGGTATACTGAATTGCATTCGGCAGCCTATGGATACTCCTGCAACGCTGTCGCGCCCAACAACGCAGTACTGCAAGCCCTTGCCCGGGGTACCGCTGGCGCCATGGGCAATAGGTACGGAACCGCCTTCAGATACGGCCCCATTTGCAGCACCATCTACAAGGCCACTGGCAGCAGCGTCGATTACGTCGCCGATGTGGTCAAGGCCGACCATACCTTCACTGCTGAGCTGCGCGACACAGGCCGCTACGGCTTCGTTCTTCCTCCGGAGCAGATCCGCCCGAGCGGCGAAGAGGCGTTCGATGGTGTTGCCTACTTGCTCACCAACATGAAGTAGGTTCATCTGCAGCTTTTGCTTGTAAATAAAATCCGTATATAAATAAGTGCAGTTGATTATCTAAAATGCGCCTTTTCGCAGAGAAATCATATCGACGTAAAGTATATAAAAACACCAAGAATATGGAAGCATCGCCATCTATTCAGAGCAATCCATGGCGTCTGGGTGGCCGACGGTGCCCTGAACAACATCGAAAACGCCGTCGGGGTTGGTGATGACCTGGGTCAAGGCCTTGTTGAAGGTGACGAGCAGACCCTGCACCCACTCTGGCGTCATGAACTCATAGCCCGGCCACACCTGGCTGTACGAACACCGGATGCTGAGCTTATCTTCAGTCCTGTTCACACCCGGCCACATCTCAATCAGAATGGGCGTATCAGAGGAAGTCTCCTTCCATGGCGTGACCCTATCGTTGGCGCGATTGAATGCGGGGAAGCCGTCCATGTCCACGGCGATGTCGGGCGCGGGGAACGTCTGCAGGATGACAGAGCTGTCAAAGCGGCGCGTGCTGCGGGCAAACTGGATGCTGGGGCAGGGCATCTCGGTGAAGCCGAGGGTGTCGGTGTATTGCTTGAACATTTGCGAGCAGATATCGCGGTGCGTCAGCTTCTTGCCGTCCTCGAAGGAGATGCGCGTAGGCAGACCGTCGAGCATCAGGGCAAAGGCGTCCAGGGAGTCGGCCGTGTGGCGGCCGTGGAAGACGCTGCCAAACTGCACGTCGTACTTGGGGGCGGCTTCGTCTCCGACAAGGGTCTGGGCCAGCGTCATGGACCAGGCGGCTTGGATCACGGCCATGGGAGTGAACAGGCCCTCGGACTTGGCCTTGGCGAAGAGCTCGCCGGTGCTAAAGGTGCATTCGAGGCTTTCGCTAGCGATACCGACATTCGTGTTGACGGTGGTGAACTCGGCTCCCTCGGTCTTGAATACCCTGTCACCGGCCTTGAAGGAAGCGACCCCGGCCATGCGCTGAGCCCAAAACATGCTCGTGCCCAGCCAGTCAGACTTGAGATGCTCCTCGACGGGCACGCGCACGCCTGGCTTTCCTGCGCTGGAAATGGGCAGGCCGTGATAGGCCTCAGCGATGTCGCGGCGGAGAGCCTGGAGACTCATGCCGTCGTAGATGGCGTGGAACACGGAGAAGACCACGACGCAGTGCTTCTTGTCTGCTGAGCGGACAAACGACGTCACGCAGCCGAGGCTGTGGAGGCCGAAGATCTCTTCGGCAGACTTTTGGACATTATCAACAGTCCGATGCCACAGGCTGTTGGGCCGCTCGTCGTAGACTGGCACCTCCATGCGGAGAATGGGAAGCTTGGCGTGCGGCGAGCTGGGGGACAGAACACACTGGGCGTAGGGAGCGAGAGGATGCTCAACTTGTACCCAGACGGTTCGGAATGCGTCGCGTCCTTCAAGAGCCGTGATAACGGCAGCCTCCAGGCGGTCGGCGTCGATGTGGTCGGGAACTAGGTAAGGGTAGTGTTCAACCCATGGCTTGCTGACCTTGAGGATATCCGCCGACTCCTCGATGCTGGAGAGGACGCGGGTCTGGAGACCGGTGGCAGGTAGGACCTCGACAATATCCTCGCTGGGGATGTTGAGGGCCTCAACGCACTTGGCTCTGCATTTATGCTCAAAGTGCTTGAGCTTGGCGCCAAGAGGCAGGAACAGAATCTCCTCCTCATCCTCAATCTCCACAAGTTCATCGTTGTTAGCAGCAGCCGCCTCCTCGGCCGCCTTAAGCTGAGCCAGATGCACCTCAAGGATCGACTTCACAACTTCGGCGAAATTCTGGCCGACGAGGACGTCCTTGATCGCTAGTCCCTCCACACCCTGGCGTCGGAGCTCTTGGAGAAGCTTCATCGAGCGCAGGCTGTCAAGACCATAGGTTGTGAGAGCGAGAGGGGACTCGGCGACCTCGGTAGCACCTTCGCCGAGAATAGCGATGAGAATGTGCTTGAGCATGGCTGAGACACTTTCTTTGTCCTTGAGATCGACGATGCCCTCGTATGTCAAGTTGCTGTTGATGGCTTGCTTCTGGGTAATGGAGCTACCAAAGTCTTCGATGGCCACCTTCTGAAGTGTCTTGCGGTCGACCTTACCACTCGACGTGCGTGGCACCTTGGGTACGACGATGTATTCAACGGGTCGCATCCATCCAGGTAGACCCTCATCTGCAACCTCTCGGCACTGTGAAATCAGGGCCGCGTTTGTGACATCGTCAAAATTTTCGCGTACAGCGACATAGGCAGCCAGGAAGCTACCATTTAGCACGACAGTGGCAACTTCACGGACAGCCTCGACCCTTGCAATAGTCGATTCGATCTCTCCGAGTTCGACGCGGCGAGTGTTGAGCTTGACCTGCTCCATGTTCAGGCGACCGAGAATTTCCAGCTTGGGCTCGCCTTCCGGGCTGAAGACAATGCGGCCCTTGTCACCAGTGCGGTAAACAGGACCCAAGCTTAGACCAGAGGTGAAGGCCTTGGCAGTCTCTTCGGGGCGGTTCATGTAGCCGTAGCCGACCATGGGACCGCCAAAGACGATCTCACCGGTGAGGCCCATAGGGACCTGAATAAGGTCATCGGACGAGTTTGCATCAACCAGAACGACAGACGCGCAAGAGAAAAGAGTACCGGCGATAGATCCACGGGTACCGAGAGCAGCGTTCTCATATGTAGCGCACATTGTGGCCTCGGTAGGTCCGTAGATATTGATAACTCTCTTAGGCTCGGTGTTGGGTTCGCGAGGCGCGTCGTAAGCAAAGTTATCAATGGCGTATTTCGTGAGAGCCTCGCCACCGGAAACGATCGTAGTAAGGGTTGGCAGCGCCTTGGGTCTTAGCAGAGTGGCCATGCTTGCAACGGTAAAGAGCGCTGTGGCCTTGAAGAAGTTGACGGCTTTTTCAATGTCGGAGAGCATGAGGGAGCGCTCGGCCGAGCAAACTGTTCCGCCGTACCCGAGCGTCACGAAGAGCTCCATCAAGGAGAGATCGAAGGTCGGCATAGCAAACTGCAGCCAGCGCAGCTCGGGGCCAGCGGGTAGGGGCTCAAAAGCTTCGGCGTGGCCGTGTACACCACAAGTGGCCATAGAATGAGAGATGAGTACTCCCTTGGGCTTACCAGTCGAACCACTAGTGTATAGAATGTATGCCAGGTCTTCTTCAGTAGGTGGGTGCTGGGACAGAGGAGTCTGCAGGTCGACAGCGAAGTTGGAGCGCCATTTGGTAAAGTCGTTGATATCAACCCATGTCAGTTTCTTGAGGGCTTCGGCAGCTTCAGAGCCATCCTCCAGGTTAACGCCAGGGAATGGCCTGCTTCCGACACCGATAACCACGGACGATCTAGTGTCTTCTACAATGTCCAGAAGACGCTGCGGGGGCGCATCCATCGGCAGTGAGCAGACTGCGAGACCAGTCTTGAGCATGGCGGTGACGGTGATGTAAAACTCGGGGCCGGCCGGCAGGAATAGAGGAATAGCGCGTTGGCATTTGTAGGCAGGCGTCCAGCTGATGGTGCGCTCCATGAGAAGCAGCTCTTCCGCCAGCCCTTCCGCATCAGCGTTCAGCTGGAGATATGTCCATTTTCGGACTGTGAAGGAATCATCGGCAACGGCTTCGACGGCGATGCGATCCGGGAATTCGAGGACACGTCTTTCGAACGCACCGTGCATCAAGGCGGGGTAGTTTTGCTCAAGGTGCAAGTCTGTCTTGAGTACGGGGGCCTTCCATAGCTTGGGAGGGTAGTTCAAGTTAGACAGCTTCGTCTCAGGAGCCTGCGTCGATGAAGGGGCCAGGTACTTGGCGACGAGCTCCAGCAGGTGTGTGGCCAGCACAGGGTGGCCGTGCTTGGCGTCTATTGAGAGTGTCAAGTCTGCAGCACTTCCGTCTTCGAGGGGCTGGACTATCAAGCGGAAAGCCTATTGCAAACGTCAGCGCAGTTGAAGTGGGGGTTTTTCCAATCGACTTACACGAGAGGTCGACTCGGCCGCCGGTGCGGCAGCAGAGGTGATTTCAATCTCGAAATCCAGGTCATTCTCATTGAAATCTTCCGCGTTGAATGTAGCAAACTCGATGTGGTCTGATGTAAAGATGCGCGGCTTGGAGCTTCCAGGGATGGAGGCTGTGGCAAGCAGGCGCTGGGGAGGAGCGCTGTCGATATCGGCGTAGTTGGCAGTGAAGGCGACCTCTTCTAGGTCAGTGATGCCGGCAACAAATGCTGTGAATGCTTTCAGAATAGAGGGCGTAGATCTGATAATAGGCGTAGCCTTAAGAGCGGAAGTGTAGTGTTGTTGGGCAACCGGCTTGGCGTCGGCTTCTTCGCTGTGAGTAGCCAGGTCATAATATGGCAGCTTGGTGCGAGGAACCTCGGCCGGGCGGGTTTGTGTAATGGCCATCTTGGAGGTACTCGAGAATCTTGAATTCGGGTATATTGAAGAAATAATCCCCCAAGTCTTGATTCCCAAGCAAGGGCGGACAACTAGCTATCTAATAAAGAAAGGTCCCTATACGGATTGACGCTGACATGGTGTAATCCCGCCGTAGCTGAATGCCGCTAGGGCAGTCAGACATCTGCGACGCTCCCACGAGCGGTAGTCAGATCCGTGCGACATGGCTTCCAAAATAGGGGATTTGCTGACTTGAGCCGGGGTCAGGATGCCGTGTAATGCGGAAGAAGTCTGATGGAAGATCGGCTCAAGCACAGGACGGACCGAGACCCACTGATGCCGTAACTGGACGTAGGGCTGTCCGCGCCGGTTGGTCAACGTGCTTCCCAATTGAATCGAAATGTAACAAGAATGGGGAGATTATGCTGTCGTGTCGGCGTTTGGGGTTTGCGTGCGGCATTCGTGGTTCTGGACGAATCCCTCTTTCGCGAGATCCCTCTTCAGCTTCCGATGATAGTCCGCATATCCGCTCAGCAAGCACTGTAGGCGGCGGTGCAGGTTGCCCAGAGAGGCAAGTCAGCGGCGACGGTATTTCGTACCATATTAGGTCATCTTTTCGACGACTCAGCAGTATTCTGGCGGGCCGTCCTCTGGTGCGCCGGTTTGGATAGGTATTTGGCAGCAGTCTGACATCAGCAACAAGGTAGCTTGGTGCTTTTGGACTCTGGCTAGTGTGGCTGGGCGAACAAGGCGAAGCTGCCCTGGTAGCGATCCGGAAAACGTGGCTTTGTTGGGAACTGTTAAAAATAGTGATGTGTGTCTCTTCGACACGCTCCCGAAGCAATTGGAAGACCACAACCTCAGTCGCCTTCACACGCGCCAGGGTTGTTACCCAGGCGAGTCACGACTGGTGGCGCGTTTGCTGCTGGGAGTGACATTTTCACGGTCGCATTCGTGATGGACAAGAGAGAATATATTGAAAAAGACTAATGATAGCTCTCACAGTATGTCTGTTCGAATTAATGAAGTCAGCCGCCATTCCTGAGCGTGTTGTAACGATGGCGTTGTCTGTTGAGCTTTCGTGTTGGCAATCTTGACAAGTCCTTTGTTTGGCTGAAATGGATCTGGGTGAGGCTTTCCAGGGGAAGACTGGAAGTAGGTTAGTGCATCTTGCTAGCGGGGGAAATAGTGGTTGTTGCGGAGACGGGGCCTCGGTTGGTCTGTTTTCCCGCTTGCGGCCTGCCTTGTGAAACCAATTATCACGACCTCTTATCCTGGACTCTGGAAATAGAGGCTCATAGGTGTTCCATAAATAGACTCCGGCCCTTCTTTGTTTACAAGTTTAAAACTTGTAGTTCTCAATTGAGAACGATGGCTTCTTGATTCGACATTTTGCTTCCTCAACACGGCTCAAGTAAACCCATCCGTCTTATTACCACAAGCAAGACCGCATCTACAAGACGAGCGAAATAGTATGCAGCATTCGTATAGTGGCAGATTAACTAAAAATGAGAAATTAGACGCGCAAAGCCAATGTAAGAACACACAGACTGTAAACTTGGACGTTTCTCTCTTGCGGCTCTTTCATTGAACCTGTACCCCAGAGTTCAGCTCCGTTTTCCCCGCGCTTTCCACCCTCTCCCCACACTACACGACAAGGCCAAGAACAAAACATGGCGTGTGCAGCCACTCACGTCCATTGTTTTCTGAACAAAAAGCCTCTCTGGCCTGAGCAAGAGATTTGCACGAGCTTGAACTGTCGAGTACAGCCTAGGCCGATTGACAGACGGGCGGGGAAACGACGCAGCGAGCGCCACCAGTGGAGCCTCAATAGTTCGACCACTCCAGTAGCCCCCATGCACAACAAAACGCTAAGTTCGATTCCGCGCACGATGGTCATGTCATAACACCAGTCTGTTAATGAATGATTCATTGGCTTATGTGAGCTCTTGTTTCGAAACGAAACGGCCGTTTGCTTCCCTAGCAACGCGACGAAGTCCTTCGGTGAAGTCGTCGGTGGCCCTGCATCATCGGCGAACGGCGACGGCGAGATTTGGCTCCAGTCAACGTCCGTTCACCACGCCATGGATGATGGGAACTAGGCCAAGCCTAACTGTATAGACCCAGTCATGACAGAGAGGGGAGTCCGGCGAGGGCTTGTAAATCTCCTCTCTGCGGTCAGGGAAGCGGCCCCCTCCCCCAGCCAGCCCCAGCCAGACTAGCCGAGGCAGTCGTTGGCTCTCAAGGCAGGCCATTTTAGAGTTTTTCCTCACCTCCGCATCAAGCCCATCGTCGATTTGTTCCCCCCGGACCAACGTCGATTTTCCCTTCCTGCAACCTTTTTTCTCGCCCGCCGTTGTTCTCGCTACCGTTTTGCAACCCCCGTCGCCCGCACCACCTCCAACTTCCCGTCGTGTCTGGAAGAGCAGAGAGACTGCTCAGAACTCGTTCATCATGGGCAACCGTCGCGGCATTGCGCGTGTGACGCTGGTTGGCGAGGCCGTAAGCCGACTCATTGTCATGTCCATGGTCATCGTCTCCATCGTGGTCGCCGCCACCAGCATCTTCCCCAAGGGATTCACGGTCATGTTTGCTACGGTACGCTGAGTCGCTGCCATTTTTTTTGGTTCTTTCAACTGACCGATATACAGGCCGGCATTGCTGTCCTCGTTGAGGGTGCCTTGTTTCTGCGCGCCCTGTTCTACCTCCTCAAGCCGTCTGCCTACAACCTGACCAATCTCCGCGGTGGGATTCTCGTTGCTGTGCAGTGCATCTTGCTCGCGCTCTTCATCATTGCCGCCGTCTTTGCGTTCAGAGATTACTCCAAGGAGCCCGGATACGAGAGCCGAAACCAGGCTGCCGTCTACGACAGACGCATTGCCTGCGGCGTTCTCATTATGGCGTCGATGTGAGTTTTCAAATCATTCCTTCTTTGACCTATCGACTAATTCTTTTAGTTTGTTCCAAATTGTGCCGACCATCATTACCATCGCTAGACTGTCTCAGGGTAGCGATGAGGACATGAAGATCAAGAGCAAGGAGAGCGATGAGAAGGCCAACCAGCACTAATTTAGTAGAGGCTCAGCCAGCGGCAGTGTTGGAGGAACGGTACATAGAACGCCTCAGCATATAACGGCAATGCATGTTGATGGTTTCTAGTGATGATACAATGAATTTAATTGACATAATACTGCCTCATGATATCGCTTAGCTCTGATGTGTTGGACTAAACCAACCAGCCCGGAAGCTCTCGGAGACAGCGCCTAGCGACCCGCTGACGGCCATGCCGTCACCCTGCAGCAGCCACCGTCATTAGCCTACCGCGTGCATTTACATGTGCAAATGAGAAATTTTCTCCAACACGGGAGGCAGTGTGTGTTGTCTTTTTATTACAATCTGAAAATAGTGTGCAGCGGTTGCTTTGCTGCCATCCACGCGCCGCAGTGCACACCAATTGATGACGCCATTAGAGGTAGCGGTAACTAGTCTTTGGTGGAAGAACCGCTGAATCTCCAGTGGCGACATGCACTAAAACGAGGTTCCTGCGTTAACATATCCCAATCCTACGTTAGGACCTTTCTTATACCCTGCTTTTTACGCATCTATATCCTTAGAATTCAATTCAAGGTAAGTTATGAATCTACAGTCATTCAAAGTCGGCGCTGTGCTGTACAACTTCCACTTACACCACCATCATTCTTTGGTGTTGGTCGGGGATCAGCCAGACTTGTTCTTGGTAGTGATGTTTCAAATTATATACACGAATTCTCTATTAATAGAAATAATGTTACCTACTTCTTCAACTCCACGCCAGCCTCCCACTCGCCATGCGAAGGCTCCTGCAGCAACTTGTTGGCGACACTAGCCTTTGGGTGCGGCGTGATGATGGTGTAGTTGCACGTCGGGCAGTATGTCTTGTCGTCCTTGGTCGGCGGGTACCTGTCCTGGTTGAAGGTCGAGTTCAGTACAACCGCGCCCACCGTCGCGCCATTCTCCAGCCGGATCCAGGTCTCCGCGGTCCAGTTGCTTGCCCTCCTCAGCTGTGCGCGGTTGACACGGATCTGCCGGGCGCCTCGCACCCAGTTGCCGTACCCGCCGTAGCCCGAGTGTTGGCCAAAGCACAGATTGACGCCGTTTCCGGTTACGGTCGTGTCGGGCACCAGGCGATCCCACTTGTAGCACCAGGTGTCACCGTGGTCGTGGCCGGAGAAGAGGCCGATCATGCCGGGTGTGGACGCGATGGCGCGCATAAAAGGGACGTCCTGGCCGCCGTACGCGCAGGAGCCGTCGTTGGTGCCGTCGGGGCACCACCCTTGTGCCTGAGGTGCGAGAAGATAATCGTCGTTAATGCCCGGGTTCGTATTGGGGTCGATGCTGTTCCTGCCGCGCTCCTTCTGGATGGCCTGGAACACGTAGGGCGGGATGTGCACAAAGCCGAGCGACGGGATGACGCGACCAAACTGCGCCGTCAGTTCGGCGTTGGTCGCCTGGAACCAGTCGACGACGCTCTGGTCGACCCAGCCGGGCTGGCCGACCCGGCTGCCGTCCGGGTGCGTTTCTTGGAAGTAGAAGCCGCCGCGGCTGTCGAAGAACCAGAGTAGCAGCTCCGGGGCGCACTGGCGCTCCCCAGGTCGGCGGCAGCACCGGCGCGGGTACACCGGGAGGTAGTAGTTGCTGACGCCGGCGTTGCGGCCGGGCACCATGCGTCCGGTGCGGCAGTTGGGGTACGCTTTCTCGCGCGCCCAGGTCGAGGCCGAAGAGAGGTTGAAATCGCTGTCGTGGTTTCCGTAGGTGGACGCCCAGAGCAGGTCGCGGTCCACGATGGGCTTGACGATCTGGTCGACGTAGACGGAGCCGTTGTGTACAAAGGCATTTTCACCGGTGATGAGGTCTCCGTTCAGAACGGCGAGTTGGGGGGTTTCCTTGTCGAGGACATTGTTCAGGACCTTGACAGAGTTGATGTCCTGCTCCGGGCCCCAGGGGTCCCAGGCATCTATATTATCATACAAATTAGCTGCTTGTCTGAAAAGCTTGAAGAATGCCAGATATGCATACTCTCGCCAAAGTGAAGATCCTCAAATACACTAATCTGAAAGTTGCCGTCCTTGTCAAAAGTAAGAGGGCGCGATGCCACTGGAGGTTCCTGGAGAGGCACACCCGCCGCTAAGGGCAGTAGTAGAGACAGAATCGCGACGCTCATCATTTCCAGCCCACCATTTGCGTAGAGCTCTGGTCGCTTCAACACAGAACGAGTTTCATCGGACTACTTCCATTATGAGGGCGATGAAAGCATCTTATAAATTGCGACGCGCTGTGGCCCCTGATCACAATCAGGCGACGCGGTAACGGTTACAGCCAGTCGCGAGTCATCTGCAAGAACGTGGGTGGTGGAATGGATATGTTAGTCACCAAACCCAATCTTATAGATTGGAATCTTCGGGCCGTTCTTCAATAACACCACCCAAATTTTGCCATTCCGCGACCGCAGCCTTTCCGTGTATTAGGCAGGAGACCCCTAAGCACACAGGGAGGAAGGAAACTGCCATGTACATAGATCTTGCTTAAAGCGAAAGTTGTCGCAACTAATCATTACGCTAAATCAATACATCAGTACGGAAACACACTGCATAGACATAGAAATAATTTTAGGGTTACTTTAAAGCAGTCTCCTGACAATTTTGACGTCCTAGCAGCACAGAGGGTTGGATTGCACCTGTGCGGGCATGTCATGCGTTCCACCTGCATTGAGTAAGGCCTATGTACATAGCTGCTACGAGCCATAGCGTGCATGTAATATTGACGTACAACATGAAAAATATTATGAATCAGTTAGTACGGCCCACCGGTGGTTTATCGCACCGTGATGGCTAATGTATCTTCTATGTTACCGAGATCGAGCAGCTGGACTGCCCAGGTCACCTAACTTACTACCCACCGCTACTTAGACAACTACAACCTTCGAAGTGCCAAAGCTGCAAACCTATCTTGCCAGTGAATGGCATATTTTATTACCTCTGTCTATCGCAGTCTATAACTACTAGCTACAGAAGTGTATTGCGCAGTGCGACACAACTCCGTGATTTAGTGCTTAGCCCTCGTAATGTGCCTTCCTATCTGGGTCTTGTGGGCATCAAGTCTGTTCCGTTAGTTGGCAGTCCTATAGGGCCGTGCTTTTTGGTACTACAGCTCGAGAAAAAGATTTGCGGCCTGAAAGACCAGAAGGCTTCATCTATCGTAAAACTTTCCATTACATTTTCTCTATAGCTCGTACTTAAATCCGCCGTAGTGCCTCGTAAAACTTGGTCGGTGAAGACTGGTGCTGACCACGTCGCCGACTTGGCATCAGGCTACCATGATGAGGCGGATGTGGAAGGGTAGTTACACGGCGCATTTGGGTGATTTAAAGAGTATAGAAGTCCTAGGAGATGATACTTTTGAGATGAAGGAGACCTTATACGTTGAAACACCTAGTCAAATACACGAAAATGAATAGCCTCATACACTTCCTACTTGCTGCCGGCGCCGCGGCGGCTCCCTGGCCCTCTACTGCCAGGCCAGCGCTGTCGCTGCACAACATTACTCGCATGCCAATGGAGATTCGAGGCAGAGGTCTCTCTGGGCCACAGATGGGAGGTGTCAATTTTCCTGACCCAAATCTTATTTTGGGCGACGGATCGTAAGCAGTTCTGCGAAGCGGCGCAATCCTATGAAAGCTAACACCATATACAGCTGGAAGGCAATGAGCACCTCTTCAAATGGAAAAGGAGTCCCAATTGCAACTTCGAATGATGCTTTTACCTGGAACCTTTCGCCCAACGATGCACTGCCTGACAGAGGCCCTTGGGTTGATCAAAACGACCAGTCTGTGTGGGCTCCAGACCTAAACAAAAATGTAAGCTGGCAAGCTACTAGCACTGTCTCTCAAGATTCTGACTATGGATAGGATTCTGGAGTCTGTATCATGTATTACACTGCTCGTAAGAACGGCGGGAACCATTGCATTGGCGCTGCCACCTCAACCTCCGTCATGGGTCCTTACAAGCCTCAGGACCAGCCATTGGTTTGCGATGAAAACAACGGCGGTGTTATCGACCCATCCGGATATGATGATGGCAAGGACCGCTGGCCCGTGTGGAAGGTCGACGGAAACAGCAAGGGCGGCGCGACAGCCTGCCAGCCTGGCCGCCCCAGCGGTTACTACATCCCGACGCCCATCAAGATTCAGCGAGTAGCTCGCGATGGTCTTACCCTGCTCGACGCGCCCAAGCTCATATTGGACAACGAGGGCCGCAGTAATGACGGGATCGTGGAAGCAGCCAACTTGTACAAGGTCCCCAACGGCGACTTTGTCGTCTTTTACAGCGCGCACTGCTTCGCCAGCGACGACTACGACATACATTGAGTATGCGTGGTCCAGCACGATTGATAGAAAGTACGAGGACCGCGGGATTCTATTTCGCAGTGCTGACCATATTGGGATCTATGGGCCGGGTCACTGCGATATTGACCCTAATGGTGTCAATATGGTCTTTCACGGCCGCGAGAATCCAAATGATAGCCAAGCCGCTCGCGTTCTTTACAGCGCGACTTTAAGTATTGATGGTCGCAAAGTTCAGGACTAGAGGGCACAAAGACTTGCGAGGGGTATACATGTACATACATGAAGAACATCTTGCGCCAAAAATAAGCTAATTTGCTAGCTGCGTTGCCAAATTGTACAGCAAATCACGACAGAACCGCCGAAATATACCAAATTGACGCCATCGTCATCACATGCGACTCCGTTAAGTCGCAACTCTACGCCGGCTGCTTTTCATCTGCTTCTGCAATCAAATCGTATTTCGCAAACTTGCGCGCAGGTACCCGTCTCTGGAACAGTATGTCCAGTTCCTCATACGTCCTGCCCTGCGACTCGGGCAAGCGGAAGAAACACCACACAAAGCAAAAGAAGCTAATACCACCAAAAAGGAAGCCAGTCTTGCCGCCCCAATTGGCTTTTTCGCTGTTGAGGAGGATGGGAATGACAACCATGGTGACAACATTAGCCGCAGACTGGACGGCCGTCGAAATGGCGATTGTCTTTTCACGGAGTCGGGTCGCCGATATCTCAGATATGACGACGAAGCATATTGGCCCAACGGAGCTTTGGTATACAAAGGTCCAGACATCCATGAGGGTCGAAAGCGCCCAGACAGCCGCCGTATTGTGCTGAGGAATTGCCAGGAACCCGATGATGAAGAGGAGGACAGTCATGATGCCCAGGCCACCACTATAGATTGTCCTTCTACCAAGATGGAAATAGTTCATCAGCGGCCACGAAAGAATGGTTCCGACAAAGCCAAGGGCGGTGTTGCCAACTCCCATGTCGAAGGCCTTGTCATTCGGCAGTCCGGCTTGCTCAAAAAAGTAATTGGCGTAGCCAATGAGAGGATTGCCGCTGATGACTTGGATCAGGTAAACCATGACGGAAATCTCAGTTCGAATGAGATTGGAGCCCTTGAAGCAGTCCCAGTACGAGGTGGTATCCTCGTATTCGCGCTCCAATCGATCCGTCTGCTGGATCCCAAGTAGGATCTTCTCAATGTCAGGGTTATACGTAGCTGAAGTCAGCTTTTGCAGCGACTTCCGCGCATCGTCCATGCGGCCGCAGCGAACCAGCCAATACGGACTTTCGGGGGCAAATCCAAGTCCAGCAAGTAGCACCACCGGCCAGACCCATTGCACAGCCTATGGCAAATTAGTAGAGATTTCGTCGATGTAATAAGGGGCGTGCTTACAAAGGGGGCCTTGTATGCCCACTGGTCTAGACGACTCTCGACACCAGCCGCACATCCTTGGGCGATAAACTGGCCAATGACAAAGGCCAAGTTGACGGACGCGGTCAGGAAGCCTCGAAGCACGACCGGGCACACCTCCGAGGCGTAGGTTGGCGCAATCACGACGTAGAATCCGTACGCCAGCCCGCCGACGACCTCACCCGCGCAGAGCATGGCCGTGGAGGTGGCGAAGAACTGCATGAAGATGAAGCCGATGGACCAGACGCAGCACATGGCCAGGGTGACGCGGCGGCCAAAGTACTGCAGGGGGTAGCTGCAGGCGAGCGCGCCGACGACCTGGCCGATCGGGTTGCCCATGCCGAGGCCCGTCTGCCAGGCGGCGGCGACCTCGTACTTGATGGTGCCATCGGGCTTGACGATGCGGTCGCCGTACTGTTGCTGGAAGGCGGGCAGCGCGTAGAAGGAGGTGATGATCTGGCCGTCAAAGCCGGCCATGACGACGGCGATGCAGAAGAACATGGCCCAGAAGGTGGCCTTGGGGTACATCCGGACGGCGGCCCAGAAGCCGAGCTGGTGCTCGGCGACGGTGAGGTCGCGCGTGGTGTCGTCAATCTCGGGCGCGACGAAGTCGCCGGGAACATGGCTGTCCGCACGGCCGCCGGCACGCGAAACCTCGATGTTTTCGTCTGATGACTTCTCCATGGCGATGATTGGATGGTGAGGTTAAGGAGGTCTCGAGATTGAGAGCACCAGCGACGATGGGCGCGCACGTCGTCGGTTTATGAACCCTTAATCGACGACCGTCGGCCACTTCATCGAACTACTAAGGAATTACCCCAGGTTCCTAGCTCCGTCGTTTGCCGGAGGGCAAAGGGGAACTCCCCGCCAAATGATGCTACGTTGTAGAAGCTAGCAACGAACAAGTTAGGGTTGGACCACGCACCAACAGGCCGAACATTGCCGGCGATGGCACTTGGGCTGATAAGAAAGACAGGGTGCAACAACATAAGAGACATGATATGAAACGGCTGTATTGAATGAGTGACGATGATTGTTGGGAAAACTTGACGTATGTTGCTCATGAGTAGCGCCTTCGATTTGAGCAGTCTGTCTAGCAAATTCGCCATTCTCGGCTGCGAGCGAATAGAGCTGAGCAGGGACATATTCCCGAGCACTGAAGGCTCCTACTCTGAGAAGCGCTATGATGTTCAGCTAATGATGGCTGGCACCCAAATTGTGGCTTCGGGCAAATTTGTTTATTCTCCGGAACTTTTGACTGTAGATACGGCTAATTAGTGAATTGGTACTAGTCAAGTTCCATTCATGCGCTCTGGATGGCATGTAAAGACGGCCGCAATTATACGGAACTCGGGAGACAGAGTACAATGCAGAGATGGAATTTTTATTGGGAAAATCATTCTTAACTCAAAAAATTTCGAGCTGGGGCCATGCACAGTACATCGCTGCAACCAATCCTTTTCGTCACTTTCCCGAATGGGCAGCTGCACATAGGACAAGGGTATAAATGAGTATGTCTGTAGGCGAGGAGCACCTAGTAAAGTCGAAGGAAAGGAGTACTTCTGCACACATAGTACACCTGGGGCGTCGGGTACACGGTCAAGGACGCACCAGCAAACCAGGAGAAATGGGGCAACAAACTGCTAGGAAAGGCCCTTATGGACGTGAGGAACGAGCTGCGATCAAGGGCAGACGACAAAGCCGTGGACAAAGAGAGCGTGATATGGAGCGCAGATACGTGTCAACATCGTGCAAGGGATGGCGCAAGGCATACTGCAATCCCTCAAATGATACAAAGACGTATCTTGAAGAATTAGCGATTGTAGTAGTAATATGTGTATTCTATCCCAACCCATGATGCGCATAGAGCGGTGTTCTGGTATTACATGACCCATGCTCGATGCAGAGCTCGCTTATTGTACAGTATTATAACAAGACCGGCTGCTTTTCTGCGCCAGTCGCTATTTTTTAAACCATCCCGCTCGTCCGCTTCAAAATCTCATCTGACAGCTCTCGTGCAGGCTAGTACCAGTCTCGCCCGCTCTTTTGCATCTCAATAAGACGCCAGCCTCTCGTTTCAGGGTTGTTGACGTCCTCAGGCACGCGCGTGACACCAATGGCATATGTGACGAGTTGCACCTTGTCTTCCATGCCTGCTGCCAGCTCGTTGGTCTTGGCGTTGCGGTACACATGGACCTCCTGCGTCCGGCAGGTGATGATGAAGACAGGGACCTCGCCGGGGTCGAGCATGCGCGCGCGTAGAATGTCGACGTTGCGGATGTCGAGAATGCGGCCATCCGACTTCATGCCAGCCTGCAGATACTGCTTGGTCAGCGCCTCGTATACCGAGTACTGGGCAGCCGACAGCCACAACTTCAGCGTCTCAGTATCGCCCTTTACGTAGGCGTCGAGCACCTCAGGCAGGATATATTCGCGCAGTTCCTGCAAGAACGCCTCGTTTTGGAAGCTGGGGTCCATCTCGCGGAACTTCTTCACAACCATGGCCGTCTCGTTCTCGGCAAACCAGCCACCGATGCGGTCGGTAATGCTGCGGGCGGTCGAGACTAGCGGGTTCTCTGATTCTTCGTATTTTCCCTTCATGCTGAAGAGACCCTGAACAAACTTGTTTTGGTCGCGAAAATCTCTCCAGGCCTCCTTCCAAGCGGCATCCTTGTGTAGGGTGACGCTTGTACCGGCCTCAGGGTCTTCTTCGAAGACTTGTTGTGGCTGCTCCTTTGCGCGGAGCTCTCTGCGGCGACGGCGCTCCTCCTTCTCGACCCAGCCACCGTAGCGGGAAGAGCTACCATCGTCGATGACATTTTTAACATTCTTGTAGGCCTCGGTATCGCGGATCGGCTTGGTGGCCTTGTCCATAGCGTCACCAGTCACGTTGGCGGCCTTGCGGACGCCTTTCATGACGGGGGTCTCCCAAGTCCAGGAGGCGCCCTTGCCAATGGCGCCGGCGGTAGACTTAATTGCGCTAGCTGCTGAGGACGAGACAGCGCCTGTTGATTTTTCGTATGCTTCGCGGGTTCGACGGACGGCTTCGCTTTCGCTGAATTGATGGGCGGCGGCGCCAATCTGCTTGGTCGACTCGTTCCACTCCTTTGAAGCTTGGAATTCAGTGTTCATGGTTTCCATGAATACTTGCCAGGGAGTCTTGTCGCCATGAGGAGGTGGGGGGGCATTGGCTTCATTTTCCTTGCCATCCTTGCCTTCTTTGCCATCCTCTTTTCCATTGCCCTCTTCCGTAGTATCCTCTTTGGCTTCTTCCTTGGCCTCCTCCTTGGCTTCCTCTTTGGCTTCCTCTTTGGCTTCCGCCTTGGGAGCCTTAGCCTTGGCCTCAGCTTCAGCGGTCGACTTCTCTTGTAGCCTTGGGCTGGTATGGATCAATCTGCCCCCAGGCGCCCCGATTTCGCTGGGCAGGAACTGCGACCGCAGTGGCGTCCGGATTGCGCCGAGCGTCTGCGGAGGAAGGGTCTGCACGATGCGACCCTGTGCAAACCGCCGGTACGCAGGAGCTACCAGGCGGCTGGGTAGGGCCGTCTGGGCCTTACCGGCGCTTCGAATGACGGCATTCATCCTTAAATGTCGGGATGAAGGATTTGAAAGGAGAAAGTCATGGAAGACGCTAGTGATGGCGGGCCAAATTTGCAGCAAATGCTGGTGGAAATTTTCGGCTAAACTTCGGCGGCCCCTGCACGGTCGCTTGGTCCAAAATTGTCTATAGAGCTACCTGGGATGGCATCCTTCAACACTAAAACAACTTGCATCGACAAAATGCGGCCATTGACACGGCTTGCCGCTTTGCGGCCGCTTGCCAGTTCAGGCGTATTACCAATTTATACCCGGTGTCTTTCTCAGACAGTCCCGAGACGAGAAGGGAGATCCAGCACTGAATCGATGCTGCAAAGCATCTATGGAGGTGCTCCCGCCGCGCAACCACAAGACGCCCTCGGCAACCTATCGAAGAGCATGGTATTCGATTCCTTCAACAAACGATCGGTTGACACCGGGGTACTGATGGGCAAACCACAACCCGTCAAAGAGGACAGCTTTGAGCCTTACCACCTGCACATCTATGCTCACAAGCACAACACACACATCACGTTTACGCTGCCCAACAGGAGCTCCGTCCTTTCGCTGTCCTGCGGTAACGTGGGCTTCAAAAAGTGCCGTCGTGGCACCTTCGATGCGGCCTACTCGTTGGCCAAATATGCGCTGGAGCGCCTCGTTTACATGGGGTACACGACCAAGATCAACCGAGTTGAGCTGTCCCTGCGTGGATTTGGCCAGGGACGCGACGCCTCCATTAAGGCGTTGATGAGCCCCGAAGGAGCCTTTCTACGCGACAAGATTGTCCGAGTAACGGATGCCACCCGTGTCAAGTACGCCGGTACTCGGAGCCCAGCCAAGAGGCGTCTGTAGCGGCGGAATGCGATTCAAAGATGAATGGCAAGGCAAAGGATAAGAATATGCTCAAGGGCGGCAGTCAAACAGAAATGATCGAGACAGGAGCGATGTTGCAGCATATATTTTGTACTATACATTTTGTACTTTACGTTACGTCATGAATAGATCATAAATCCGTGACCAGCACTGCCATCCACTTTTGCCGTGCATGTATTGAGCAGACTCACACTGGGTATTCTCTCTGACAGACTGTTGCGCAAGACAAGACGACTCTGCACCAACCCCTTTCGGTCATCTCGCCTTCTACGAGCGAGTACCGCGTCTGTTTGACCTTCTATCCTTTTGCAACATGGTAGATCGCTCTGTCGCTTCGTCTGATTCGTCATCCGTCTCGAGAAGTTCGGCGTCGACTGCCATATGGTCCGGCGCTTCAAGCCAGTCCCGGGGCACGAGACAGGGCATTGCCTTGCCGATGCTGGCTGCTCTGTTGAGCCAGCCTGGCCCGGGGTCGCCGGTCAAGGCTTTGCAAATGTAGGCGGTAAAGTGGTTGCAGTTCTTATTCAATAGGTTGTGATCGGGTCCTAGGAACTGGTGGGAAGCCGCCCGCAAGGTCGCGTTAATTTCGTCTTCGGTGGCGAGCGTGAAGCCATGTAACAGCTCGCAGCGAAACGATCCGCCCGGCGGCAGAGTCCTAGGTTTAGACCAAAAGACGCCGGAAACGCCGCGTTTATCGTGCCCCCCATATGCATATTCGCGCCCGTTAATGACGACCCCCGAGTGTAGAAATGACGTTCCGAACGCCCATAGCATTGACGAAACTCGGCCGGCCTATCTTGTTAGCGAGAGTATGTAAAGATGCCAAAGTACTTACAGGTAGCAAGTCGTATACGTTAATGATTATTTCGGTTTTTTGTAGGGACAGTGTCGACCTGTGGCGGCCGACCGACTGTCTAGATGCGCTAGAGATCGATTGTCGAGGCGTGCCAGAGATCGACTGTCCAGGCGTGCCGGACATTGTGCTCGTTAGAAAGCAAGCGTGTGTCGCGGTGAGTATTTTTAATAGCTGCTGTCCGATACGGCGACGTAAGCGACGTGGGCGCGAGCGTGTCGTAATATTGATTCTGATGGTTGATGCAGTTGATGAATAGGTAGGATGAAATAGCTGAGATCGGAATGCATTAGGCTGTGGACTTGGCCAACGGTCAATGGTGACGCGGGCGGCAACAAGCGACGCCACACGTAGCGCTGCCGAATGCGGCCTGCGCCACCAGTGGCTGTAAGTCGCGAGTCTCGCATGAACACAGTCGGATTCCATATTGAGTTATTATTGTGGTCAATATTTAACAGTACACTTCAATCTGATACATTAGCTGCCATTGTACTACGTATGTACTTCCATGCCAGATGATAACACCGATGATATCCCTCGTGATGGCTGTGCTGCTGTACGGCGCCAAGTAACTAATATATCCAGTCTTTTCCGTTCTGGACTTCTAATCTCTCAATATTCTCGGTCTTTAAGTTATTTTTCTTACAAAAAATGAAGGAAGCTATACCAAGGCGGCGAATTCTCATCGGCGGACTCTCGGTCATCTTACTCAGCTCTAATTGCGCCAATTCAAAACGGCAACAGCCGATTTTAAGGCGGCACAAGTGAATCCACCCACGGATGTTGCCCGATTGAGACGAAAATTTGGCAGAACTGCATGGTTCTGTAAGGTAATATAACATCAATGCTAGTTAAAACTCGATGACCAAGCGATAGCTATAAAGACCAATCGTTTGAGGCATCATTCGCTGGTACGCTGATGGGCTAGCGGCCGGGAGTGTGACCGACCTATTCCCATATAGCTCCATTGTGAATTTATCTTTGGAGACATTACAAATGGAATTGATAAGACGAGGCAGCTCTGCCAATGGCATATAGGGACAAGCATCCATAAATACATCGCCATACAACGAAGAGCCTCCCTCCCAATTCAGTCGACAGCCACCAGAGCAACTACACCCAGGTCAACTACAGCTTCCTTTCACAAAATCATGAAATTATACTCTGCTCTCTTTTTTCGGTGCGCTATGGCCCTTCCTGGCTCTGTGCCTTCAAGTAGTCCCGAGTCAAAGCCTATGTGTCAGGGCCCTATTAGGGCACCTGTTAGAGCCCCTACATTGTATGTGTTAGGTGCGTATGAGCACCTATATAACAGCGAGCTGCCGCTGAGCTCTCTACGAGGAGGTAGTGATAATTCCATCTTTATAAAAATATAAAAGGGATTATTATGTGACTAGGTCCTCTAATGAAGTACCTTATAGGATTATCGCTACTACCTAGTATATAGGAAGCTAGACTACTTATAGTATAATAACTAAATGGATAACTTCTTCCCTATAACTAAGTAGTAAACACACTATAAGTAGTACGTAAGTCCTATCCCCTATCTAATTAGACCTAACGGATAGTATTAGAACTATAGTTATTAGTATAATGTCTATAGAAGAGATACAAATTAGTATCTAATATATAGTAGAAGAATAGAAATAAGTGTAACTTATAGTGTACTATAAATAGGTAATAAAAGGCTAATATATTATAGTAATACTAGAATTAAAAACCCTCTTAAAGGAGTAACCTTATAGAAAACGCATAGTAATAATAAAACTACCTAGTATAGTGTTTAGTATAAAGTTATTCTAAGAATATATTAGCTTTATTATTATACTATAAACGCACTTTTAGGCACACTTAGAAGACTATATAGAAAATATTAAAAAGGTTATACACACTATATAGTGCTTATAAGGAGAAGTGTAGATATAATAGGCCTACTTCTTTATAGTGAACTTATATAGGAGCTATTAAGGGTTTACTTAAGAGAATTTTAATACTTAGTATAAAGAAGAGCTTAATAACACTAATATAAGGGTATAATAAGCTACCTATAAGATAATAAAGTATAAATAAGAAGGTAATAAGCTAGTAAAGAGGTATTTTTACTATATAGAAAACATAGTAATAGAGCTACTAGACTTATTACCCCTTACTTTTTATATTACCTTAGTACTAGAAGGCTTAAGTGGTTAAATTTAAATAGTAATAAGTAGTAATAGTATATTAAATATATAGAAGTAGCTAGAGTCCTATATAGAGAATATAGAGAGAGTAGTAAGTGCACTTAATAGAAAAGAGATAGGGTAGTGATTATATCTTATATTAATAATAGAAGAGTCTTAATAAGGTGGTTACTAACTCTTAATAGAGATATAGTAAGAATATAAAAAGACGTCTTAAGGTTATTTTAAATATAGGGCTAAACACCTATAGTAGGATTATACTATACTAGACTATATAATCTATAGGGCTTTTAACTATATAATAAAGAAGCACTATAGCTAACTAAAAGGAGTAAGGGTAAGGTGGCTACTAGCTAGTAAAAATATAGTAATATACTTAAATAATAGTCTAGTAAAGAGGTACTAATTAGAAGAAAAATAGGATAATATTCGATAATATTCACTATTCACTACTACCTTTATCCTAGACGTAAATAACTAGTAAAGCTATAGTAAAGTAGTAACTAATAAGAGGTAATAGTGTTATTAGATAGTAGTAGTAACCTAAATATAATAAATAGAAGTATAGTAAAAGGGGAGTAAGACTATAGCCCACTTATAGTTACCCACCTAGAATACCCACTTATAGAAGAAAGAGTACTAATAAAAGAGGAAATTATAAAAATAA